CTCACCGTTTCCGGTACAGCCTGTGCGGTTGTACATCCTCTTGGGGGCTCTGTGGCCACCAGCAAAGAGACAGAGAAAACATCAAGGCAAGGAGCCTTAATCCTGTCAGATCCTCTGGGATCTTGCTCTGCTCTGCATCACAGTGGAGCTGTCTTGGGTCAGCAAGCTAGGTTGCCCGTTCCCACCCATTTTGGAAGGCAATGAAGTCCACTCCAGCGCCCGATGAAGAAGCAAATTAACTCCATATTTTTCAGAGTGCCCTGGAGCAATGCATCTTAAATAATATCCGCCTGTGAGTCATCCCAGGAAGCCTTAACCAAGCGTCCCAATTCCAGCTTGGAGATTTGTTCTAGGTGAAAAAAGAATCTCTTCTATCTGAAATATCTCTTTAGCAAGAATTGAAGCCTTTTTAAACCAACTCCTTCGGGAGACATTCCTGAAGCCTGAGATCAGTAAAAAGTATCTCCTTACGGTGTTTTTTTAAATTTTCCTCAAGAGTTTGTGACTACTGTGAAAGCTCCCCCCCCCCGCATTTTCCAACACAATCAAACAAAGGTTGTTTACGTTAAATGGTGTGGTTATATCATCGGAGCGCCTGTGTTTTCCTTTTCCATCAAGGTCTGGTTGTGGGCCCACCCAACTCCACAGCTGCTTTTCTCCTTCTCAGTGCCTCCTTAATTCTGGATTTCCTAAGCTGGTTTTGCGTGGAAGAGCAGAATAACGGAGTTGGACAGGACCTTGGTGGTCTTCCAGTCCAACCCCTGCCCGAGCAGGAGAGCCTGTGCCATTTTACAGAAATGATTGTCCAATCTCTTCTTGAAGTTCCAGTGATGTGGCATCCACAACTTCTAAAGGCAACCCGGCCGACTGGTTAATTGTTCTGTCGGGAAGTTTCTCCTTAGTTCCAGGTTGCTTCTCTCCTTGCTTCTTGTCCTCCCTTCAGGTGCTTTGGGGAAGAAGTGGACCCGCCTCAATTATTGAAATGCTGCCATCATGTCACCTTAGCCTTTGGGATGACTCAGCAAGAACAGGGCTTAGGCCCACAAGTGGGGCTCCCCGCTGTGGAAAAGGAATTTGCAGAACCTGCTAATACTGCAGCATTGGCTTGTTTTTTGCAGCAGGGGTTTATTTATTTCACTTATTAAACCAATTTATATAGCCGCCCATCTCACAAACAAGCGACTCTGCGCGGCATTCAACACAGCTAAAAACTAAATAAATTTCCCCTTCTATTTTCTCATAAAAGCCATCTCTCTAGAAATCACAAGTTAAGAAGGAAATTGATTAAGGAAGCGTGACTGGAAGGTTCCCTCTGAGTAAACTTTAGATTGTTTTGCAGATGCAGTTCTCTATTTTACGAGCCGGCGGCGGTACTGGGGGCTTTGCACATCCTGGATGGAGTTTGATTACTATTGGGGTTTTTTATTGCTTTTAATCATGTTTTGTTCTTTTGTGGAGGTTGCGGAACCGGGAGAAGACAGCCTAAAGTTAGATATAATGAATTAACAAAGCAAAAGACAAAAGACGTTAGAGGCAGGAGTGAAAGGACTATTTCATGCTTTACAAATAAGAAGGAATAAAATGGGTTTTTTTTCAGCCCTGTCAGATAAAGTCCATGGCCTTGCCTCTCCAGCTGATTTCTTCCAGAAATTAATCCATATTTAATAATTGAGTAAAGCGAAGTTGCTCCTAGCTAATGAAAGAAATAGCCAAATGCCTGTGTGCCTTTTTCTGTTTTTAAGAGAAAAAAAATTCCCTCTCCTTTCTGAAGCCTTCCTGAGCTGAAGGGCAGCCATCTTATGACAGCAGCTGCTCTGTTTCTAGTCGAGAATATTTCAGCCAGAGTGAAACTGTATCTGCAAATGGCATGGCTACTGCAGAGACCATCTTGGACAAAATAGGGTGGTGGTCTTTTGCTTCCTGAGAAACTGACCTTTTGTATAAATAACCCCCTTTTCCTGACCAAATGCTGCCCAGCTTTGCAAAGAAGCAGAAAACCAAACTTTAAGCTCCAGAACTGCCTTGAAAGAAAACCTTTCCTTTTGTAAAGCAGAAGGACAAAACAAAAACAAACAAACAAACAAAAAAAAAACAACCCAAACCCTTGTTTTTTCCCTGGCTAAGGAGAGTGGCAGGATCCCTCGGCCTCCCCAAAGCAAAGAAAGATATTTGCTCCTTTCCTCTTTTAAATGCTTTTCCAGCCGCCCCCCCCATCCCCCCATATCCAGCCTTTCCTGCTCTTCCATTCAGCCCACATGTGGCTAAAGGCTTGGCCATTTTGCTCTTCATTTATTTAAAGGCCCCTGGCCTTGTTTTGCAGGCCTCCAAGTCCACGTGCTTTGCATAACTCAGTTCAGGACAAAGCAGCCCTTGGCCAGCAGGGCACAAAAGGAAAAATGGAGAGGGGAGGGAAGAAGAAAACACAAGGCAAGCCACAGGCTGGGCTTTGCAAGGAGCAGGGAGGGAGTATGGCGGGAAGAGCAGCTCTTGAGGGCATCCCCACCATCCCTTGCTCCCTCCCCAACTGCAGCTGGACATGCCAAGAAGTCACAACTGGCCTAAGGCTGCTCAGGGCGCCTCCTTCAGAGTCACGCGAGGATTTGCACCCAAGCCTTTCCAGAGGCAATGCAGCACGCTGCTTGACCTTAGTGGCTAGGGACGATGGGAGGTGTGGCCCAACTCCTCTGGGGACGGCCAGATTGTGGAAAAGCTGCCCTAGATCGCCCACCTCCCTGTGTTGCGGGGAGGGACTCAAAAAGCCCCCTCCCCAGCAAAAAGCAGCTGTCCTAGATGAAGCATTTTAAACCCAGGCCCATCTGGCACATCTCCGTCCGAGCAGATCGAGGCCACCCACCCTCCTGCGTCTCTGACCCCCTTAGACTAGCCGGCTTAATCCGGGCCGATGGCTGGCACAGGGGAGGCAGCTGGCGCAGGAGCTGTCGGGCCTTGCAATGGGTGGTGGATGCCCACCGGACCCACGGCTCTACCACTGGCCTTGAGCTGCCCATCCCATCTGCCAGCTGCCTGGCCCCAAGCGCCCACCCCTTCTCTCCGCTGTGCCAGGCCGAGGCTCTCCTGGGGTTCGGGAGCCTGGGAAAAGTGCAGCGGGTCCCGTGCCAGCTCGTTGGCTCCCAGCCTCCTCTGCCAGGTCCTGGGTTTTCTGCCACCTGGCAGGCCTGAGGAAGGGGTGGGGGGAGGCCGGGGAAGGCCGTTGTTTGGGGCCCTGAAAGGACAAGAAAAGAGGGCAAGTCCCCCAACGGGGTGGGTGCGGGGCATGAAAAGAGGAGCTTGAAGGGGGTGGCCCTCACACATCCTTTGAAGGGTTTCTGGCTCCCGGGGGACCACTCTGGGCTGGGCCGGGCCCGATTGTAGCCACCCCACCTGTCGGGGAGAAGAGCAGGAAGATGGGTCTTCTGGAAGGAGGCGCCTGGGTGCTTCTGCTGCAAAAGGCACAGGAAGGCCATCTGTGGCACTCCTGGCAGTACTGCGGTGGCATTTACACTGGCATACATGGCTTTTATTTCCTTCCTGGGCAGGAACAAAAGTACCATAAAGCGGAGAGGGGGGAGGACTTGTGCAGCTGCTCCGGTGCTTGCAGGGTTTCTGGGCAGGATAGTTTGGGGCGTTACCTACGGGCCCAGCTTCCCACACCTTCTATGTTCTCTTCCCTCGCTTTCTTTCAGACAAATGCATTTTTCAAGTGAAGAGGTAGGCTGTGTGGAAGGAGAGCTCATAACTGCTGTCTGGAAACTCACCTTTTTAATTTGCTGTTTATCTCTGCATAATAAACCACTGAATTAAGGGGGAGCTGCATTGAACCAGCAGACACAGGGTTGGACCCTGTTTCTCAGAGAAATAGTGGGGAAGGATGTGCTTGGCTCCCTTGGTTGTTTTCAAGAAAATAAACCCCTTTGTGCCTCCAGAAGCTCTGCTCACGTCTGAGGAATCTATGTGGGAAAGGAATTTGGGTGCCCCCAAGGGGAAGGCCCTGCCCGTTCTGCCTTTGCAGGCAAGGGGGGGGGAGGAGGAAAAGAAAGGCTGCCCTCAGCAGCGGAGGGTGGAAGCCCCCTCCCACACCAGTCAGCAAGCGACGTGCTGAGCTTTGATCAGGTCCCGCTTGGAAAGCAACGACCCAACTCAGGAGCATCTGCCAAGCAAGTGGGTGAGCTTGGAAAAACACGTAGATTTAGGCTTTTGGTGCGGAGTTAGAAAGATGGAGCGTGGCCAGGGTCTTAAGGGTCTTAAGGGTGTGTGGCAACCCCCTTACAGGATGGCACCCATTGGGGACAGTGTCACTTCTTCCTTGGGAGCTGACAACACCTAGCAGGGACAACGGCGGGGGGGGGGGCAGTTGTGCCGCCTTTCTCTTGCAAAAAATAGGCACATTCTCGTGACCCACATCTGACCCAGCCCATTGCTCTCTCCCATCCAATGCCAGATGGCCCCTGGGAAGCTGGGGGCTGCCTCTGTCTGGACATTATTTCCTGTGGTCTTCCTTTCCAAATGAAAACGCTCTAATCCCCATAATCCCCATCGCTAAGCCGCTGGGCAGAGCGCAGAGTGGAAGTCAGGCTTCTGCTGGGATGCAGAAAATCTGTTCTGGGGGGGGGGAGCAGGGAGACCCACCCCAGCCGTCAGTCTGAATACTCTTCTGGCCGGGGGAGGGGGGGAGCCTTCCAAGGCACCACTTGCTGTCTGTCTAACTGCTCAGGCAGCCTGCTAGGTGCTCCAGCTGCAGAGTCAGGTAGGAGAGAAGCTGAGGAAGCTCAGGGAGGTGGGCAGATGCCGCCTGGGCCCAGCAAATGGCCTTTTCCTGACCCCCAAAGAGCCCAACCAAGGCATGGGAGGCTGAAGCAGCCGTAGCCAATGCCCAGCCTGGCAGAGCAGTACCCGCTTCTCTGGTGACGGGTGAGGCGTTCACGGAAAGACCGCCTGGCTTGGGCTGTTGCCCCAACTCCCGCAGTGCCTTTTGGGGCCTAACCCCCCCTTCTCCCCTGCAGAGATGGCGGAGTACAGCAGCCTGTTGGAGGAACTGGCCGAGAACATCACCAACGAAGACCTGGACCAGCTGAAGTCAGCCTGCAAGGAGGACATCCCCAGCGAGAAGAACGAGGAAATCGCCACCGGCAAGGACTGGTTCGGCTTTCTGGAGAAGCACAACAAACTGGACAAAGGTGGGAAGGGGGGAGGAACCAGGGAACATCTATAGGCCCCTTCGCCGTGCGCTGCATGGCAAGATGGCGTCCTGGGAACTGGGGGGGGGGACGGAGGTCCCCTGGATGGCTGCGGTTCAGATGAGGGCGAGAGGCTCGTGGAAAGCCTGCCTCCAAAGTCTCTGCTGGTGCCCCAGTAGTGCCAGGCAAGCCCTCGGTTGCCCACCCCAAGAGTGCCAGCGATGCTGAGCAGAGAGATTTAAACGCAGCTGGCTGGGTGGGGCGCTTGGGGAAATTGGCAAAGGGGAGTCAGGATGCCTGGGGAGCCCCCCAAAGCAGCCGTGGGGACCAGAAGGGGTTAGGATAAGAGCCGCGATGCTTTCCTCCCCAAGCGAGCCGGCTGGGCTCTCTGCCCTCTCGCCAGCCCCGTCCTGGATTTCCCTGCCTGCCCGCCAGGAGGGGAGAGGAAGGGGCAGATGGTGCCGTGGTGTTAAGTGATGTCATTTGTTTTTGAAAGCTGCTTTCTCGGGTTGGCCCCCTCCTCTCTGGATGCCTCCGCAAGACTTTGCACATCGCCCACCCGCTCGCTCTCCCCTGCCTTTGCACCAGCAGCCACAGGCAGCCTCACACCAACTGCAACACCCACCCGCCTCATCTGACTTGTTGGTAGACGCCCCCCCTCCCAAGGCTGCCGCACGCAATCGGTTGCTTGCTCGGGGCCCCATGGGGAGCCCAGACACACCCAGACTGCCCCCCTGGCATTCCAGTCCCCCCTCCCTGCCCTGATGGTGCCCCTGTCCCCCGCGCAGACCACCTCTCCTACATCGAGCACATCTTTGAGATCTCCCGCCGGCCGGACCTGCTGACCAGGGTGGTGGAGTACCGCACGCAAGTACTGAAGATCTCGGAGGAGGACGAGGTGGACACCAAGCTGACCCGCATCCCTAGTGCCAAAAAGTACAAAGGTCAGGAGCCCCCCGCCCTGCTGTGGAGGGCTAGCCCTCTCTGAAGGGGGGTGGGGGCGGACTTCCTTCTCCTCAAGCCCTGCTGACCTCTGCCCCCCTCTCTCCACAGACATCATCCGGCAGCCCTCGGAGGAAGAGATCATCAAACTGGCCCCCCCTCCCAAAAAGGCCTGAACCCTGTGCGCGCGAGTGTGTGTGTGTATGTGTGCGTGGAGGGGCCCACCTCCGAGGATCACTGCCACCCCCCCTCCACTGCTCCCGCTCAGGCACTTTGCAACTCCCCCTTCGCCCCCCTCTGCTTACGCCCGTCTCTGCCTTGCCCCAGCCAGATAGGGAAAGGGAGATAGGGGGTGTCCATGCCTCCTCCTCCTCCTTCCCATTTCTCAGCTTGGTCACTGGCTGCTACATGTACTGGGAGGCTGCCGAGGCCTGTTTGAGGATGGGGGGGGCCTGTAACGCCTCCCCCCTCCACTGCTGCTGCTCCCCAACGCCACCCTACGGGGCAAGAGCTGACCCACAGGTGGATCAGGGGCCAATTTTGCAAGGAAGTGGAAGAGAGAAAGAGTGAGGGAGAGGAAGGGAGGGAAGAGAACAGGTGGAGAGCGGGGGGGGGGGGGCTCTAGAGAGCCTTGGGGCCAGTGCCAGAGGAATGCCAGACAATTGCCCCGGGCAAACTCCTGCCCCCTCTGTTCCAAGAGCCTGCAAGAGATGGGATGCAAGGGGGGGAGGAGCAGAAGTGGGGAGAGGGTTCCTCCAGCCATCCCTTGCCAGGGACCCCAAGATTTCCTGCAGCTGCCCTAGAGACTCTCTGCCCCCCCCCCACGCCCAGTTCCCCATAGGAGTCAGTGATGGCTGCAGCTGCTTAGCACAGCTTGGACCTAGAAAGCTGGGGGGGGGGGTTGTGGAGCTTCCTTGTAGCCCAGGCACAGAGCCCTCATTTTCTGGGGGGGGGGAAAGGGCAGGGTGTGGACACAGGCAGCTCTTCTGGGGTCCACTGGGGGTGCAGAAGGCTGGTGGGGAAGCGAAAGACCAAGCAAGCAATCAAGAAGACGGACCAAGAAGAGAGATCAGATGGGGGCGTCTGCTCCTTCCCAGCCGGATCAGAGCCCCCCCAGAGCAGATGGAGCAGGACCAGAGGGCCCAGGGCCCCCCGCCACAGACCCCCGCCTTGCCCCCTGCCTGTCCACAAGGTGCCTTCCCTGGGCTTCCCATCCCAACGGCCTCTCCAGGCATTTCCACGGGTGCCTCCTTTTCTACCCCCTTCCTGTGCCTCTGGCAGGGAGTGGGGGGCGAGGGTCAGTCGCCCCTTTAGCCACGCTTGCACCCAAGGCCCAAGCCAGGTGGCCGAGTCCCTGCGCTGCCCTGCAAAAGGGGCGTTGGGGGAAGGAGCATCCCCCTCCCAGGCCCTTCCTACCCAAGCCCTTCCCCCCTTGAAAGCAGCCCCACCCTCTGGGTGTTGGAAGCCCCTAATCCCACTCCCCACCGGGGTGCAGAAGGGAGCCCAGCTGACTTCCTCCCTGCCCGACTTACCTCCGGCAGCTGGCTTCGGTTCGGGGCCAAGGCCACAGGACCCGGCTGCCTTCCCTTCAAAACGGCCACCACATGGCACTTGCAAGTGTGGGTGCCGCCAGCGCTTTGGCCCGCCTCTGCTCAGAGAGACCGGGCAGCTCAGCCTTCCGAGGGCTGAGAAGGCCGGAGGGGGGGCTTAGGGAAAGGGCCAAGTTGCTTCTCTGGCGCTGGAATGCGAAGCGTTTCTGTTTAATATATTTTTGTTTCGCCCTGACATCCTGCGCTTCTCGGCTTCCCGAGCCCCTTCAAGCGGCGTAACCGTTCCTGACACTCGTGTTGTGCTTGTTGTGTGCATAGAAAGAGCTGGGCTAGAACTGTGTTTTTAACATGGTGTACCCTCAAAGCCACCTCCGTGTCTCCCGCTGCCCTTCCCCACTTCTGTCCGTCACGTGCAGCCTGGGTGCTGGCCCGGGTCGGTGGGGCCAGGCAGTCTGGCTCTTTGGGGTGCCAGGCCCACATGCAGTGCCACAACGGTGGAAAAGAGCTGGCAGGGGCCCTTCCAAGATGGGGAAGAAGGCTTAATTCCCAGGCTCTCCGCGATCTCCTTTCACGCGCTTTGGGTCAGACAAGAGATGAGAGATGCAGGCCACCAGACGCTCTGGAAGAGCAGACCCCCCTACCCAAGGCCCCTAAACACCCATGGCTCCAGGTCAAGCCTCTGCCCCGCCCGAGGGGCAGCCATGGCGCTCAGGAGGCTGGCTCCGCCCACGAGGTCAGGGCTGCTCCCGGCCACCCAGGCCAACCTGGAGCACTCCTCTTCGCCTGAACTGGCCTTAAATTAGTATGTTTCTCTTCCAGTGTTTACAGCTGAACAGTTGGTGCTGATCTCACTGCAAATTAGCACCAAGTAAAAATAGTATCCGGGGGGGGGGGCGGGCGTGAGGGGTGTATATGGAATTCAGAGCAAGCGAATTTCTCAAAATGAAATGAAGTGCAAAGCAGCTCTGCTTAAAATGGGCCCCTTCTTCTGCGCTGGGTCGCCTCTGGCAGAGCTTTCCAAGGCGCCCTTGTCCTGGCCAAGGGTTCCGGGAGACCGGAGGGGGACCGAGTGGAAGGGCCCTCCTGTGGGACGACAGGCTGGCTGCATAATGGCCCCAAAAGCGGAGGGGGGGGGTCTCCCAGGACCCTGTAGCTCCAAGGAGCGACAGAAGGGAAGGCACAAACCCTGCCCTCTGCTGCCAGCTCTCCACCTTTCCTCCCAACGTCCCCAACCTCGATGCTCAGACCGTGCTAACTGTGTGTACATATATATTATAAATATATGTATATTAAATATAATATGGAGTGCTCAGTGTTAACTTATTTTCTTTGTCAAGTGGACCAAAAATAAAAAAGCAAAGAGGAATTGTAACAGAATAATTTTTCTAACTTCAAAAAAACCACATTCGTCTCCGATTGCAGAATCATTTAAGAAAGAAACCAACTACGTCGCTCTGGTACATCAGATGGAAGATTGCATCACTACGATCCGAACAAGCTACGAAGGCAACTGTAAGGGCCTACCTCGCAGGGCTGTCGAGCTGTGCATTAGAACCCACATGCACCCACAGGGCAGCGCAGACACCCTGGCGGCAGTGACCCTGCCTTAAGCTGCTTTTCCAAATCCCAGCCAGTATTTCTTGCTGCTAAAATTAACCAGAGACCCAGCTATAATGTATCTGGCCGTGAACCAACCGCGGCCTTTAGCCCCAGGATACCATGGACAAGCTGGGTACTGGGACACTTAGCCCTACGGATCAGGCAGCACCCCTCTCCGTGCCCTGAGGGGGGGAGCATCAAGCCCCCGCCCCAGAGCAGGCAAGGACGTCCCAGCATTTGCTAAAAAATCCCCACTCAAAATCCCCTACTCTCCAAAATACAAACAAGTTCAACACACTAAGACTCAAAATGAAACTGGAAGGCTATAGAGAGAGACGGGAGACGGAACAGCCGAGACGAGACTGAGTGGCCGTCGGAACCCGAGGCAGCCGCAGGAGAGCAAGGAAAAGCGTAGATGCTGGCCGTACATACCACTAGGTCTCTCAATTCATTTATTGCATTTATATAATATATATATGTATATATACATACATATATATATATATATATATATATTTAAACTTTTACAATAATTTTAACTTGATAACACCCAAGTTTAATTTGGTTCTTGTCTTGTTTAATACATATAAAATTAGGCCTCTAAACAGCAATCAGGGGAAAACGTTGCTTTCAAAACCAAGAGATTATCCTGAAGATGAAGGGAAAAAAACAAGGCTGCTGGCAGGGCTGCCACAGCAACTCCCTTGCGGGGGCTGCCCACCCACTCCCTCCTCGCCTCCAGTTCGGGGCAGCTGCCAGGCTGGAGCTCAAGGCGGCTGTGGCTGCGACCTTTTCAACTTTAGGCTCCAGGGAGTTCCCGGAGTGGCCCTTCACGAGAACAAAGGCGGCTCTAGACGGGAGGGAAGGTCCTTTGCGCCTAGAGCTGCTGAAGAAAAAACACACCGAAAGAAAGAACCAGGGGAAAAAAAAAAAAACCAAACCCAGAGGGAACAAAGCCCCCAAATTTTCACTGAAAGAGCAGAATCCCAAGTTTGCTCATCCTGGGCGCAACATGCAGCAGTCGGGTCTTTGGGAAGGGGGGGTGAGATAAAGGTACATCTCCAAGGTGCTTCTGGAGCCCCCACCCCTACCCAAAGGAGAGAAATCAAGCCAGCTCATCCCCCCCCCACCCCAAAGAAGCTTAGCAGGGAACAGGTGGCAACTGCAGCCAGGCATCCACACCCCCCCCCCAATTCTGGGAAGTCTGGTGCTGAAAAGGGCAGCCGAGGCCGAAAGGGAGAGGAAGGGGAAGCAGGGCCCCCTCCCCCAGCTGCTAGAGCGGAGTCCAAGGGCGGGAGCTGAGCCGAGCAGGCCCCCCTGCTAAGCAGGGCTGGTCTCTCATCTAAAGCAGGGAGAGGGTGGCTAATTCAACAGGGCAGGCGTCCCCACAGCCCATTCCGTGTCTCCAGGGCTCTCAGGAAGGCATGCACTGCACCCGGTCCGGGCCCTCCTCGTCTTCGTCCAAGCTGTCTGACGAGCTGAGGGAGTCCTCAGAGTCGCTGTCAGCCGCTCCGGTGCCTGGATCTCGCTGGCGCTGCAGAAGAGAAGCAGCCTCAGCGTCACGGGCGCCCCGATCTTTTCGGACCCCTCCTCCCCCCTATGTGACACTGCAAGACGAGTTGAGAAGCAGCTTCCGGGCCTTTGAGAGGCAGGCCCACTGAGGAGGCCCAGGGCGGACCCTTGTTCAGGGGTCCCAGAAACGGTCTGACCCCGGGGTGGCTTGCGGAGGGACCCTGCTCTGCCCCACTACAGCAGGGAGGGTCTCCGCGCCCCGAGTCAGCCGGGAGGGCCGCTCACCCTGTGACGCCGCCGTGGCCGGAAGTGGTGCATGAGGAACCAGAGCAGGTGGCTCTCGTACATGTCCGCGTGGTTCAGGCTGTCCTCGTCCCGCTCCCGCTTGTTCTTCTTGATCACCTGGGGGGCAGCAGCAGGGTGAGGATGGACACCGGCACAGATGTCCATCCTCCCTGGGAAGACGGGGCTGATTCCAGATTGGGGAGGGGGAGAAGGACCCAGGAGTCTCCCCACCTCCTTCAAGCCGGTGAGCTGGGTGGGCATCTCTGCAGTGGGGGCCCAAATCTTGACGTCATAATCCAAGCCGCTGGTGGCCAGAACCGGGAGGTGGGGGTGAGGCTCCAAGCAGTTCACCTGCAAGGGCAGCGAGACAGAAAAAGGGGGCTGCAGAGGTTTGCGGAGGGTCCACTGAGCTCAGGGGCAGCCTGTGTGGACTAGGGATAGCGGGGACTGGGCCCCACATGCGCACCTGGGAGCCCCCTACCCGTCTTTGGTCCGCAGCCCCGAGGCCCCACTCACCACTCCTCCTTTGTCGCCTTGCATGAACTGCACCACCTGGCAAGAGGCCTTTTCCCACAGGAAGATGTGGCCGCAGTCGCTGCCGCTCACCACAAACTCGCTGTTGGGGCCGTAGAAGTTGACTCCCTTCACTGCAAGCAGACCCAGAGAGCCCTCAGGCCGGGCCGGGCTCTGGGCCCCCCTCCCAAGAGGCGCTGTGTCCCACACCTGCTCCGAAGACAAACCCTCTTGGTTGGGTAACTGGGCTGCCTTTGATTCGGACGCTTAAAAGTGAATCCCTCGGAAGGACACAGCAGGCCTTGCTCACTATGGCTGATTCCCCCCGCCCAGCAAACAGGTCCCTCTACATGCATCCCTGGCCTCCATTTTACATGGATGTGCACTGAAGGGGGGGGGGGCATTTTAACTGCCCCACCCTTGTCTCCTTCGGCCAAAAGGGGGGGACCTGGCCTGAGGGCCCCGGGAACCTCCCCCGGCCCCATATCAGGCCGCCCACGGCCAACTGGGGAAGGGCCAGGGGGGAGGGGGCCACCTGTGGCGTTGTTGCGGTGCCCCTTGTATCTCTTGATGTACTCGGCTCCGTCGCTGTGAGAGGAGTTGAAGAGATAGACATCCTCGTCGTTGTAGCTGGCCAGAAGCTCTGCAAGAGACGCACAAGGGAGCACCTGGGGGCGGCCGCCCAGCGTGGCCCCACAGCAGAGGGGCCGCCCTGGCCTTCAGCCTCCGAGCCCCGGAGGCCCCGGGCTCCCCACGGCCCGTTACCTGAGCCATTGTGGCTGTAGACCAGGCAGGTGATGTTGGCTTTCGACTCGCTGTTCACCTGGAAGAAATCGAGGGGCAGAATTCTGTCAATCCCCCCCCACAGCTCCCGCTTGCTCCTCCGCTCTCCTTCCCCGAGAGCCGCTTTTGGCAAAACAGGAATCCGAGGCTGGGGAGGGGAGAAGCGAAGGATCCCAGGATGAAGACGGACAGAGCCTGGAAAGCCACAACTTGGGGGGGGGGGACTTCTGTGGGATGTCTGGGACTCCCTCTGGAAAGACCCTCAAGCTGCTTAGTCCCCCTGCTGGGGTTGGAGCAGAGGCAGGAGGGGGGCAAGGGAAGCTGGGGGGGGTGGCAGAAGAGAAGGTCTCACCAGGTGGTGAGGGCAGAACTTCTTCAACACTCCATTGTTCTCGTTTTCATTGATCTTCCGCTGATCGTAGATCCTGCGCAGAGACAGGCAGAAAAGGAAAGCTGAGACCAGCAATCCAAAGGAAAGTCTCTAGAGGACCCCAGCCTCGTTCTCTCCCAGTCAAAAGCAAGCTTCTAGTCCTCAAGTTAACAGCCTTTTAAGGTATGACGAAAGCCCAAGCAAGGACAAGGCGGATCTCCTTCCTGGGCAGCAGGGGCCGGAGTGTGGCACCGCAGCTGAAGGTCAAGGGCCCAGCAGGGTCTCCCAGACACACCGGGAGGGGGGAGGGGGCTCTGCTGACCTGACGTATTCATCTCTGCCGCCCACAGCAAACTGGTCCGTGTTGGCTGGGTTCACGTAAATGGTGTAGAGTCCGACTTTCTTCTCCTTCTCTTTGGTCACGACCAGCTTCCTAGAGACACAAAGCAAGGCCATCAGCACCCTGAGCCGCCTCAGTGGGAACCACCAACAGCTGAGCTGCCCACTTACGAAGCCGGTCGGTCTTGTCTCAAGTCGATGGTGAAAACAACGGCGTCTTCTCCCGCCGAGAGGAAAGTGCAGGGGGAATCCGGTTCCAGGGCAAGCTGGGGGAGAGAAAGGCTGAGCTGGGGTGTCTTTTAACGAGGCCAGAGGGATGCAATCCCGAACTCAGCAGGCGAAGAGCTTCAGGATGCCTCCCGAGTGGCCCGGCTTGGCTCCCCGGCCCCAATGTTTCAAAGAATTCTGCAGGAAAGTCCCGCAGTTTGGAATTGTCTCAGGGTGGCCCCTCGAGGGAGAGCGCGAGCAAGTGTGTGTCTCCGCAGAGCTGTCCCAAGGGAAGGAGCAGGCAGCCCCTTGCTGGGTGCAGAAACCGAGAGCCAGGCCTGCGTTTTGGGGCGTGAGTAGCCCATTGGGCACGGGCCCTCCTGGTGAAGTTGCAGCCAGAGACTCTTGATGAACACCAAGAGCTCCCCTCACAGGGGAGTGGGCAGGGGGAGCAGAGGAGACCCCTCACCTTGTGCGATGCGCCCTTGTGCTGGGCCACCCGCTTCGTGGTCTTACAACACTGCGTGGCGGAGAGTTCGGCTACGCGGACCTGGCCATCCCGAGCACACATGGCCAGGGTCGAGTCTCCGCTGTTGGGGAGGAACTTGGCCTGCAGGGGCGAAAGCAGCCGGGGCTGGCAAGAGGTGGACGGCTCTGGCCAAGGCCGGACCCCCTCCGCCCCACCAGCAGAGCTCTTTCCAGAGTCCCAATCAGCCTCCCTCCAGGCTGGCAGTCCCTGGGAGAGCTAGAAGGGGGCCCCTCAGCCTCACTAGGCCCGCTGGAAGACCCTGCTCCAATCTCCAAGCCCCCCCCCCCATTAAGACAGAGCCCCCCCCCCCACCTGGAAGACGTTGCTCTTGTGGCCACTCTCGAACTGCAGCACGGGCCGCCTGCGCACCCAGTCCCAGACCACCACCTTGAGATCATCGCTGCCGCTGGCCAGCCAGGCCCCGCGCTGGTTGAAGTGCAGGGTGTTCACGCAGCCCCCGTGGCCCTCCAGGCCGTACTGCAGGCAGAAGCGCTGCACGAACAGCCGGGCCCCGCAGGCATCATAGATGAAGCGGGCGCTGGAGCCAAGCTCCCTCTCTCGCAGGGCCTGGAGGGCTCGCCAGCGTGGCAGGGGCAGCGCCATCGTCTCTGAGGCCACCCAGTCCTCCAGGGCCCGCTCGTCATCCGAGGAGTCCCTGTCCTGGTTGGGGCGCTTGCGATGTGTTCGCCAGCGGGAACGCTGGGCCTCCGCTTCTGCCTCCTCCTCCTGCTGCTGCTGCTGTTCTTCCTCTTCTTCCTCTGCCTCCTCTTCCTCCTCCTCCGAGGGGGAGCGGTCATAGGTCCGATTCAGTTCATTGATGGAGTAGTGCCCGGTCTCCTCCATGCTGTCCGAGTCCTTCTCTTCGGTGGAGCTCTCTGTGTAAGTCTGGCTGGGGCCTACCTCGTCCCCCGTCAAGCTGAGGCTCAGGTCAGAAGCCTCCACCTCCACCCCGGAAGACGTTTCGGGCCCCTCCGTGGTTCCAGACATCTCTTCTGGACTGCTGGACAAGCTTCCTGTGTGTAAAGACCACATTTGGGTTAGCAGGCTGAGCTGGCCTTCCCTCCATCCTTCTCGTACGCAAGGCTGCTCCCCAGAGGCGGCCGTGCCCAAATGCCCACAGCTGCAGGGAAAGTGCCGCTGTGATTCTGTCTGGCGTAGAAGCCGCTCCCCGGCATGGAGATGGACAGAAGTGGGCGTGTGGGAGGCGGGCTGGACCCTGCTACCCACCTACCCTCCAGCCACAGCTCAGTGAATTGGCCCAGAGCCCTTCAGTCTTGCAACCAACAACAAACACCAGAAATGTTTCTGCTTCTCTCTCTGGTCTTACCGTTAGGCATATTCGTCTTCTCCTCTGTGCTATTCCCCGTGTCTGACATCTTGCTATTTTAATTCGCCCTAAGAAAAAGAGAAGGAAACAGAGCAGCAGGTGAACTGAACCATTTGTGGCACGGGACAGATGCAGGAAAGGGCAAATCCAAAGGAAGAATCAGAAAGGTCGATCCATCTCCCAACCCTCAGTGTGGATCATGGCTCTCCTCAAGTCCATTTTGCTCCAATTCGCCCAAGACCTGCCTTCAGACATAGCACTGACGCATCCAGGCGAAGGAGGCAGCTGAATGCACAGATGGCCTTGCAAAGTTGCAGCCCTTCCCACATTCACACATAGCACCAGAGCAGATGCGCCTGGCAAAACCTGGAGCACCAGCAGTCGCAACATCAGGGTCCTTCTGTTGGGAAAACAGCTGCTCTGACACCTTCTCTGGAGAAAGGCCCCAACAGAGGTGGAGAGAGGGGCACGGAGGTGCTCTTTTCAAAGTCCTCATATTCAAGGCCCGTTTCACAACACAAGAAGGTCGCAAAATGTGAGCAGACCTTGACGAGAAAACTCTAACCACAAGGAAGGTTTCCGGGGTGGGATCGGCTGTATACAACTCCACTGTTTATTTTTCTTGCTAGATGACTTTGCTTATTTAAGATACTTTGTTCTCTGTAGAGCCAGATGGTTACCAAGATGGCTGATAACAACAAGCATCGTTTTAAAGACACCTACGCTTTTGAGCAAGTCTCCTAATAAACAGAGGTCTCCAAATGCCAGCTGAGATCTGACTCTTCGGTGCTAACAACGTAGGCACCACGTAGGCATACGTGGGGGCAAGCTTTCACCAGAACCCCCTGTATAGAAGCCGGACCCCCCCCCCAGGAGCTCCAGCAAAGGAGGAGACCCTCCTTAACCTCCTGGCCAGTTTATGCAGCTCTGGTTCCAGGGCCATTCGAACTGAGCATCTCTTTGGGAAGGTGTGGAGCTTCAAGGCCTGTTCTGGAAGACGAGCAGCTTCAACAGCTTCTTGGATCGCAGCCTGCCTTCCGCTTCGTCCCAGGAAAAGCCCTTGGCAGGAGGCACAGGGGATGTCCACCCCCCCCCCTTTGAACATAGGAAGAAAAGGCCTCCGGCGCTTCTCCTCTCTCTTTCCAAGGGAAGCCACACAAAAAAAGCAGGAGGGTCGCAGGCGGAAGGTGGCTCGGGAAGCGTCTGCAGGAGGACCGGCGGAGACTCCTACCCGCCCTGAGCTCAGCTGGTCCGAAGGAGCTAAAGATAGACAGGACGAGGCCCGCCGGCTTCTGACCTACGAAGGCCGCCGCGGGAGAGGAGGAGGAGGATGGAGCTCAGCCGCTTTCCCGAGGGGGGGGCGGAGGCCGCGACGCCCAGGGAAGAGCCTCGACCCGGGACGGGGGGGAGGATCCCCGGGGAGAGACTGGCAGCCCGGGCCCCTCCGCCCCCTCGGGGAAGAACCCACGAGCCGCCCCCTCCCGAGCTCCGTCGAGACCCTCGGAAAGCCTCCCCCTCCCCCAGACTCCCCTGGCCTGCCGCCTCTTCCGTCGGGGGGCGGGGGGGCTCGGCAGCACCGGGGAACCGGCTATCAGACTAAGGGGGGGAGGGGAGAAAACGGCATTTCAGAGAGCCGGATTTCCCCGGACGCTCCGTCCGCCCTGCTCCGGGGCCCAAAGCTCGGCTTCCCTTCCGCTGCAGCCGGACGGGAGGGTTCCCGTCTCCCCGACAGCGAAGCCCAAACGGAGGCGGACAGCCCCGACTGACTAGCCGGGCCCCGCCGCCCGTTCCCGGCTGTTCCGGGCGAAGGGGGCGGCCTCCCTCCCGCGGGGGCTCCGCTGGCCCGCACGCAGGCCCGGCGCGGCCGTGCCCGGGATCCGGTGGGGGAAGCGGCGCCGGGCCCTCGGCCGGGGACGCGGCTGCCGAGGCTGGGCCTGTCGGCGCCCTCCGGCCTCCTCGGGTACCTCTGGCGGCGGCTCCTCCGCCTGCTCCCGCCGCCCCGTCGCCGGTGCTGCCCCCGGGACGTCCAGGCGCTGCCGCCATTTTGTCGCCCAACCGGCGCCGCGCGTCTCCTTCCGGCTCCGCCGCTGCTCTTCGCGACAGCCGCGCTTTACGGCCCCCAGCCGCCGCGGCTCTACGGCAAAGGCGGGGAAAATGTAGAAAAACCCGGAAGCGCCTTAGAGACGGCTGGCTAGAGCGGCAACCCAGGCAGGAAAAAACAGAGAGCGAGTCCCGGTTGCTGACATGGGGAGACCAGAAGCACCGCGGTGTTTAACCCCCCCCCCCCCGCGGATCCTTGCTTGGCCGGCCGGCCTTTCCGCAAGATCGCCGAGTCCCTCCCCCCCCCCTAGGCTGGACCACCGAAGCAGAGCCGCCCTCGCACGATTCGGGCGCAACCGGACTTTGACGGCCGATTCCTCCTTCCGGGCCCTTTCACAGCCTGGCACTTCCGGGACCCCTGCCCGGAGGGAGCCGCCTTCCAATCTCGCCCTCTCCCAAGGCAGAGCCTGTGGCGGGACAAAGTTCTTCTGCCCTGACTAAAAGCAGCCAAAGGGGGTTTTGTGCCAAGGTGCCCACGCCCGGGGCTGGCCAGCCGGCCTTCCCCCACAGGGAAAGTGGAGAAGCTCTGAGGGAAGCAGCTCCTTTCCAAGCAACCCTAGAAGGTATGGGAGGTGATCAGAGGCTAAGACAGACCATCATCGCTCTCAACCAGTTCACACAAAAGCTACAAATCCTTCAGGATTTTTTACCCGTTAGGATTTGCACCCCCAAAAATAAGCTGTTCTGCTTCCTGCCGCAGAAGAGCAAGAAGCATCTGATAGACCACCAAGTGTCGCTTTGCCCACCCACCCCGTCTACTGTGTGCCTCTTCAATGTGTCTACAACTTGGAGATGCCCCGATCAGTCCTAAAAAATAAAAGTTACCACTAGACTGTTGAAGGTCCATTTTCCCCGTACCGTATAGGACCTGTGCAGTTTACAGCTGCAAGGTGAGCTGCTAGGGGCTCCATATGCTCAAGATTTGAAACGGGGGACTTTCTCTGCTCACAATGATTAACACAAATAATCACAACTTCAAACCATGAACCTCCACCTTTATTTCAAGAATTGCCCTTCCCAAACCTCATTCAGTCCGGCCAGATTCAGCCAAGGAGAGCGGCTCTCCCTCCTGCAACATCAGCTGCTGGCAGAAACACCCTTGTGGCCAGTGGCAAAGGCGGCCTGCTTCCTAGCTATCTCCCCATACAAGCAGTTCTCACAAAGCAGTAGCACTAATGTGGGACAGGGGAATGTTAATATTTGGGGCTACAGCAAAAAAAAAAAAGCCCCACACTGACTTTGGGCAAGTCCGGGGAGCCAGACAGCTGGCCTGGCATCATCAAAAGGGGCCCTCTAGCTCCCCGATCCAGAGACTGGCCGGCTGGGGCTCAAGGAAAGGGGCGGCTCCAATTACAGACACTGAACTGGGGGTCACAGCCAGAGCTGCCTGAGAAGAGCAGCAGAGCTGGGCCTTCAGAAGTGGGTGCAGGAGGTTTCCCTTCACGCAGAGGACTCTCATGAGCCACCGTTTCCTCCCTTGGCCTGATTATTTCACCGATGGCAACCTCATCCCATCCAGAGAGAGCATGTCCATCAACTCGGGACAGAAAAGAAGAGACGTTCCTGGGGCCTTCAATTAGTGCAATTAGTCTCTTCAGAAGCCAAGCGGCAAAGCTGGCACCTGACCTCAGGGTATCATCCCTCTGGCTTGCTACGTCCCTTGTGGGATCCCTGCAAAACCACGTGCCGGGTTTAGCAAAGGCAGCCAGCCTCTGGCATCTGGTGATGACAAAAAACGGGGTGGGGGGAGAAACAAAACACCTCGACCCACCACAGAGCCCTCCCATCTCCTCAGTCCCTTTGGCACGGGAGCAGGTCACATAATCTGGCACTGCTCGCCTCCGGCGCCTCCAGTATCAGGCAGATTCAGTCCTTCGAGGTCAAAGTTCAGGCCAGGAGGCTGGAAAAGGAGGAACTTTTGTTCACAACAAAGAAGCACTTCTCTGCAGAGAGTGAGGTGTTGTGTCCCTCAGGAAGGACAAGCTTTTATCTGGCTGTAGGAAACACCGGCGGGTTCAGGCTGCCCTAAACAGCATCCTCCATAAACAGGCACATTGGGGCTTGGAAATGCTCCCTTTGCCCACCTTCTTCCCCTTCGCTTTGTGAGGCCAAGACTGCTGGTGAGACCCTGGCTCTGAATCCAAGCCTGAGGAAGGTAGCCAAACAGACACTCACCGATTCTCCGGCCAGCTCCTTGGGAGGATGCCCCAGGTCCTGCAGCTAGAAGGCAAAGACAACAGTTAGCCCCCTGCCCCACGCGTCGCCCCCCACCGGCCCCACCCAGCCCCTTACCTGCTGCATCAGGTCCAAGATCGTTTCAAAGCGAGCCCTGTGCTCCAGGTCACCGTCCGTGGGCAGCTCAGCCTCGAACTGCTCGCAGATCCTTCCCATGACGCTGTGCTGCTCCTGGTACTTCTCATACTGCTCCTTGGGCAAGGAGTCTCGGTGTCTCTGGAGCCACTCGGGGTACTGGGGGGGGGTTAAGTCCACCATGAGCTCATGGATGGCCCACCTGCTGGACCTCCTGCCTTTCTGGGGGTGGGGGATGATGTTGAGCCACCAGACAGCCCCTTTCCCTGCCTTGCTGGACAGGGTGGCAGGGAAGGGGCATGGTGGGATTCTTGCTGTCGCTGGGGGGGGGGGGGCTGAATCCAGTCAAGGCTTGTCTTACTTTCTCTGTGATCTCCTTGAGGGAGGGGTAGAGCACGTCCTTGGAGAGCAGGTTCTGCATGATGCTGTGCATGATGGGCCACAGGTTGCCTTCTCCGCCATCCCCCTCCTCCAGGCCGAGCCCCTCCATCGTCCTGCTCAGCTCCTCCTCCGACACCCCGGAATTCTAGAAGAGGCAGATGGGAGTGTCCGCCCGCAGGGAGGGGAGGCCCGCGGGGGGCGGCGGGGGGGGGAGAGGGGCGCACCTGCAGGTCGTCTGCGTTCCTGGCCAGCCCGCTGAGCGTCTCCTTCAGGCAGGAGGTGAACTCCTGGCGGGACGCCGGGTCGCTCCCTGCAACGAGGCGGCAGCGCTCGCCGGGCTCTTCTTCTCCAACAGAGCCCCGCGACCCCGGCACGAGCCCCGAGGATCCCCGAGGGCGCTCACCGACTCTGCCCGCGGCGGCGGAGAGCCTCTCGAACTGCTGCACCAGCAGCGGCTCCTCGGCCGCCAGCTCCGCCATGGCCCGCTCGAATTCGGCGCTCGCCTGCGAGGCCAGCTCGCCCTCGAAGAGCTCCTGGAAGAAGGTCTCCTGCGCGGCCAGCAGCCGGCCCTGCCCGGGGGGGGGGAGGGAGGAGGCTGCAGGCGCTGCCCTGGCCTGGGGGGGAAGGACCCCCCTCCCCCGGGTCCCCCTGCCCCCCCCGCTTACCTGCGCCTCCCCCGCCGGCTCCGCGCTGCTCCCGCCGCCTCCGGCGGGCTCCCCGGGCGCCGGCGCGGCCCTCTCGAAGTCCTCCAGGGCGCCTGCAGAGAGGGAGAGGGAGAGAGCGCAGCCGGGTCGGACAGGCGGCCGGGAAGACCCCGCGGACCCCGCCGCCCACGCCCGGCCGGGCCGCTCACTCGCCAGCAGCTCCTCCAGCTCCGCGTCGGGCTCCGCTCCGGGCGCCGCCATCTCGCAGCAGGACCGGCCAGACGCCCCGGCCGCCCGGGGACGCGCACGTCGGGGGAGGGGCCGCCCGGCGGACTACGACTCCCGTCAGCCCCAGCGCGGGGGCGGGGCGGGAACGCTTGGCCCGCCCCTCCGTGGTTGCCTGGCGACGACTCCGCCGCATCGTCCGCCGCCGCCGCCGCTATGGGCAAGAAGGGCGAGCGGGGCGCCAAGGACAAGAGCGCCGCGCAGGAGGAGGAGGCGCGCATCGCGGCGCGCAGGGCAGAGCACGGCGAAGGTGCCGCCCCCCCCGCCCCCCCCGGTGCGGCCCCCCCGCCCGCCCCCCTCTGACGCCCCTCTTCTCCCCCCCACCTCCCCGCAGAGGAGTACGTGTGCGGCGGCGCCCTGGAACTGGACTTCCCCGAGCTGTGCGCCCGCGCCGGGCTGCAGGAGGCTCCCCGCGTGGTCAGCCGCCCCCACCCGCCCGCCGGAGGCGCCCCGGAGGAGCCCGAGGGTCCGGGCGGGGCCGGCCCGGCGTGGGAACAACGGGAGGCGCTGCCGGCGCTGGCCCAGATCCAGGCCAAGTACGGCTACTTCCGCCCGGCCGTGCAGGTGGAGCTGGAGCACGAGGACCCCAAGAGCGCCCGCGAGGTCTTCATTCGCAGTGAGTGGGGGGCCCCTCCGCGCCCCCTCCTCCCGGGCACCCCCGGCCCGCTCTAGCCCGCCTCCCTCCCGCCCGCAGGCTGGAAGATCGAGGAGAAGATGCTGGGCGTGCTGGCCAAGTGCCTGCCGGCCCTCGCCCACCTCCAGGCCCTGCAGTGAGTGAGCCCGCGAGCGCGGCCGGAGTGGGGGGGGGCTCCGGGACGGCGTCCGGCTGGGCGGCCCGGACTGCCCGGCTCTTTTCCTCCCCTGCAGCCTCTGGAAGGTCGGCCTGAGCGACGCCGCCTTCCTCGCCCTGCTGCCCATGCTGGCCGCCTGCGCCAACCTCAAGTAGGTGACCCCCATCCCGCGGCTGGGGAGGCAGGGTGGGCGGGCTGGGGAGGCAGGGTGGGCGGGCGGGGGCGGCCCGGTGGCCGGCCGGGCAAAGGCGGCCGAGCTTCTTCTCCCGTCCTGCAGGACGCTGGTCTTGGAAGGGAACCCTCTGCCCGAGCGCTCCTTCTACAAGCTGCTTTCGGAGGAGAGCAGGTGAGGCCCCGGAGCCCCAGTACCCCTCCCTCCCCTGCCGCCGGGGCCCTCAGGCAAGTCCAGCCATCCCCTGGCCCAAGACCTGGCTGCCGCTGCTCCCCTGGCCTCCTCCGGTGGGCACCCAGGAGGAGCCGGGGGGGGGGGGAGGTGGCCCACCCCACCCTCGCACCACCGTTCTTCCTCCCCAGCTTGGCCCACCTCTCCTTGCGCAACAACTGCATCGACGACCAGGCGGTGCTGCTGATCGGCCAGGCGCTCTCCTCACTCCGCAGCTCCAACAAGAACTTGGCCTCCATCAACCTCAGCTACAACCACATCACGGACATGGGGGCCACCCACCTCGCCAACGTGAGGCTGCTGGGAAAGGGCGCCTGGGCTCTGCTTGGCACACCGGCTGTCCCACTGAGGACGGGCGGTGGGGAGCCCAGCCTCAGGTGCCCCTCTCTCCGTGCAGGGCCTGCGCCTCAATCGGTCCCTGCTGTCCTTGTCATTAGCTCATAACCAGATAGGGGACGAGGGCGCCCAGAAGCTGGCCGAGGTCAGTGCTGGGAGGCTGCCCGCCCCATTGGAGCAGCCAGGGCCCCAGGGTGGCTGGAGGGCAGTGAGGAGGGGTCTCTCAGCCGGCTGCTTGCCTTGCAGGTGCTCGGCCCCTTTGCCCTCACCCACACGGAGGTGGTGGAAAGGCGACGGCTGCTGCTGGAGAAGGAGGCCCAGGAGAGAGGCCGCCTGGTGAGCAGCTGGGGCTCTGGCCTCGTCTATCACTGCCCCTGGGGCAGGCCAAGGAGCATCTCTCGCTTGGAAATTCTGAACGCCCCCCCTTTTCTCCTGTCAGCCCCAGAGACACTTGGAGCTGAAGGGCGACCGCCCGGCCAGCCACGTCAGCAGCACCACCATCGACAAGCTGCAGAGCGCCAAGGGTGCCAAGGCCGTCGTTAAGAAGAAGGCAAGCTATCCCGAGGGCGGGTGGGGGGTGTCTGGGGCAGAGAGCCAGGAGGGACATCAAGAAACCGCAGAGCCAGCCCCCCCCCAGGCAGGCAGAGACCGGCGTCTGGCCTCTTCCAGGAACCCACCAAAAAGGAGGAGAAGGGCCCAGCAGGTGGAGCGGCTCCTGCACAGCCACCGGCAGCCCCAGCGGCCCAGGCCAAGAAGGAGGACGCCAAGCAATCCAAGAAAGGTTCTGGCTGGGCCAGCTGGCCTCTCCCGCTCCCCGGGCCTCGGAGGCCTCCCCCCAGGCCCCTGAGCTCCAGTTCTCTCCTGCAGCCGTCCCCCCGGTGGATCCCAAAGCGAAGGGGGCCAAGGGAGTGAAGCTGGGTTCTAAGGACAAGCGGTCCCAGATCCTGGAAGTGGAGGTGAGCCCCCCTCCCCCAGGCTCTAGCCAAGTCCAGCATGGATGGCTGAGCCTCATCCCTCCCCCCCCCCCAGAACCAGGGTCTGCCTATCCTCTGCAAACAGTCCCACCTGGCCGGAATCTTAAGTGGCTGGGGGGGGGGGCAGCCGTACCCTCCTCTCCCCCACTCCTGCAGCAACTACTGTACCTGCCTGCCTTACCCCCCTCACCCCCCCCCCGCAGCAGATCCTGGAGCCCACCGAGATGATGAACCCCTTGCTGGAACCAGCAGAACACCGCGAGGGGCAAGTTTTCCTTCAGGGGAACCGGGTTTTGATCTACCTGAACCTCATGCGTATGTCAGGGAGCAGGGCTTGGGGGGGGGGCTTTCACAGGGTCCCAAGGTGGCGGGAGGAGCTTGACCAGAGCGCCGCCTTCCCCTCCTTGCCTCCCAAGGCAATCACATCTCGGAGAGCGGCCTGAAGGCCTTCCTGGCCACGGTGGAGTACCAGGTCAGCCGGATCCTTCCTGGGGGGAAGGGGCCAACCGGCCTCCTGCATCTCTCTCTGGCGGTGAGTCCCTGCCAATCAAGGAGGGTGGGCGGCCCCCCTCCTTGCCACCAGGAGTCCTCAACCCCTGCCCTCACCTGGGGTCCCCACCTTTCGGTTGACTCTCTCAGAAAAACCTCTTCCCGGCTGAGAGCAAGACCTTCTGCAGGATCCAGGAGCTCATGGGGCCCCGAGACCCCCTCCCCAGGGCCTCCAAGCCAGAGGAGGAGCTGCTGGCCGCTGCCCAGTAAGCCCAGCCCAGCTTCTCGCCCAGGATCCTGTGCCCGGAAGCTCCAAGCCAAACCTCCGGGTGGAGCCCCCAAGACTCCCTTGTCGACCGGAAGGGCGGATTTCTCTATTCTGCCCATTAAAAGCCACATGAGAAAACCTGGAATTATCTTCTGGTGTAAAAAGTTACAGGTGGGGGGGGGGGGAAGACTGTTAAACCTGGCGGTATCGGAGGGCCCACGGGCGCCCCTCCTCTCTGGCTGGGTGGTCCAGATCCAAGGGTGGGCACCAGCCTTCCCGCCGGCAGGGCAGACCCTCCCTCCAAGCCCACCCCTCTCCTTTTCAACTCAAAGTCAGGGGACTTGTGCTGGCAGAAGAGCTGGACAGCTGTCACTTTTAAATGGAAAAACAGACCTCTCTCACGTGGTGCAAGAGGTTGAATATTTTACTTTTTTTGTTGAAAAATCATTTAGCACTGAAAGCAATAAAATAAAATTGGCTTTCAGCATTGTAACTCTGGTGCAAAAACTCCAGGGATGGGAAGGGGCCGGGGAGAGCCGGCTGGCAGCAGCCTCAGAAGAGCCAGGGGAACCGGCCTTTCCTGGGGGGGGGGTCTGGCAGCCCCGGCTGCTTCAGCAGGCACAGCTGGGGGTGTTCCCAGTGTTAAAAGCCCCCCCCCCCGTCAGCTCAAGCCCTTCAGCAAAGGGCCTTGGAAATAGGAATTGAGGAATGGAGACAAGTAAAAAAACCAAAAGCAGCCACGGGGAAACAACCGCCTATCATATTTACAAAACCTCAATGCACATACATACATATTTATATCCGAGGAGGAGGTCTGGAGGCAGCGGGGCCTCCCTGGCCAGACTTTCCTCCCCATGGAGAGAAGACGTTAAGGAAAACAAAAGTGCAAGTATACAGAATATACTCCCGCTGTCCTGTGCCGTGGAAAAGCCAGGCTGCAGGGCACGTGTATGTCTACACAACTCTCACGCATACCCAACGTGCAAGCACGCCATCAATTCATCTATGGGACAAAATGAAGGGCTGGACCCCAAAGTCTGCCAGCGGAGGGACGGGGGCTCCTTACGTTTCAGGGGAAAGAGCAGAAAGTCTGCTTTCGCTCGCTCCAGTTGGGGAAGCCTCCAGATGTTTTCACAGAACATCACGCGAAGCCAAAAGTCTGCTTCCCAACGAGGCGGGGTCCAGCTGTCTCTGCCTCCTCCTTGGTTTCGCCATTTTTCACCCTGGCAGCTGCCGGTCCCATCCACGGCCTCCTCCCATCTTCTGCACGGGCCGGGAGGGGTGGGAAGGTGATGGAGGCATCACCTGGAGGTGCTTTTTCCTTCCTTGATGGAGGCCTTCCTGCCCTACAGGGTTACTTCCTGGGAGCCGTCTTCCGGCAGGGCGAGAGAGAGCCCGTTCACGTCTGCAAAGACAATGGCGTCAGCCCCCGGATGGACAGTGGGCAGGGGTGGGGCACTGGGACCCTCCAGCCCTCGTACCAGGCTTGGCAGCCACTGGGGACTGTGGGGAGGAGGGCAGAGAGGGACGGCTGGCTCTGGACCCCCGGTGGGTGCTGGGCGACATCCGGCTCAGCTCTGGGGATGTGCGTCCCTGTCCAGGAGGGGCTTGGGTAGTGGGGTGCCCCTTCGTCGGGGGCTGCCAGAGCAGCAGCTGCCGGTATGCCCCTTCCACGTCCTGCAAGGGGAGAAAAGAGCTGCAAGGGGGCAGCCAGAACCTCTCCCTGCCCCCATCGCCACTCTGGGCATGCAGCCTCCCCACCCACTTTGCCTCATTCACACATCCCGACTCACCTTGAGTTTGGACAGTTTGCGCGTGAGTTGCTCTAGTGTCCGGAAGATGGCATCCACGTCCTGCATGCTCTGCCCCCTTGCCGGGGTCTCCCTAGTGTTCTCCTGGCAGCCGGGCAAAGGCACCGCCGTAGGCAAGGATGGTGCCCGGCTCAAAACGTCCACCGACTCCCCGGCGCTCTTGGCACCTGCCTGAGGCTTTTCGAAGTCGGCAGGCAGGCTTAAGTAGAAACAGTTTCCTGGATGGAGGAGGAGGGGATGGCTGAAGCTTGCAGGCTGGGTGACTCAGAGGGGCCTGTTTGGGGGAAGGGGCTCCCGGCCCTGAAAGGCCCCAGCTGGGTGTTCAGTTCCTTGGGCAAAACCTTTCCCCTGCTGGGCCAAACCCCGCCGTACGTTTAAGGCAACGCAAGACCTTCGGTCGCCCTAAAACTCCCTGGAGCACCCGAAGCCAAGCCAGGCCCTCCCCCGCCTCCGGAAGGCTGCGAGGAAGGTGCTTTTCCTTCTGAATTGCGCTCCTGCTTAAAAACTTAACTCTAAAGTCACTCAGTGTTTGAATGGCTTTAATTACAGTGAGTGTTTGGCTGTGTGCATTTGTGCGCACCGCCCGGAGTCACACAAGTCAGATGGCGACTGTATGAATTTGATAAAATAGCCCAGTAATGCTGAAGGGAAGCAGACAATGTGGAGTGCAGCCCCCTTGTCTCCCCCCTCAAAGGCAGCCCCGGCACAGGACCCCCCCACCCGCCCCCAGCCTCGGGAGACCAGAGGGGCCCTGAGCCTCCCCCGCAAGGACAGAAGTCCTTTGCACAGTCGGGGGGAAGGCGTCTAGTTTGGTCTTTACCATCTGCATTAGGGGGGCCTCCGGCGTCAATTCCCGCCTGGCTGTCTTTCACCATCGAGAGCTGAGCACTTTTACTGCCCTCCACCTCAGCTGTGCAAGAGACACCAGGAAAGAGAAAGTGCATGTGGGGGTGGGGGAGGAGAGGAGAGGAGAAACAACAGTGGTCACCAGTGGGAATCCCAGGAGGGTCCAGCACCCGTCACCCAGAGAGGCAAGCGGAGGGAGCAGAAGGCAGGCAAGGAAGAGGAGGAGAGCAGAGGAATCGGCCGCAGCCGAGCCCTTTCCAGGCAGCATCGGAAGCGCGAGGCTGGACGTTGTGCCCTGGGCTCTCAACAGGCTCCGAAGACCAGCTGTCAGTCGCTGCAGATTAAGCCAGGGTGCCAAGCGCCTCCCCAAAGACCACCAAGGCTGGCGGGTCCCAGGACCCTGGAGCTCCGTCCCCCACGCTTACCTTTCCGCACCACCAGGTAGCCGCTTGGAGTCTCAGACTGCTGGTCGCCTGCCTGGGCCGCAGGGGGGGCCATCGCCTCCTGGCCCTCGCCCGGCCCGGGATCGCTTGTGGGGCCCGAGGACGGGGGCCCGGTCAGGCTCTCCTGCACGTCCGGCTCTGGAGGGCCAGGGAGAACGGAGGCCTCCGGGGGCTGCTCTTGGCTGGCAGATGCCGAGCCCCAGGGCCGCTTGTGGCCGAGCCCTGACGGGGTGGGGGTCAGGTCGTCCTCTGGCTCGGAGTCCTGGCTGGGCAGGAAGCTGTTCAGGAGGAGCCTCCGCAGGGTCTCCACTGCCGGGAGAAAGAGGGAGAGGACCACCTTCGTCCCCATCCACACCCACCCACCGTCCACGCTGCCCCCTCGCCCCCCCCAGGCAGAGGGAGGCCTCCTGGGTAAGGGGGCACCTACCGTCCCCCAAGGCGGACTCCGCCATGCTCTCCAGGCAGGGAGGCCTTCGAGGGGGGGGTGGTTCCTCCAGAGGGTGCAATGGAAGGGCAGTGGGTGCGTGGCCTTCCTCCTCCTCCTCCTCCTCCTCCTCCTCCTCCTCCTCCTCCTCCTCTGGGTGCCCGACCTCCAGCTGCTCGGCTGCAAAGGCTTCGGTGGGAGTGTCATCTGGGAAGGGGAAGGGCTCTGAGAAGCAGATGGGGGGGGAGGAAGAGCTGCCCCCTCCCACCATCCAGTGTGGAAGAACTGGCCAGACAGGAGCCGGAAGGGGGCAATGCCCCTCCCTGCCTTTTGCTGCCCCCAAAGTCCCCTGGCCTACCTGAGGCCCCTTCCTCCCCCTCCCCCTCCTCCTCCTCCGCTTCATGGTGGGGGGGGCTGCTCCCTTGGCCCAGCCCGGGGGTGACCTCGGCGTCCTGGAAGATGAAGCTGCGGAGAAAGACAAGAGAGGTCCAATATGGGAAGCAAGTCCAGGCCTAGCAGAAGGGGGGGGGTGTGTGACACCTGGCCCTCCCCTTCCTGCCCCTCCTGCAGGACCCTCGCCCACCTGGATGGGGCCGGCCGGGGGGGCCGCAGCTCCTTGGGATGGTGCTGGTTGGGCAGCGTCGCCTTCTGCGTGGAGCTCTTCACCGCCTCTTCTAAGAGGTCCATCCACCTGCCGGGCAAGGCCAGGAGACTTTCTCAAGAGCCCCCCCCCTCAAATGGGATACTCAAAAGGCAAATTCAAGTGCCGTCTCCCCCCGAAAGACCCAAAAGCTCGCTCTTCCTCCTGCCATCCACCCTCCCTTTGGGCGGCCCCCGTGACCCCCTCCCCAGGAGCCCCCCCCGTTTCCCTACGTGTTCTTCTCCAGGGAGCTGGAGGCGACCAGCTCGTAGATCTGGGGTCCCAGCTCCGAGGTGCAGATGATGAACAGGGCACGCTTGTCTGCGGAGGGAAGCAGAGGCCGGCAGGGCCACGTTTAGCACCCCCAACTTCGCCCCCCCCCGCCCTTCTTGAGCCCCGCTGGGGATGGGGGCGGGCTCACCGGTGGCCACGGAGCGGATGAGGACGGAGCTGAGCTTCAGGACGGGGCTGAAGGTCTGCTTGGTGTCCGAGGAGCCCAGCCCCATCCGGCTGTGGCACTTCAGCACCAGCCGCTCATCCTGACGCTGGAGAAGCACCAGGAGACCCTGCAGCAGCAGCACCTGCAGATCTGGGGAGGGGGGCACAGCGCTCTCAGCACGCCTCTCCCCTGGCCTTTGAGGCCCCATCCCCCTCCTCCTTTCACGGAAAGGCAGCAGGGGGGTCAAAAGCCCCTACCCCCAACAGACCCTCCCTCAGCTCATACAGACCCACAGTCTTGTCCTTGCTGATGCGCCAGGCCAGGGGCCCCTCATGGATCATCCGATGTCCTCGCAGGTCCAGGTTCTGGGCAGGGCAGGGCAGGCAGGAAGCGGTCAGCCAGCGCCACGCAGGGACCCTCCCCCTTCTCCCCCCCCCCCCGTAGGCAGCAAGCTTACCTTGAACTCGGCTGCAATGGGATTGCCGGTCCGCTCCAGTGAGGTGGCATCCAGGCGCTTCTGGTAGGACTCCAGGCGCTGCTGGTTCTCCGCCTGCTTGACCGCCTCGTTCACGTACCTGAGGAGCTCCCGACAGTGGTCTCGAGCCCGGCAGAGCTTCTGGTGCTCCGGAGTCTGCCCTGGGGAGGGGGTAGAGAGGAGGGCAGCTGGTCAGCGGAGGCACCTGGCCAGGGGGGCGTCTGGCGGAGGAGCAGCACCCACCCGGGGAGTGTTTGAGGATGTTCTCCAGCAACAGGGGGTACTTGGTCAGGCGCTGCATCTCGGCGATGATGAGGTCCTTCAGCTGCAGGCGGCGGCATTGTGGGTGGCTCTCGGCCTCCTGGGGAGCAGCAGAAAGCAAGCTGGGAGGGGGGCCCTCCGTAGGTCCCCCTGCCTGCAGGAGTCCCAGGCAGCCAGGGGTACGAGGGGCGCTTGCTATGTGCTCTTCCAGCTGCCCTTTGTTTGGGTTGCCCTGATAGGTTTCTCCCTCGAGCGCAACGACCGCCCCCCTGGGTGCCCCCTGCCCACCTGCATGAATTGCTGAAAGCGCATCTCCTTCCGCTTCTTGGTTTTGATCAGCTCCAGCGCCATGGACTGGTAGGCACAGAACTCGGCCGCCACTTGCTGGAACTCCTCAAGCGCCGCCCCATCGAACTGGGGAGGAGGAGGAGGAGGAAGAGGTGGGGGTGGGGAAGTCCATCTGGGAGCAAGGCCCACTCCCACCCAGGCCCCTCTCCGTGGCTCACCCGTGAAAGCATCAAGTCTCCGACCTCCTTCACCACCGGCCCTTCTTCCCGCAGCCTCTTCATGGATTCCGACAGGGAATCTGGTGAAGAAGAGACGGTGGGGCAGACGGGGAGGAGCCAAGTCCCCCGAGGAAAGCTGGGCACCCCACAGCCGCCCCCAAACCCACCTGGGTGCCCAGCATCAGCCCGGTTAACGCTGCTGCCCAATCCCCTTCCACTGAATTAGCCCCTGGAGGCGAGCCCAGCAACGGCCCAGCCTTACTGTGTATCTCGATCAGCTCCGGAAGGTTGGGGAAGAGCAGGGCCAGCTCCTCCCGGGAAAGCTGCCCCTCCCTCCTCAGGCGCTGGTAGAAAAGGAGGTCCAGCACGCGCAGCGTCCGCAGGTGGGAAGACTCGGTCACAAACAGCTCTGGGGGGGGGAGGCAACGTGGACCCGGATCCAGTCAGGTCTAGCTGGGCACCATGGGCCACGGGCAGAGACCCAAGGCTAGCAGGCCATCTGCCCTTTGGAGGCGCAGCCAGGTCAGGGAGAGAATCGGGCACCGGCTGCCCTCCGTCCCTCCCCCAAAGGGACAGCCCACCCCAGGGTTTCTCTGAGGACCCAGGCCCCCTCTTCTCCCCCCCAGGGCCTCGCCAGCCCCGCTTGGCCTCCCTCACCATTGATGACCTCCTGGCGATCGATCTCCCGCTGAGCCAGCTGGGCAGCCACCTCCCGGCCCACCGTCTGCTGCCAGTTTTGGGAGTCCAGTTCTACCTCCAGGTCCGAAAACTGGCCGAGCTCGTCCTCCAGCAAGTGGGGCAGGAGGGCCTCCGAGCTGAAGCCCAAGCTGGGCGACTCGATGCTCCTGCCGGGACGAGAAGGGGTCAGTCTGCGCCCTCGGGGGGAGGGGGTGCACCCTGGACCCCTCGGCAGCAGCTCTACATCCCCTCCGCCTGGGAGGGCAGGGAAAAGGGGAGGGAATCAAGCAAGGACCCTCCCCTTGGAAAAGGTAGGATGGGGACTGGGCTGCCGGGTGTGTGCGTATGTGTGCTAGCAACAGCTGCCAGATTTAAAAGTGATCCACTCATCCCCAGATGGGGAAATCTCCCCCAGCCCCTGGTCTTCTTCCCACTCACCTGCGCCCCATTCTGGGAGTGTAGGGCGGGGTGGGGTTTTCCAGGGACCTGGAGACCGGGAGACATTAGAGTCAGCCCTGGGCGAGCATCCCTCCCACCCACCCCAAAGTTCATCACCCCCCCTTTTCCTTGTGCGCAGCGGGACCCCCCCATTCCCTCCCCCAAGAGCCTCCGTGCTCTGCCCGCCGTCCAGAGTGGCAACACCCGGCTGGCCTCCCCTGAGCTCGGACTCCTGGCAGATGCCGCGGCTGTGCCAGGCACCCACTCAGGCGCCATCAGGGCGCAAGGAGACGCCACCTTACCGGGTGGAGAGGCTGGAGGCGGAGGACGACGCCGACTGGTGGAGCCGAGCAGCCTCCGCGGCAGCGTCCATGTCAACATCGCTGCGGGAACGGGGGACGTTCTCGGCCTTGCGCAGCCGCCTCAGCTCCTCCCGCCCCTTCAGGCTCTCCGACCGGCCCAGCCGGACCTCGGCCCTGGAACTGGAGGAAGGGGGGCTGAGGATCGGGGGGCTCCCCAGCACCAGCACCCAGCCCTCTCCCCACAACAAACGCCACTGTTTCTGGGCAGAGCAGCCGGGGACTCAGAGAGGGTGGCCCCGGTTCATTAGGAAAAGAGACCCCCCCCAAGGAGGAAGGACCCCGGCCAGAGCCGGCCGAGCCCCTCACCCCTCCGAGTCGAGAAGATCTTCGGGGAAGCTGCCCGTGGAAAGACGCTGCAGGCCGGCCTCCTGGCCCTCGTGGTTCTGGCTGTTCTCAAAATGCTGGATGATGGTCCTCACGTTCCCTGGCTTAACTGTCAAAGGGGGAGCCATTAAGGATTAGAAGCCCAGATGGGGAAGGCGAAAGAAACGGCAGGAAGCCCAGCCCATACCTGCTCAGAGGGGGGGGGTCCCCGGAGCAAACTGCCCCACCCTGGCAGAACACGGGTCCTGGGAGCTACTATTGCCCCCTCTGGGGGGGGGGAGAATCAGGGAATCAGGCTGTGAAAGCAGCAGGCGGAAGAGGAGGGGGACCAGCTGGGGTGGGGGAAGAGGGGGCGATTGTTTCCGTGTTTACCTTCCACAGGGGACAGGGGGACATGAAATGCTGGAAAGAGAAACAGAAATGGGATGTCAAAATCAAGCTGGGGCTGATGAGAGGGGCCAAAGGAAGAAGAGGGGGCAGGCGGAGGCAGGACCCGCCCGGCCAGCCTGAGGGGTGGCGGGATCTGGAAAGTCGGGGGAGGGGGTGCATTTGCAGGAAGCAGAAAGGCCCAAACCTGCCCCCTCCCCAGCGGACTCACTGCTCTGGGAGGTGCTTTTGGGCTTGGCGATATACTTGAGGATGGGGTTCCGCTTCCGGTCCTCCACCGCGGCCTCCTTCTCCTTCTTACCGCTGCTGCTCTGTGGCCCCAAGAAAGGGAGAGGCGTGTCAGGGTGCCCCAAGCCGGGGTGGGTGGGGCGGGGGGGAGGACAACGGGGTCCTGCGCTTTCCAGTTCACCACCCACCTTCTTGGTCTTGGGGAAGAAAGGTAGCCACTTGTCCTTCTCCTGGGACTTCTCCACAACGCTGGGCGGGCGGCCCTCCCGAGGGTAGATGCCCATGTGGCTCATGTAGGTCTTCAGGGCAAAGCTCATGGAGGAGCTGCAAGGACAGGGAAGGGCAGTCTGGCTGGAGCCCCCCCCAGCGCAGTTCCCAGAAACCCTCCCCTCCTCCCAGCCCCCTCCCTCCAGTGGGAGCACCGCCTGTGCCCTGGCAGAGCTGTCCTTGGTCCTGAAGAGGCCTGGCCTAGGTTGGCTCTGGGTCACAATAGAGACCTGCTCCTGAATAGTTACTGCAAGTTAGCAAACTAGTAATTTACCAGGGATAATCTGAATAAGCTTTTTAGCAACCAATTACTTACATTAATGTTTTCAAGGTGTTCTGCTGAAGCGTACATGATATGAAGAACTGAACGCTTAGAAATTATACATTTAAAAAGAAAGCAATTCAGGCCAGCAAAAGCCAGGATCCACAGAGGTCCTGAGGTGCTGAGTTCAGAGGAGACACTCACCTCCGATCTTCATATTTGGATCTAAAGCGGGAAAGAAAACAGAAGCCTCTTAAGCTGGTCTGGCATCCTGTTTCCTCTTCTTGTCCATTAAGTCTAGGACAATGCCTCTCAAATTTGGCAACTCTACACTTGAATTCCCAGAATTCCCTAGTCAGCATGAATTCTGGGGGTTGAAGTTCAACACCTTAAAGCTGCTGAGTTTGAGATACATGGGTCTAGATGACAAGTCACAAGCTTTTATTTCATCTGACCCACGGCGACCCCATCTGGCATCAGAAAGGGACACTTTCAGAGGCGGGCCCCACCCTCGGCCCCTTCCCTCCCTCCCTCCCTCGCCCGCCCGTGGGACTCACAGGATGTCCCCCAGCTGCGCCATCTGCTTCTCGGCCACTTGGCGCTCCTTCTGGAGCTCCCCGTCCAAGTCCAGCAGGTCGTTCTCCCCATACAGGCTCCCCAGGCCCATCGTACGCTTCGTCCTGCAAGCACAGAGAAGGTTTCCTTCCCCTCTGAAACCGGCCGAAGGTCACGGGGTGTCCTGAGCAAACACCCTCTCGCAGGTGGCTTTTCCCCAGGTTCGCCCTCGGCCCTTCTGAAAGGGTCCACGGATTATTTCAGCTGCTCTTCAGTCTCGGCTACTTATCTTGCACTAAGAGTCACTCTGGTTTGTCCACTGCGCACGGGGCAAGGGAATGATGGGACATGAGATCAGGGGGAGGAGGGGGCGGGGAGAGGAACAGGGGTTGCGAAGGATGGGAAGCTCAGTCCTGCCTGAAAGGGAGACGACGACAAGAGAAGATCAGCCACAAAGGGAGTCGGGGCTGACCTGTAATCTTGGATCTGCTCCTGGATCTCGGGCATGGTGGCCTCCTGAACCTCCAGGAAAGCACTTCGGGCGTCCTCTCCGTTCCGCAGGCGGGAGTCTGGAGGGCGCAAGGACAAAGATGGGCAGAAGCTGGGTGGGCTCCTGAGAAGATGCCCGAGGGGGGCACAGAGGCAGCTCCGACCTCAGCCATCAAGAAGAGCAGAGCACCAAAGCCACCTTCTCCCACCCTGCTCAGCCCCCCCACCTCAGCCCCCCCGGGAATTCCTGCAGAGGGACACCTTCGCTGGCCTGGACTCCAGGTGGACTCACCGATTTCCGCCAACAGCTGATCAGAGACCTTGACCCTCAGGGGCTGCGGAAGGGGCAGAAAACACAAGGTTGACCACTCACGGGGACCTCTGCGGCCTCCACTGCGTTGCAGGTGGCGTCTCCCTTTCCTGGGGCCGCCCCACCCAAGCCCCACCGAGGAACCGCACACAGGATGTGGATGTGAGCACAACCGGAGTGCCAAGAGCTGAATGTGACTGGCCAGACTCACCGCAGTTTTGTCCAGGAAAATGTGCCAAATGTCCTTGCCCAGTGCCCGGCCTTCCTTGGGACTCATCTGCAGGTAAACATCCACGCACAAATACAGGAGCTGCCAGGAAAGAAGGAAGGAAGCATCACAGCAGAACCGGAAGCAAGAGGAGCTGGGCAAGATGGATCAATCCCGTGAAGGGGAAGGCCAGTTTAAAAAGGAGTGGACTTAAACAGAAGCACTTCTCCAGCCCCGGGAGAGGAAAGGGACCCCCAGGACTGTACCAGGGGGCTCGGATCTGCCTGAGAGAAGATGTAGCGCAGGAAAACTCCGAGGTGGGCTGGCCGCGTCTTCAGCTTCCCCAAGTCTTGGAACAGAGAGTCGTTCTGTGATGGGGGAAAAAGAGATGCTCACCCAAAGAACACACAAACAAGTGCAAAAGAGCCCCTCCACACACACACTGGGCCTCCCTGCACCTCAAGGACCCCCACCCCAGGGAGTGCCCCACCTTCAGAAGCACCTCGCAGCAAAAGCTACAAAGAGCAGGAGATTCCCCCTTGCGGGACGGCTTCAAGTAGGGGCTGAATGGTGTCTACTTGGAATGGTGTGAACGGGATTCTCTGGGAGTTGTGTAGATGTGAGAAAGAGAAAGCACAATACCTCGTTGTCCAAATATCCTGGGTCGTAATCCTCTTCCGGGCCAATGATAGAAGTTTGCAGCATGTGATCCAAACTCTGCAGAAAGAAAGGATTAAAATGTTCCCACGAAAGAGATACAGGTGAGGAGGAGGAGGAGGAGGGAGCTGCGAAACACTGCGTCACTGAACACTTCCATGTCCAGATGCCAAGACCGGAAGCTGAAGGCCCTGTTTGGGATGGCTCAAGATCAGACTGCAAGCACCGAGGATCGGCCCCGCCTGCCCTCACCTGCTCTGCGGGGGGCGAGAAGGGGCTGTCGGAGCCTTGGCGTCGATGGTGCAAGAACAGCCGTGAAGCGGCAACGGGCGAGGTGTGAGGACTGTCTAGGCCAGGATCAGAAAGGACAGAGTTCCGGTTGATCTGTGCCAAAAGAAACCGGCATTCTCAGGTCAACCAACACAGGCACTTTCCCTGGCACCGAGGGAAGGAGGCGCTCCTGCACGCTCACTTCGCTCACGGAAGGGAAGCGCTCCGTGCCCGAGTCCAGGCCGCTGTCGCCATCCTGGGAGTCGACCGAGAGGCCTCCTGCAGGGAGACAAAGATGGGATGCAGCTCAAGAAGGAACTGGTGGCACACGGAGGAGGAGGGAGGGGGAGGGGGAACACCTGTAGACACCCGGAGGGCTCCCCGAGAACCGGCAGGCAGAAGTTCTAAGCCCCCCAGGACTCTTCTCGCTCATAGACAAGTCTACGATTCTAAAAAGGGGCAGCAGCAAAACTCACCGTCCGTCGTCCGGGAGTTGAGGGAACTGGAATCGCTGGACAGACGGGGAGCATCCTGAGAGACCGGGGGGGAGGGGGGGGAAGAGAGAGCCCTGTTGGCGCTTCCCTCACAAGGAGAGGCCCAGCCAGGCCCAAGGACCCTTCCTCTTTCTTGGCACCCTCCCCCTCGCAGGCCTTCAGGGACCAGCCCAGCCAAGGAGCTGCTCTCCCCCACTCACCCCCAGCTCTCCCATCTCCTGCCGAATCTTGAGCTGCAACTGGCTGACCCTGCGCCGCCCCCCCTCGATCTGCTCCTCCAGCAAAGGAGCCGGATTCTGGCTGTAGATCTCGTAACATCGCTGCAGAAAAAGACAGGTGTGTGTGTGTGTGTGTGTGTGTGATGGGCTTATTTGGGGACAAAACGAAGGGGTATTTGGTGCTACCCAGTCAGTAAAAGCCAACGGGGGGAGGGAGCAGGGCCAGAAGGACCCAGACTTGGCCCCTGCAGGGCACCCAGCCCTGCTTTCTTCGGAGCGCTTCGACCCCCACCTGCAGTTCGGCCTCTTCCTGCTGCAGCATTCTTCTGAGGATCTGCGTCGCGTGTTTCTGCACTTCTGGGTCCTGAAGTTGGCAAGGCCAGAGAGCGGTGAGTGCCAGTCTCCCGGTCTGCCCCCAACTCATCCCCACCTGCACCTCTGTGGTACCTGCGGTGGCTTTGGCCCAGCGGGGACACGGTGGGCAGGCGGCGGCAATGGCGGCGGTGGTGGTGGGGGAGGGGGGCACGTGCACGTGATTTGCGGGGTCCCTGCCTGTTGCCGGTCATGCTGCGATCCCGGGAAGCCCGAAGACGAAGGAGGGGAGCCCAGCAGGGTGAGAGCAACGTAAGCGCCAGCTTGGGGGGCAGAGGGCGGAAAGAGAGAAGCAGAGAGAGGACGGGAGACCTTCAGCCGTTTCAAACACGGATGGTTCTCGGGGAACGGATGACGCTTCCCGGGGCAACCCAGCTGCGGGGAACCATCTCGGTCACTGTCCCAAGCAGCCGCTGTGGCTCCAGGCTCCCCTGGCCGTTGAAAGCCAGCCTTCCCGAGCCCCAAGCCCGGCCACTCACATCGGATGAGCTTCACCACTTCCAGGTGGGAGGTGTTGGTGACCACGGTCCCGTTCACCTGCCGGGGAGAGCGAGGAGGACGGGCTCAGCAGCCGGGCAGCCATGGGGGGGGAGGGTGCCCTCCTCCCAGCAGACTGCAAACTGGCCCACATGTATAGAGACAGGGGCAGCAGAAGCCCAGCAGCTGGGGCAGCCCTTGGCGACACAACTCACCTTGACAATCCGATCACCTTCCTGCACCCCGGCCTTCATTGCAGCTCCGCCTGGAGAGGCAACCACAGAGAGAAAGCCATGGGGGGGGCGGTGGGGGGCAGAATGCACAAGGGAAAGGAGATGAGGGAAGGAGGGAGGGAGAAGGCTGCCTAGAGGGCCTTGAAGAGCATCCAGCATTAGGAACAGGCACTATAACCTGCCCAGGTAAGGGGTGTGCAGCTGCCAGCTCCCTTCCAGGTTCAGCTCTGCCTGACACCCTCCCCCCCGTCCTCCCACCTGTTCCTGGTGGCAGCTCAGCTCAGTCGGGGCACGGGGGGGGGGGAGGCAGCAGGAGCCCACCCTCCCACCCACGGATGCCCACAGCCTCTCCTCACCTGGCCGAACGGACTGTACCAGGACAATCCGGTCACCGCTGACGGTGAAGCCAAAGCCATGTTCGTCTTTCTGGATGATGACGCAGCGCTGGACCAAACCTGCCGAGGAAAGCGAGGCCCCTTTGGTGCGGGGCCCTCTCCTCCCAGGGACCCCTCTGACTATCAGTCACTTCACCCGTGAGCGCAAGGCCTCTGCTCTAGCACTCTCCCCGCCTCCCCCCAGGAAAGACCCAGGGCTGAGCAAGGAAACCTCCCTGGTCCGGCTGGGGCAGGGAACAGGTGCCAGCCTCCCCCCTCCCAATGACACACGCTGCACCCCATCCCCCCCTTTGCCAATTCAGTCCTCGGTGCAAACTCTGCTTTCTCAGCCTCCCCCCCCCAAGAGGAGCAAAGGAGCCACCTGTGCTCTCGCCGGAGTCGGACGGCTGGCGATGATGGCTGCTCGAGCGCCGGTCCAGAGCCGAGTCGCCCAAGGAAGACAGGGAGCCCAACCTGGACAGATGGAGAAAGGGGGGGAAGGCAGGGCTGCAGCCCATCACCTGGACTGGACCGTGAGGGTCTCCCCTGACGCCCCACTTCCTCCCCACTGGAAGCCAGAAGGAAACTGGAGCAGCAAATCTGAAGACCCGGAAGCCCAGACTGACCCCCACCTCAGTGGGGGTTTCAGGTGGGGGTCTTGGGCCTTGAGCTCTCCGTGCAAGCCTGGGGGAAAAGGTCAAATGGGTCTCCACCTCAGCCAAAACGGGCAGTGACCCCCAGCTTGGTCTTGTCCAAAATTAGAAGCTCTGGACCTTAAGGAGGCATTTTGCTCTTTGACCGGACTTGCAAGGGTGGGGGGCTCTGGCTGGTCCCCCCATCCTTATGTAGCTTTGCCCCCCTCCTTCTCCCTCCTGAGCAGAGCAAGATCTAATCCTGGGGGGGGCAAAGAAAAGCCTGGGAAAAGGGTGCAGCCCCGGGCTGGGGGGCAAAGCCAGGCCAGACCACACAGCGCCCACTGGGGAGGAGAGGCACTTGGAGGGCCAAGGCAGGCGGGGGGAGGAGCATCTGATCTTACCAGGCCGCAATGGGGCTGATGGAGGAGGGCACAACACAAAGCGGCAACGTGCAGAAAGACAAACAAGAACGGAGAGTTATTGCCCGCAGCTGAGTGGGCACGAGCTGCGCGCCCTTGTGCCCCAGGCAGAGCCTCTCCGTGGGGCACTGAAGCCACGGGACCCCCTACCTCGCCCTCCTCTTTGCCTTCATTCCTTTACAGCAGGGGTATCCCACCTTGGCAACTTTAAGATCTGCGCACTTAGCCTTTTAGGGTTAGAGAGCCGCTAAGCATGTCTAAATGGAGAAAAACCGAACGAACATCCAAGCATTCAGACCTTCGCTTTCTTACCCATTTAAGTCAACATATTTCAGACCTGTGGCCACATTTGGCTTCTACTGTATTTTTATTAAACATTATTAAGCTGTGTCAAGATCAGTGGGAGAGCCCTTCTGAAGCCGCCCAGAGGGGCCCCCAAACTTCACTTTGTGGGCCAAAGTCCTCAGCCCAGCCCCCCCTCCCTCCCTGGCCTCCGGCAGCCCGTTCAGCAACAGCTCGCAACAGCTCAGCTACGAGGGTTGGGGGCCCCCAGCAGTGGCCAGGCAGCCACATTTCCCTCAGCCCATCATTCAAGCAGCCTGTCAGGTTTCCAGCTCTGGACAGCTTATTGCCCACCCTTGACGTCCCTCTGGACGCCCACCAAGCGAGGCCAAGTCCTGTTTGAGGTACAAGCAGCCAAAACGAAGAGAGGCACCTTCTGGCATCCAGGACTCGGCCCCCAGCAGCATCTGGGGCCCATGTGCTTGCTATGAGCATCGGGGCCCTGCACTGGCCTGCCCAAAGGGGTGAGGGCTGCATGTTAGGGACCCCAGAGCAGGGATGAGGGAGAAAGCTTGAGCGCAGCTGTGAAGATGCCAGGAGGTTGACCGTCAACTGGGCTCTACCAACTCCCCAGTGGGGACTTCCCCCCCCCCAGCATCCTTCGTCCTCCCCAGGAAATCAGTGCCCCCGGATCAACCTGCCCCCTTGGTTATTCCCACCGATGAAGAGGAACCCAATAGTAGAACGGGTGGCAAAGCAACGGAAAAAGGCAATAAGGACACGTAATGTTCTTAGCCACTCCAAAAATAATGGAGCCACAGCCATTCATCTGAGCAACTGACCCACATGGGACTAGCTGGTTCACACCAAGCCAGGGATCAGGGAGCAGCACCAGGGGGCTCGACAGGCTCAGAGCGCCCTTGCTGCGGCCTTGACACCACTGGTCTCCACAAGGCCCCCAGAGATCTGTTAGGGTGGTTTGGTGCCCCCACCTCGGTTCTCTGCATGGGCTCTGGAACTGTCTTCAGTAATGCAAATGACCCGGGGGGGGGGGACTGGCATCTGCTTCCTGATCTGGGCAAGGGGGCTGGAAACAGAGAGCAGCCAAGAGGGGCTGACCCACATGCTCGCAGCCAAGCCATCTTTTGGGGGACCCAGCGGGGAGGGGCTGTTGTTTGGGGCAGACCCCCCTTCAGCTCAGGAACCCCAGCAACAAGGGGGGGTTCTTACCTGGGCAAGCGAGGGTGCCTTTTACTGGCGCGTCTGGCGTAAGGAAGGGAAAAACAGAAACTGCCCCCACAGAGAAGGTGGCCGCGGCCGAGGCAGCATGGAAGGAGAGAGAGAAAGAGGAGACAGGCGGGCGGGCGTGAGAAACGGCCACGGGCAGGGGGCCTCCCTGGGCTGAGAGGCTCTTTAGCCCAAAGCGCTTCCCTTCCACGGATCGGACCGAGGTGCCTTCCAGAAAACCCCCAGAGCCCCCGTTTCTCTCCGTTTGCAAACAGGATCAGCGAGGCCAAAGGGTTTCTGCACTTGTACAGAATGCTTCCTGCTCTCGGCCCCTTAAAAAAAAAAAAAAGAACTCCAGGGCACACGGAGCCCGGTTGGCCGCTCACTGCCGGCCCAGCCACTCTCCTGCCCAGATGCAAGCCGAACTGAAAACAGCCCTCGGCCCCTGCCGGGGGAAGAGTCTCGGGGGACGAAGTACCGACCTCGCGAGGCCAGTGAAGCCCAGCAGGTCCCCAGGTTGCTCGCCAGGCCTGGCCCCTGGCAAGTGTCAGACGCAAGAGGGAGAGCAGTGCAAGGGGGCCCCCGAAGAACGGCAGCCCCAGACACGGGCCGAAGCCCCGGCTGCACCCTCCCACTTCCCTAGGCCACCAAGTCTAACGAGAGGAAAGCAAGCTGGAAACAGAAGCAGGCTTTAAATACCTTCAGTTCATGAGGACTAGAAGCATTTCTGTTTCAAGATAAAAAGAAGCAGAACTGGGAGGAGGGACGTGCTGAATTCCCTGAGAAAGTTTTTTTTTTTAAAAAAAAGGAAGTTCAACCAGCACAGGCTACCAACATTCAAAGAGGCTCCTACTTACACACCCAGTAATTCAAAGCTGCCTCCGAATTTTCCCTATTTTACATAGCCATAAAATACCCCCGGGGGGGGGGGGAGTTTTCCAAGCCTTCTGCTTCCCCCAGGGGGAGAAAACCACCGACGGGTGCAAAGAGGGGCTGATGTCAAGAACGGGGACATCTTCTAAACTGACCCCTAAGCAGTGAAGGGGGTTCGTGCAGATAGGGGAGGGAGAGCCTCAAAGCAGCCCCCCCCCATGCACACGATCCCTGAAAAGAGGGCCATCTGCAAAGCAGCAACACCGCCCCATCCACACACAGCAGGGGAGGGGGCTGGTGCAGTTCAGTCCCATCGCTCTGCTGCAGCAAGCAGATTTCTGCAAAGATGGAAAGTCAGTCGGCAACCACAATTGCAGGCAGAGAGAGGTAATTACGATGGGATCAGCATCCTTTACCTCCCCCCCCATCCAGCTAGTGTTGTGCCTTGGAGGGGGGGAGGGAGGTTGCATTTTTAAAAATCCTGTCTCTGTCCAGTGGGAAAGCTGAACTCGGCAGTCTCAAGCAACAAGGGTCTCCAGCACAGTCCTGGGACACTCCCCCCCCCCATGGGCTTGCAGCACTGTTCAGGCGCTGATGGCAAGGCATGAAGTGTCCGGCCTGCCCATCTTCCATCCTTTGGGGCTATAAATAAAATTAAACACACACACACACATAAATCCATCTGCGGGAAGGTCTAGGTAGGCTCCTATGAGGATCTCAAGGACTTTCTCAGGCCATCCCTGGTGCCAACCCATCTTGGGATCACACATACACACACACACACACACACACACACACACACACACACACACACAGCCACTACGGCTGGCTTAGGCTGGGCCTGCAGGATCCCTCACCGCTGGCTGAGCTCATGCAACCTGCCAAGCTAAACAAACACTAACCACACGATGGCCTCTTTCAAGGGAGAGCCGGTCAGAAACTCGATCCCCAGGACGTGTCCTCAATGCCCCGCAAAAACAGCTGCCTGGGAATTGTGGGGGCTGAAGTCCGGCACATCTGGAAGGAGGCTGGCTCGGGTAAGGAAAAGGGGCAGCCCCACGCAGATAGGGAAGGTTGCAGGGAAGACTGTTCGGGTTCTTGGCTCCTGGGGGGGGGCGGGAAGAGCTGACCCCAGAAGATGACAGTCCTCCCCTCCAGAGTGGATTTCCTGGTGCTGCAAACACCCTGCAGCCGCTTCGAATTCTGGGAGGGCTGAGCGAAGGCCAGCACTGGCTGTTTTGCCGCAGAGTGTTTCAGCCGATCCTCCACCAGTTGAAGAACAAAATGACAGGCAGCATTTAGGGGCCGATCCTGGGCCTGGTTTCCCCCCCCCCCCCAGGCTGTAGGCGCCTCAGCCAAGACTGCAGCAGCTCAGCTAAGCAGCAGCCACGGTTTTCCAGCCACTGAACTCCAGAGGCAGCACCTTGCTAGCTGTGGTTGATTTTGCAAAAGCTAAACGGAAAGCCAAGAAAGCCCTCAGCTGGGAGACCAGCACGAGATCAAAATTCTAAAACTTTTCTCCAAAGACCCAGGCGTTCAAATCACAGCAAAATTCCCCACAGGCTGCAAAAAAAGGTTGCCTGCGCTTTGCTTGCTGCCACAATTGCGAGGACGGTCCTTTATCACAAAAAAATGGGACTCCCTTTTGACACAGACCAGAAGGGTGGAGGATCCATACTGAAATAAAAGTTGCAAGACTCACTGACAGCAACTCTGTTTTTTAAAAATTATTACACAGCATTTTGCATTGGGCCTGACTGAAACCTTCCTGTCCGCTCACCCGCCGTCAACGGACCACGCTGGGTTAAATGTAGAGGAACGTTGGCAGCCTTTTGCAAAGAGAGCACAAATTGTGGTGCTGCTGCTGGAGGAAGGAAAGCCAGGGAGACACGCAACGGCTACAGGCCACACAGGGACACCACCCCCAAGGGCCACATCCCACCTCCTGCTAAGCATCCTCTCCTTCACCATGCGGTGCTGGGGAAGCCACTACATTATGTTCATATGAGATGCTGAGCCACAAAAGTGGTCCCTGAGCCTCAGGGTCAAAGTGGCTCCTCCCGTCAGGTCTCACAGGGGGCAGGACGGGGTCTGCGCTGGTCCTACCCCTCTGCCCGCAGGGGGCTCCCCCACATCGGCGGCCTACCCTGGAATATTTCTGCACCCAGCAAGGGCTGGGCACCAGCTGCACGTGCTCCTCGGCCCTGGACGTGCGCCCTGAAGGGGTGGGGGAGGGAACCAGAGTACCAAAGGGGGGGTCCCCAGGAAGGGCATGGGGCCAGAAGGGGGAGTCCTTCCCAGGCAGAGGCAGAGCCATGGCACGGGGGGGGGCACCTCTGCCCATCCATGGCCAGCTCAGGGAGGAGACAGGAGGAAGCCCAGCTGAAGCCCCCAACCCCCCCTCCCCGCACGACAGCGGCCGGCGTACCTGTCCAGGGCAGGGGGGCGCATGTTCATGGTTTGCAGCCAGATCCAGCACCCCGAGGTGGAGGGCCCGGGGCGAGGAGGCGGAGGGTGCCCGGCGTCCCTGCTGCGGAGGGAGTCACTTCCCCATCCCGGGGGGGGGCATCCAGGCAGGGCCCCCCCGGCGCCCAGGCCTCCTTTTCTTCCCGGCCTTCCTTTCCTTGGCAGGTATAACGCCTACATTCAACGGGGGGCGCCGGGGGGGCTTCTTCCCCCGGCTCAGAGACGCATCCCGACCTTCGGGGGCCCAGCGGAGCAAAGCAAATTCTACCAGCCGGGCACCGGGCGGCCAAGGCGGGGCGGGGGGGCCGCGAAGCCAGCCAGGAAAAGCGCGCCGGGGCTTCCCTTCTTCCGCTCGGCCGCCCAGCAGGAGAAAATCCGGCCGGGGCTCCGCTGTCCGGGGAGGGCCCGGGGGGCTCCGGGGGGGCTCCTCCTGCGGGGGGGAGACGAGGGTCAGCGCGGCCTGCAGCCGGGGGAGGGAGGGGCGATCGGGGCCGGGGTTGGGAGGGAGGGGCGGCGCCTCCCGGGAAGAGCCCCGCTTCCCCTCCCACTGCTTGTGGAGGGTCGCGGGGGGGCTGCTGCCTCCGACCCCCGCCCGCTCGATGGGGCTGCCCGGCTCGCCCTCCGCCCGGCTCCGCCGAGGCCTGCTGCGGCGCAAAGCCCCGGGCTCGCCCGCCCCGCCACCCCGAAGCCGCCGCTTGCCTGCGACGCCGCCGACGCCCCTGTGGAAGGGGAGCCGGAGCCGCGCGTCTCCGCCCGGCCGCCTGGCCGGCCCTTCGCTCGGCGGCGGCGGCGCTGCTGCTGCTACTGCGGCTCCTCCGGCCGCCTTCCTCCTCCTCCTCCTCCCCCCCCGCCCGCCAATCCCCGCCCTTCTTCCTGCGGGAGGCTCCCTCTGCAGCAGGTGGGAGGGGGTCCCTCGCGCCCCCGCCCCTCCCGGCGCCGCTGCAGACTCGGAAGGCGCCCCCCGCCCCGCATCCCTTCCCTGCGCCCCCCCCGCCCCCTTCCTAGAGTGGCGTTTTCAACCCAGGCGTCCCCCCGGACCCTCCGCCCTGGGGCTCCCCCCCTCCGTCACTTTCCGGGGCTCGGGGTGGCTGCCACTGGGCTGCCCGTGGGGAGCCAGAGCGGCCCCGTCAAAGCGAGGCCTCCCCCTCGCCCTCCTCCTGTCCCAAGCAAGCGAAGCCCAGAGGGAGCCGGGGTCTCCTGTGATACACAGCTGGCTGAGGAAGGGGGATCTGGGGGGGGGAACAAAGCTGCCCATAGAAAAGGGGGATCCAGGCTGTTCCCCCCCCACACACACAAATACCCCCATCCTCCTCCATGGGTTTGATTTCATTCATTTATTAACATTTTTTATTACCCGAACCTCACCACTCCCACCGATGCTCTTTGTTTATTAACACAACTTTGGACCCCCAAATAGAAAACCACCAATGTGGGGCATCTTAGACCATCCAGATCGTTTCAGCATTACTAATTATATTCTAGATTATCCTGCCTTTTTGCAGAAAAAGGTCCTTAAAATGTTGCCATCAAAAGTATTCAGCAAGATAACAAAAAGTTAAAAACATCATGAACAAAAAGGATTTTTCTTCACATCTGGCTTATGTGGGGTGAAGTCCCGTCCTTGGCAGGCCTTCTTTGTTGCCCCCCACAATCATTTTTTCTGCTTTGGTGTCACAGATAAAATGACCGATGCCGGACGCAGGAGTGTGTTTTCCTGCCCTGCGTGGCTGGGAGCAGCAGAAGAGCTGGACGGAGGCCGGGAGGTAAGGACAGACCTGTCCCCAGCTACCCACACACCCCCTGGAGCAGGAGGCACTTCCTTGCAATAAAGCCGACCGAGCACCAGGGGCTGCTGGTGCTTTCCCCTGGGCCGGGATCTCCGGGACCTGCGCAGAGCGAGCCCCGGGATGTTCCCCACACACAGCACACAGCACTTCCGGTCCCCCAATGGAGGGGGACGCGTCCTCCTCTCAGCAGCCATTCTGCACTTGGCTGAGAAAAGCCCAGCGAAGAGAGATTTTTCATTCTTGATGCAGCTGACCGGTTTTCGACCAGGCCAGGCCTCCTCAAAGGGACTAGCCACCTGTAGAGCCTCCCTCTGAGGCTCCCCAACCGTCCTGGCACAGTCACAGGGCCATGTGCCACCGTTGGGGGCCCGATGAAGGGTCTTCCATGCTCCTCATCTAGAGCACTCGTGTCCAGCAGTCGGGGGTCCATTTGGGGGGTCTTTGGCTCTGGAGCAGGCTCTTCGTTCCAGTAGCCCTGCAACCTGGTCTCGGTTGTGGAAGAAAAGGGCCGGAAAGGGGTCTGGGCCCCGCCTGCCAGAGTGAGGGATGAACCCTGGATAGGGAAGAGTCCCCCCCACACACACACAGGGAGAGTTGCTGAAGGAAGAAGCTTGTCTTTGGAGCTTAACAGCAGGCAGGAAGAGCAGAGAGAGGAGGGTGTAGAAGTGTAAGAGGTCAGAGTCTGGGAGAAGCTTTTTAATTCTTTAAACAACCAGAAAATGACACTCACACACCCCAGCAAGGCCCCCTCTCCACTCACGTCCAAGCAAGGGGCATCCAGATCCCAAAGGGGGAACTCCCTCGTCATCCCTCTGGAGGAGGGAGCAAAACCTTCCCTGCCTCAGAACAATGATTCTTACCTGGGTACAAAGTTAATTCATTAATAATAAACTAAGCTTGTTTACTCAGAGGCGAGTTCGGCGGGTGCCCACGCTGGAGCAGGGCCAAAACTGCCGCAAGAGTCCGAAATTCTTAAGCCTCTGTGATAAGCTTTGACGGAAAACAACCAATTAAAAATATCAGCGACCAGCGGTCCTCTTTATAAAAATGCAGGAAGGGATGTGGGGGTCCCTGTGGCTGAGAGGCCATCAGTTGACCGCTCGGAGTGGGAGATTTGTTCTCGGATCTGGTGGGGCTGGGACCCTCCTCCTGCTTTTGCAAGGGCCAGGCAGCGAGGGAGAAGGGACCCAGCCTTCTGAAATGTGTTACCATATTAATTCCCGTTAATTGGCCGTGCTGAAATATACAGTAATTACTATGGTCTCAAATTGCCTTGTTTCACCACCCTCCTCAGGTGCTTCGCAATATTTAAATCAGAATTAACCAGCCGGCCCTGGATCCTCTACCTTTGACGGGCATTGCCCGCCTGAGAGGATGCCCCCCCACAGCTCACCTTGGCCATAGCTGGAACTGGCCGCTCTCTCGTCCCCTGGATGTCCCATCTCCCAGCTGCCCTGGGAAAGTCGAGGGGCAGACAAGGGCTGGCTGGCCAGGCTAAGGCCATGCAGGGGAGAAGCTGGCGAAAGGAGAGGCCCCAAACAGAACTTATCCTTTGGCCTAACCCACCTGTCCGGCTCCAGGGCCCAGGACATCGCGGGGAGCATCCCATGGGGTGCACAGTGGGAGAGCAGCTGGGAGCCTCCCTCTGCCTCCACCCCACCAGTGCACTCGCCTCCACCTGGGCGCCAAGAGCCCCTCCGTGCAGCCGCAGCCAGCCCCCCCCCCAGGAGCAGAGCGAGTGCCCCAGAGCGGAGAGCTGAGCACGACCTGCTGGTCAGAGGGATTGGGGGGGGGAGGAATGTCTCGGCAGGGCACTCGAGGGGACCTGGGCATCCCTTCACCCCTGGCCAGCAGATGTGGCCGGTGGTCTTCTGCAAAGGAGCCGGAGGACAGAGCTCAGTCGCTCGCCTGGGACTCAAGGGCCGCTCAGACCCGCTTGCAAAGCCACGCAGGAGCATCTGGCTTGGCCTGGGGAAGACGCAGCCTCGGGGAAGCGGCTTTGGTAAAAGAACCCCTTCCCCAAATTGCCTAGCACTCTTCCTTGCAAGCTGGCCTGCCCAGGAGGCTGGATGAGTCTGGCTTGTTCATTCCTCTGTGGCTGCCTCCCCACTGAAGCTTTTAATCTGGCAATTCTCCCCATCTCTGTTTTCACACCCCCCCCTTTGATCCTCTAATCACTTTCTCTTCCCACTTTAAGGCACTTTGGGCCACGGAGAGAGTTGCAGCGCATACAAGAGAGAACATGAGATAATTAAACCACACACCACACGTGGAAGATGAAAGGAGGGTGATAACAGCCTGAACCAGAATCGGTTGCTAAATTAGATTGCTTTTCCAAACCAAGAAGATTCAAAGATAAGGTTTTAAACCTTTGAAATATAAAACACAAAATAACGAGAACGGAAGCATGAAACGACACAGCACAGCAGGAGGAGGAGAGGATTCGTTTATAGGAGAACAAAAGCTGAGTCCGTGTTAAAGCCCAGTTCGCAGCGGTTTTGGGGGAAAAAGGCTGGAAAAACGGTTTTGCTTCAAATGTGTTTGCTTTGCGAAAGCATCAGTCATACCCCAAAGGTGCCCAACCTTCTCTGCGCGGTCTGCGTGAAACTCAGTTTGGGATCTGAGGACAGCTGGCTCCGGGGGACTTGGGCTGTGGGATTGAATCAAAGGTGAGAGTGCTGGCTGTGCCTGGGAAACTTCCAAGTTGAGATCCCGCTGCCCATAATTCCCAGACAGCAGAGAGGAAGATAAATTTTAGGGGAAGCAGACGATGGCAGACTCTACCGAAAAAGGCAAGGCCATAGATAATGATGGCTTCATGCAGCCACAGAGCAGGATTCCTGGGAAAGCAGTGAAGATACGCAGGGCGCTCTGGATCGACTTGGCGCCCTGAACTTTCCCTCTCCAAGGAGCAGGATGGGTGCCCAGGATTCCTGTCAGCAATGCAGGAGGGTCGCTGCAGGGCACAAGCCTCGCACACAGCCGGAGCCCCACAGAGAGGAGCCACCAGGACTGAATCTGAAACCTCCTTAGCCCACCAGGACAGTACGGCTGCCACATCCACCCACCTTGCTTGTTTGCGGCCCGGCCTGCTCCATCAAAGGACGCCACAGGCAGCAATCGGGTGTGTGCAGCCTGCGTTGGTCCTCTCTTTGTGACAGAATGGGCGACCAAAGGCACTTGTGGGCACTCCGAGCATTTGAGCAGACAGGGACAGCGTCAACTGTGGGCTTAGCAAACTCGGAAAGGGCCGCTGGCATGAAGGAATCACATAAACTGGAAAATCCTTTCAGACGGATCCAACTTCCTTCTTTCACACTTTCCTCAGCCTCCAATTTGGGGCACCAGCAGGTTCCAACAGGTGGTTTCCGCATACATAAATACATGTTTGCCTTGCAAGCAGAATTCCAGTTGAGCCGGCCTGGCTGGCATGCAGGAAGAGCCTGGAATCGGCTTGCAGCCTCTCTCCCCCTCTGCCAAATCCCCCCACACTCTGCTTAGCCCCACTGAGCCAAGCAAGAATGTCAGGGGCTGCTGCTTGTCCAAAACCTCTTATGTTGGTTTCATCAAGCTGACTGCAGGCTTCACAGTGCTGGCTTTGCGGCCAAGGGGAGGGGGACTGAGGAGACTGGACAAAACCTGGAAGGGCACTCTCCCACCCACCCACACCGTCTGTGTATCTTCTTAGCTTTCTAAGCTATCCTGAGCTGATCTGATTAAGAAGAACATACTAATTAATCAACAGCAACGGCCAGCCAGGGGTTCAAGTCATTCTCTCCACCAGAAATTCACTCGGGCTGAAGAGACCAGCCGATGGAAGGAGCCAGAAGCAGAGGGACACCTGATGGGCAGGGGCTTTGAGGAGGGGGCATCTCGCAAGGTGCTCATCTGTTGGCAAAGCTCAGAGGCTGGTCTTGTCAATGGGCCCAGCCGTTTCCCAGGCACCCGTGGCAGGAGAGGAGTCGGGCCAGAGGAGGGCCATTGCCCCTGCTGAGAACGGAAGCCTCACGTGGGAAAATCACCGGACAGAGGGGAGGAGGCTGGATCGTGGCCTTTCCGAGGATGCCGCTGGGACCTTCCAATGGCCAGAGGCATTTTCAAGCATCTGCCTGGTCCCCCTTCAGCCTCCGGTTCCATTTGGAAGCTGCATCCCAGGATCACCAAGCAGGTGGGGGCAATTTGCTCAGAGAAGCTGGCTCCCGATCCAGGGAAGGGTGGAACCCCAGCACACGTCTCCATACACAATCACTGCCCCAGACTGGCACGCGGAGGAAGTTTGGCTGATTAAAGATGTGGCAAGGAGTTTCCAGGAAGCGCCACATCCTGCTTAGGAGGCGAGAGAGGCAGCCCCAAAGTCTCGGGGAGGCTGCCGGAAGGCGTTTTGGAGGAAAAGGGGAGCTGGCACAGCGAACAAAACTGCCAGGTTTTTTGCCTGGGTCTCACATTCCCACAGCGTGGTACTTGTCCATGTTGCATCTGCAGTGGAAGTTGACAGCTGTCGGTCGCCACCCCTTGGGACACAAGAGCCTCCAAGCAATAAAGCCAGCCTGGCACCATGTTTACCGGAGGCAGAAGTAACAGCCACTGGGCCAGGATCCGCGATCCAATCCTCCAGGCCCAAGGGATGTTTTTGGCTGCTACTTTTAAAATATCTGGAGCCCCAACTGCTGCTGGGAGGAACAGGAGACGCTGGCTCTTTTGAAGCACCTGAGCCGGAGGTGGTTTTCATTGCCTAAGGCAGGAATCCTACGAAAGGCTCCGAGTTCGTGTTCTTGGCCTACTTGACTGCAGCCTGCAGGGGAACAGGCCACGCTCCTGATGGGAGCTCCATGGGAAGCATTTGGGTGACCGGAGCAATGGAGGCCAGGATGAGCCTATGAATTTGTTGATCTCGAGATTTTTACTTTTTGCAAGCGTATCAAGTTCGTTAGCCTGCGAGTGCGGCTGTGACTTGCAACGCACGGCTGTGTTTGATTGAAGCGTCCCGCAGCACGGCTGCAAAAGATTGGGCATTGCCAGGGTGTGAACCAGGAGACGGTGAGAAAAGGGGCCAGGGTGCTGAAAAGAGGTGGGGAACCCAGGAGAAGTCCGAGCACCCAGTTCTCCCTCCTGAAGTAAACGCGAGTTTCAAGCCAAAGTGGCGTTTCCCCAACTGCCCTCTGTGCAGCCCTGAAGCCGCTCTCGGTTAGCGCCCTTCTTCGCCCGCCTTGAGGCCCAGCTGGCACAACCTGCCTGGGAGTCCCGTGTGACTCCCTGGGCGACAGGCTCACTGTGGGGAATGATGCCGCAAGCCGTGCTGAAAGAAAGCTGCTCCCTGCCCTCCTGCGAGGAAGCGCCAACAGGCGCTCCAGGGAGGGACAGCGCATGAATCACAGCCGAGTCTCAGCCAGCCAGGATGGGAAACCTGGGCAAACCCAGGCAGAGTTTTCCTCATCCAGAGGCCCACACACGTCGTTTCATGGGGCAAAGTGTGCCTCCCGTGCCCAGCCTGCAACCGTCTGCAGGGTCTGCTCCACTGGCCCTGCCCTGGCTGATCTTTGACGGGGACACGCAGAGCTCTGGATGGGCTAAAGGCCAAAGCTGTGGCCAGGACAGAGTGGACAACATGGGAACACCCAGGGAAGCTGACCGAGGTGCCCTGTGCAGTTTCCTTCCTCCAGGGAAGAGAGAGGTGTGGAAGGGGAGGTTCTGCCCTTGAGCTGATGGGAGGGGATCCAAGAGGATCAGCTTGGCAAGATTGAGTAATCTCCCAGGTCAAAGGTGCCTTCTCACTAGAGCTGGCTTCCTGGCTATAAAACCCTCGTAAAGGAAGCCGCCACGGGCCTCAAACAAATATCCAGTTGCCTCAACTTTCCCCTTGCAGCTCCTAGAACTGGGCGGAAACATTCCCTAAGCATCAGGCTGAGAAAAGATCACTTGGCCCGGCCTGGGATCCCACTGGCCTCTTCAGGACCTCTGTGGTTGTCGAGGGTCCCCCTTCACAGCAAAGCAGCTGGCCACCTGTCTTGCAGGCCCATGGGCCCCACCTGCGGGTGGACAGGTGAGGCCTCCCCCTTGCGCCAAGAGACTCGCAGATCTGAGCAGGGGGACCTGGCTGTTTGCACTTCCATCCGCCTCGCAGCCTCCTTGCAACCCAGATGCCGATTCTGACATTCACTGCAGCCTCCCAGAAAGCAAAGAGACGGAAGGAATCCCAACAGACTTACTTAAAAGGTTTATTTAACTTTTTTAAAATTTGAGGTAAAATATCTCATATCAACTTCCATAACAAAATACAGAGCTATCAGATACCCCTGGAAAAAATATGTATATTATACATATATTTCTATAACATTACATCATATATATAATATATATGCAAAGGTTTTTTTTTTTGAAGACTTTATAGAAAGTGGAACGTCTAAAGGCACTGCACAAAAGCATGAGGACTACTTACATTTTTTTTAGACACAATTTTAATCCTGCTTTACATGGACAAATACCTCAAGCTATGAGCTGCTGCCCCACTGTGTTTAGTTCGTCAGTCAGGGCCATCTCATGAAAACTTGTTTTCTCTTTTAAAAGGAGTGATCAGTAAATACTTTGCCACTTTTAACACTCTGAAGTTGAATTTTTTTTCCTAAGAAAAGAACCTAACGGGATGCCCCTCGAACCCAAGACCGGATCTCCCTTCCTAAGTCCCCCCCGCATCCCTAAGGCGCAAAAGGAGACAAGACCAAAGCAGGGGTGGAATAGAAGCCCCCCACCCCACCCCCGAGGTAAATTCTTCCCATCTGAGGGGAACACAGCACACCGTGTCCTCCCCCTCCCCAATGGGGAGGCAAGGGGTCTGCTGCAGGAGCAGGCTTCTGGATCTGAAGCCCCCGGCCCCCAACTCTGGCTTCCCTGCTGTTTGAGACCCCCCCATTGAAAACACCCTTGCCGAGGGCCTTTAACAGCTAGAAGCAGAAGCAGCCATCAGCTCCCCCCGTTCACCCCAAAGGCCCTCCCTGCAATCTCCTGGCGAGGGAGGGGGGCACGGCAAAAACCCATCTAAGATTTCCTATGGCTACAACACATCAAAACAATTTCCAAAAAGTATGCCCGCTTCTTTGATTAGTGGCAGACAGGATGCCCACCCTCCGCACCAGAGCAGCGGCTTCAGTTTTTGGCACAAAGAGCCATTTGGGCTGGCGGGCCGGGGTGCCCAACGCAGCTCACCAGGTGAAGGAGCGGGAGGCAGCCCCCGACCCACCTGGGGCTGGGGAAGGAGGCACATCCCAGGTGCCGGAACGCCCCCATGGCCCCAGCCCCCCCCCCCAAAGCACCCAAAGCCCTTTTCTCCCTGAACAGGCATCGCAGCTCTCCATGCAGGGGAGCCCCCCCACCCCCAAAGCCCAGAGGCAGTGATTGCAACGGGCATAAGGTGGCATTGGTGCTCACCCCCACAGCCCTCCCTCTCCCCAAAGAACCCCGGCAGCCCCCACCCCGTGACCCCCACCCCTTCTGGCACTTGGGTTCAATAGAAGAAAAGAGTGCACATCCCAGGCAAAGGCGGCTTTTCACGTTTCAGTTCCTGAGTTTTGGGCCCCACGGCCAGCCCCCTTCCTCTGGGGGAGAAGAGGACCCCCAGGGGCCCTCCCCTCCCCTCCCCCCACAAAGCAGAAAGGGTCTAAGGCTTAGGCATGCAAGGGGGCAGCTGAAGCAAGGGGAAAGAGCTTTTGACCGGATACCAGACCGGTCTGCAGGTAAGAGCAGAGACACCCCTGTCACCCCCCCCAGCGCCCCCCCATGCAAAGCCTCCTCCATGGCTTTCTCCACATGCTACAAACACAAATCCTGCAGAAGTCTCCAGCTACACCTTGCAAGACCAGGCTCCCTCGCTCGTAATGAACAGGAGAGTGGGTGTCCAAAAAGGGGCAGCTCCCTTTAGAGACCCCCCCATCTTCTGAAGCCACAGAATCCTTAAGCCCCCCCCCCAGCAGGGGAGGGACCACTGAGACTGTGCCTGCCACAGCCCCCAGGAGAGAACCTGGCCCAACTGAGGGCACCAACCCCCCCCCCTTCGTTTACTCTGCCCGTTCGGCAGCCCCCCAGTTAAGAGCTTCCGGCAGGAGTGCCAGGCAGTCCGAGCCCCCGGCTGGTGGAGAAGCCCCCCCGCCCATGTCCTCCAGGGCCACTCTCGCAAAGGGCCCACATTAAGGCAGTCACAAAAGGGCAGAGAGCCGCCCTGGGCTGTCTCCCCCTCAGACCCCCCCCCAAAGACCGGAAGTGAAGAAAGAAGGGGCAAAAAATGGGGTGTGTTGAAGGCATCTGGGTCTCTGTTTCACTTCCTGTCCATCCCTGAAGCTTCAAGAGCAATACTTGCCATGGCTTCTTCTACAGTCAGTTCCCCCCACCCCCCCTCTAATATTTCTCAAAGTTGCTCTGCAGGCTACCAAGCCCCCCCCCCCAGCCCTCCTGTGGGCTGCGGGCTTTGTCTCACCTCCCAAAATGTCCACTTCCAAAATTGAAAGACAGTGCAATGTTCCAGCCCCCCCCCCCAATCCCTCTCCCAACATAACGTCCACAGACGTGAGACAGCATCTACCTCTGACCGGGAAGGGAGACCCCTCCCCAGCAAGCGACAACAGAGATTCAGATGAGCCCCCACGGCTATCGACCCCCTCCTGAGAAACGAGGGCGGGTCCACTGGAGGCGCTGCTGCTGCTGCTACATCCACCATGCAGAAGTGGCCGAGGGGGGCGGGGGCCTTGCAAGCCAAGGAGCACCCCCTCCTATGGGACATGAAAAACTATTTTACCTGCAATGCACACGCTTGCACACGCACTCACACACACACACACACACACACAAAGCAACCCCACCCTCCCACTCCGCAAGTTTAGTGAAGCCATCCTCGCCTTCCTCCTGCCCCCCAGCCAGGAAAACCTTGCTACATGACACCTCAGAGCCGCCCTGGGATGCCCCCTCCGTCCTAAGTATCCACCGCAGCCTTGGGGGCCAGCAGGATGTGGGGCGTGTCCAGGCTGCCAGCCCAGGAGGGTTTCCTGCTCAGGGCCTCCTCGGGGGCCTCGGCCAGCCGGTCCCCGTTCCAGCGACGCTTCAGGCGCAGCTTGGGGGGCATGACGGCATCCTCCCTCTTCTCCAGGGCGCCCGGCTCCGCCCCGGGCTCCTGCGCGGGGGGCTTCTCGGCGGCCCCTTCCTCCTGCTTCAGCTTCTTGGCCAGGCCAGGCACCATGGAAGTGCCAGGCCAGGCCGGGGCGGCCGGGTGCAGGAAGAGCGTCTTCTCCTGGGGCAGCTCCGGGCGGAGGGGCTGAGGGGCCGAGCCCTCGCTCTCCTCCCGCCCCGCCGGGACCCCCTCTGGGGAGTCGGTGCCACCGGGTTCCTGATCAAAAGCCCGCTCCAGCTTGATCCGGGGGGGCGACAGAGGCGGCCCGGTGCCCCCCTCGCTCTCGTGCCGCTCCCGGTGTTTGCGCCCGGCGGGCGGGGGCTGCAGCTTGATGGGGAAGGGGGCCTGCTCCTCAGGGGGCGGCTGGTAGGGCAGGGGCGGGATGATGAGGCTGGGGTAGCGGGGGAAGGTCCGGGGGCTGAGGTGGTAGTTGAAGACGGAGCAGGCCTGGGAGTGCAGGTAGCGCTTCATCTCCTCGGGGCTGAAGGAGAAGCAGCTGCCGCCCCCGGGCCCAAAGGGGCTCATGGCCGAGGAGGGGCTGTAGGAGAAGAGGGTGGGCGTCAGCGACAGGGCAGGGGAGAGGGGCATGTTGAGCACCCCCCCACGGGGAGGGAGGGGCGACCCGGCAAAAGGGCTGTGCGTGTCTGGGTAGAGGCCAGCCCGGCCAAAGAGGGGCAACACCAGGTCCGACTTGCGCTTCGGGTGGCCGACGGTGCCCGGGGCAGCCGCCGTGTTGCGGGAGGCCAGGAGGTCGACCCTGCGGTGCCAGTCGGGCGACCCTCTGTCCAGCTCCAGCGCCGGAGACGCCTTCTCATCCACGCTGCCGTTGCTGAGCACCTCTTGGCCCAGCGGCCCCAGGGCCCTGCCGGAGAAGCAGCCCGGCTGGGAGTCCTCGCTGGGCGACTGGCCCTCCAGGGGGGAGAAGTGGAAGCGGGACGCAGCCGTGGGCACCGGAGGGGCGCTCTGGGGCACGGCGCCTGGGAGGGAAGAGGAGGAGTCAGAGGGGGCTCCCAGAAGTGGCACTGGGCTCTCTTAGCAGCTTCCGGAGGTCGGGGAGCTCAGGCCGTGGGCCTTAAATGATTCAGACCCAGGCCTGATGCAGCCCCCCCCTCCCACAAATGGTCCCCAGAAGCCCAGCAGATCTGCCCAGCCCCTCCCTCGGGTGCTATCTGGGGAGGGGCCCTTGTCAAAGGCTCAGGTTTGGTCCAGAGACCCTCTTCCCGCCTCCGCTACAGCCCAGGCCTGTCTTCAGCAAGGACGCAACACCAGGATGGCAGAGCTGGGGGGCTGAGGATGCCAGGTCCCAAGTCAGGGCCAGAGGGCTCTCTCCAGGCAAAGCGGGCAGAGAGGGTCTTTCTCCCCTCCTGGAGGAGAGGCACAAAGGGCCTTGCGACTCCCCACCCCCACCCCCACCCCCACCCAGGAAAGAGGAGAGACAGCCCCGGCCCTCTCCCTCCCGAGCTGGGTGGGGCGTTAGCCTCCCCAGGCAACAGAGAAGAAAACAGGCTGTAATCACAGGGCAGCTTCCAGCCGCTCCGCTCGCTGCCAGCCTCAGGGCGCGCAGGGCGTGGCCGAGAGGAATCAGGGTGAGCAACTGCCCGGACTTGTTCCTGCACTTGTCCAGGCCACGGGGGGGGGTGCAACCCTGCTCTGCTCTTGGGCCCGGCTTTCGGCTGAGGGCTGCCAGGTCACGTGGCCGGACCCTCTTGGCAAGGAGCCTTCACGCCGTGGGACGACTTCCATGGCCCCACCACAAAACAAAAAGCTACTAAACCAAAGAACAAGTGGGCAATCGTGCCGTTAGGCAGAAGGAAACAAAGGTGAACGAGGGGGAGAAGCCGGACGTGGGAAGAGCGGGACCTCCCCCCCACAGAAAGGGGGGACAGCCAAGCCGCACAGAGGGAAGCCTTGGCCCATGGCGCCTGTCCCGAGCGCAGAGGCTCCCTGCCTGGGGGCAAAGAGCCCTCCACAGCAGGCTGAGGGATGGCTTCTGACAAGGCCCAATCCTTGCCAGCACCAGGAATGAGGAGTTCTCCCCTGGCCTCGCCACCCCAACAGAGGGGAGACAAAACACTGGTGCGAGGAGCCCTTCGTGAAAGCCCCGGATCTGGAGGTCGACTCGGGGCAGAACCCTGGAAAGCTGCCGGGCTCTCCCTCTTCCCAGCCACACCCTGCACAGCCAGTCAAGGAGGCCAGGGCTCCTCTGCCAGGCCCGGGGCGGCTACCGGTTCCCACATTGGGGAGGGCCTCTCTCCTGGCTGCTTTTTTTCCCAAGCCCAGGAAAAGCAGGACATCCAGGGCGGGCAGCTGCTCAGCTCAGCCCTCGCTCCGCCAGGGGCCGAGTGCCAAGCGTGCCATTACCACCAGGAGAAAGAAAGGGCCTGCGCTGGAGTTCATTTCTGAGAAGGGCTTCAGAAGCAGCAGAGGGCCCGGCCACGGGGGCAGCAGGTCTGGCCAACCCAGGAAACAAGCCCTTGCCAGTCGGAGCAGGGGGCCAGCCCCCTTCGCAGACCCAGGGAAGGGGGAAAGCCAGATGCACAAAAGAGCCGCTCTTCGGCTGGGGGAAAAGCCACATCGCCAGAAATTTTAGGGTGGTGGTGAACACAGACCAGCTGCCCTCCACCTGATTCCCAGAGGCCAAAGGAGAGGAAACCTGGCAACTGCCAAGGACCGTCCGGGCCTTCAGACTCGGTGCCCAGGCTGGACAACTGGAAAGGCCCGGTTTCCGAAGCTCCCTTGGGCCAGACACTCGCTCTCAGCCCAGCCTACTCTGCAGGGAGACTACAGGACTCGCAAATGGAACAAATAAAAACATTCCTCTCGCCAACCTGCCAGGCCTCCCCCTCCCACCCCAGCAGAGCCGGGACCACTGACCCATCTCACCAGTGGGGCGGAGGTTAAGGAAGGGGTAACTGGGCATCACGAGTTTGTTGAAGTTGAACTTGTAGGTGAACCTCTTGCCCTTCGTCTTGTGCAGGATCCGCTTGTTGTAGTAGTACCTGCCGAGCGGAAAACCAAGGAAAGCCGCCCGTCACTCCCCTTGGGAAGAGGTGTCCGAGTGGCAGGAGGAAAGACCCAGGCCGGCAGCCCTTCTCTCCAACCAACAGGGCCTTTACATCCTGGGAAGCTTTTCCCCCCCCCCCCCGGTCACACAAACACACACGGAAAGGAAGAGCTCTGAAAATTAGAGATTTTCCCTCTATTATGCAACGCAGGGAAGAAAAGCCGTGCCGACCAGGCCACCAGGGTCCACAGCTTGGCACCGGATCAGGTCCACTGCTCTGCCAACAGCGAGGGCGGGCACGGGGAAGATCCCAAGAAGGCAGCCAGGGGACGCCAGCAACCAGAGCTCAGGCCCCAGGAGTTTTTTCACCCAGGTGGTTCCCCGGCAACAGAGACCCACGCGCCCAGGAAATCCTTGGGGCAGGCAGGCCCTCCAAAACTATGGGGAGCCTGCAGGGCTGCGGGCTCTGGACTCGTGGCATCCCAGGCAGGACAAATAAATGAAGGCAGGTGGACTTTTCCAGCGAGTCTCAGCAACTCACTTGATGAAGGAACCCAGTGCTCAAAGACCCCGGATGGCAAGTCTGTTCCAGAACCGTCTCTCCCAGGTGTTTCCTGTTAAGACTGCTGGCATTCCCCAGGCCGTGGGGGGAGGGGGCAGGGGTCACCGGAAAAACCTCCAGATCCACCTGACCCCTCTTTCTCCGCCAGCATCACTCTCACCTGAGAGCCCGGCTCAGCTTGTCGTAGTTCATCTGGGGCTTGCATTTCCTCCGGCCCCACAGTCGGGCCACTTCGTCCGGATCCTTGATGACAAACTCCCCGTATTCGCCCTGCTGCCAGGCGATCACGTGCCGGAACTCCTCCTTCTGCAGCAGCTCCAGGATGAAGTGCCAAAGCTGGATCTGGCGGGAGCCAGGGCTGGATTCGGTCTTGTACGCCCAGTCAGGGAAATGATAGCCTGGCAGACCAAAAAGCAAAGCCCGGGGTCAGAAAGAAATGGCTACCTGCAAGCCAACAACCTCTCCTCATCCTCTGAAGGGAACCGATTTCATGCTGAGCCGAGTGGTGCAGATGCGGATTTCCAGCCAGGCCAACGCTGGCAGGAAACAGTCTGCTGAGGGAAACACACACACACATCCAGCAAAGGCTCCTGTCTTCAGGATGCTGCTCCAGCAAAGGCCTTGCCATCTTTGCCCTGGGCCAGGGAAGCCAGGGCCCCAAAACCAGTCTGCCCACAAGCTGCCTCACCTCCTCCTCCTTCTGGCTTCTCCACAATGGGGCAGCCTGCCTTCATGTCTCTGCTCCTGCTGTGTGTTCCGCAAGGGTGGCCAGAGGCGGGGGAAAAAAAAGAAAAACCACGGTTACCTGTCGGCGCATGATTACCGGGCACGCAACATATCCTCGCCCAAGGAAACGGCTGCCCGGCAGCTCCCACAAAGCACCACCCAGGGTTTCACTGGTTTATCGAGACTGCAATCGCACCCCACCCAATCTAGCTACCGATCGTAAACACGGCACTGAACGTCAACGCCAGGACGGCTCCTGGGCTGACACACCCGCCGGCGGAAAAGGATTTCCTCGCCGGCTGCTCCCAGCAGCAAGGCAGACCAACCCGCTCTCCGACCAGAGGGCAGCTCCCCCCCCCTCCTCAGTCCTTTCCTGAAATAAATTCCGGGGCTCCCCCACTCCGGGCCCCAAAGGCTCAGAGGACGAGAAGGGAGAGCCGAGGCCCAGCGCCCCCTCCTCCCTCCGCTTCTGCTTCCAAGCGGCCGGGCTCCACTGGCTGTCTGTCTGTCGGGGAGCCCTCTCGCCCTCGGGGCTCCCGGCCGGCTTCCTTCACTCCGCCACGCCCGGGTTTGAAGAGCGGGGTCGTCGGGCCGGGCCAGCGGCGGAGCCTCCCTGCTCTCCTGCCGACGAGGGGCCCAGAAGGGAGCGCGGCTGCTGCGGCCGGACCGGGCCCGGCCGCCCTCGGCCAAGTGGAGCAGCGGCACCGGGGGCAGCCGGCCTGTCCTCCCCTCCACCCAGGGCGCTGGGCAGGGGAGCCCCGGTCCTCCATCGGGGCGGCCTCGAGAAGCGGCCCCGTCCGGGCTCTCTCCGGCGCCCGAGGGGGACCCGGGGCGGGGCTGGCCCACTAGCCGGCAGAGAATCCCGCCCCTCCGGCCCTGGAACCCCCCGCCGGCGCCGGCCCTCCGCTGCCCGGACGGGGAGGCCGGGGGCCGCCCCGAAGCGCCCGGGAGGGGAGGGTGGGAGCTGGGGTATCCGCCGCCCCGCGCCCGGCCAGGGGAAGGCCCGACCCTCCGCCGCGCCAGGCCCGCGCTCACCTGATCGCCGGCCGGCCGGCTGGGGCTCCGTCGGCGGGTCGGTGCGGCCTGCCGGGCTGCGCGGCCGCTTCTGCTGCTGCTCCTGCCGCCGCCGCCGCCGCCGCCTCCCGTCGCTCCGCCGCCGATCCTCGCCCACTTCCAGCGCCAGCCACCGGAAACGGAAACGCCTCCTCGACGGGCCGCCCGCCCACACGCCCTGACTCACCGCGCGCCACTTCCGGGGGAGACGACGTGCGGGAGGCGCTTCCGAGCTGGGCGGCCGGAGCGTCCGTCACTTCCGAACCGTCGCTTCGAAATGGGCCGCTCTGTCCCCTCCTCTCTATCCCCGCCAGAGTCAAGTCCGCCGGTCAATTCTCGGGCTCCCGCTCGCGAACCCCCCCCGTCCCGCCCTGCTCCCGCTCCGGCTGGGGAGAGAAGAGCGGGAGGCCCCGAGGCCCCCCCCGTCCTCAGCAGGCGGCCCGATCCTCAGTAGCGCCTGCAGGCGGGCGAGGATGCCCGGCGGGGCTGCGGGGCGCAGGCGGGCTCCCCCCGGGCTCGGGCATCCCTGGAAGGCGGCCGGAGGAGCCCTCCGCCTCTTCCGAGGCAGCAGCACCGCCCTGCGGAGAAGCGGCCGAACAGCAGGCAGGGTCGGCAGCTGGGAAGATCTCTGCCTTGCTTGCAAAGGAGGAGCCGCGGCGGGGACGGGTCTGGGGCTCCGCTCGGGACCCTCCGCCAGCCGCAGTTGGGCATGGAGTACCCGTGGCTCTTCTTCCCTGCCGGGCTCCGTCCCCGGTCCTCCTCCACACACCTCCTCTGGGCCGGACAGGAATTAGAGCACCGCTCCCCGTGAGCTCTCGTCCCTGCTCGGTTTCCGGAGGGGTCTCGAGGGGGAGCCCCAGGCAGTCAAGCCAATTGGGAAGGCTGATAGAAATCTCGCCCCCCCCCCTTCTCTCCTTTTCTGAGTGTTTATAACTTCCCACCTGGTTTGTATAAGCATTATAATCACACCTCTGCTGCTGGACGGGCCCCGGGAATTCCCTGAATGGCTCAGACTTAATATTTCCCCTGGAAGCAGGCAGGCGGGCAAGGGGCTGCGCTGCCCAAGTGCTGCTTCTGTTGCATCCACACATTTCAAGAGGGACTCAAAGTAGGGCACGACCTCACAACCACAATGGAACCCGGTGGTCCTGGTTGCCTCGAGACAGGTGAGGGTTCCAAGGGTGACAGTTCAGCTGGCATCAGGATGCAGAACTGGTTCTCTCTTAATCGGCATCTCCGCAGGTGAGGCCAAATTGGGCAGGTAAGGCCCACAGATCGCCAGGGCGAGTCTTTCACAGCCATGTCTGCCTGGCCTCGGGAACAGAGTAGCCCCAGAGATCACCTCCAGTTGTCCAGGGCCTCTTCTGACCATCTTGAGGACACCCTTAACTGGAGGGAGAGCTGGCCCACATTGGCAATGTTTGTGGTCTGGGCACCAGTGGGCTCAATTTCCTGGCAGCCAATTTTTGTTTTTTCCCCCCTAGGTCCATCTATGAGAAGAACAGACCGTAAGTATCTGCCTCTGTGGAACTCAAAGAAAGCCTTGTCAAGTAAGGCAGGGCAAATGAGGGAGATCTTGGTGCCGGAAAGAGAAAATGGGTTTTAGATACCCTTGTCTTCTCTGGAAATTCTTGAGTCATTGGCTGCCGTGGATCGATGGGTGTCTTTTTGTGTGGCATCACAAACACGCTTTGCTTGGTATTTGCAGGTTTTCCGAGGATGATAAAGCAGAAACCCAGGATGAAGCTGAAAGAGACCCCGTTGTAGGAGAAGGCGAGTGAAGATTTGGAGGTTTACTTCTTTGAAGCTCCAGGAGGTCTTGGGGGCTCTGGAGAAATGCACATGTTTTGAATCAGGGCAGAAGCTGGGGGGCAGGGGGTTGAGGAGGGGAGAGAGCCCCCACTGACATGTTTTGTGCCCTTCCTTTCCATCTTTCCAGGTTGTCTTCTTCAGCTGCAGCCCCAACCAGGTCCAGCTGCTGCAAGTGGTAAGCCTCACAGAGGTGACCTCCAAGCAGGTGCCCAAGCAGCTGCCATTGCTAACTCTACCGCCCCTCCCCTCGGCAGGTGATCCAGAGGCCCCCAGCAAGGCTCAGGCTGACCGCTTGGTTCCTGACTCCTCGGCCTCCAAGGCCATTTGCCCAGAGGCTGCCCTTCCGGCTCCTATGCCTCCAGAGGAGATCATGGCTTTGATTCAGGAGCTGCAAGCTGCACATGAGTTCCAGTCTTCTCACTTCCAAGAGCGTACGTTGGGAGGGCGCCTTCCCCTGTTCCTCCCTTGGTGGAGAGGGAAAAGGCCCAAAGGTTTTGTTCTCATGGGACTCTCTCCTTCCAGGCAGGCAGGATCTTCGCAGCTGCCACGATTGCCTGAAGTCCATGAAGACGCTCAAGGAGCACCTCCAGGCTGTGAAGGCCAGGCTGTGGCACGTGGAGACCATGCTAGGCATTCAGGTCCCACCTCAAGAACTGGACCCGGAGGAGGAACAGGAGGAGCCAAGCGCCCAGGACAGCCCCTGCGACCCAGATCTTGTTCCTGCCCCCCCCCTTGTCTAATGGGGGGGCCTGAGATGCAAGGAAAGCCGGCACAGCAGCATAAATAGAGATCTGCAGTCTCTAACCAGCAAATCTTTTGTTGTTTTCTTTTGTTGAGTGCTGCTCTCCAAAGTTTCTGCTCTGCTACTTCATCTATGGTGGTGGTGGAGGGTTGGGTTGCATTCCTTTATTAAGGGACAGGTGAATAACATTGCAGAAACAGTGGGCGGGGGACAATCGGCCCGACAGTCTGTAGCTGAAGAAGACTCTTCTGTCATCCCGTGAAATGCGTTTTCTCCAGTGCTCTGCAATGAAGCGGAATTGACAGAAATTGAAACATCTCAGAATAAAATGGGAGGATTCTGACATCCTCAGCCAGCAGTAAGAAAAGCCAGCTGGGAATTTGAAGTCGGAGGCCGCCTGCCCACCGGCCGGCAGACCGACGAGGGCTCCGGGTGCTGGTCCAAGAGGGGAAAACCTCCACGAACCGGCCGGGGGGGAGGGGGACTAGGCGCCTGGCTCAACTAGCCCGCTCTGCACTTTCGTAGCTCGGGAGCGCCTGCTAAGACTGCAAATCCCAGAGTGCACTGCGGTCATCCGACACTCCCGCCCCGCCGGGAAGGAACTGCGAAGCGCGGCGGACCAGGTGGGCGCCGGTTGCAACACGCGGGGCTGCCCTCTGCTGCCGGGAGGGAGGGGGCGGGCGAGGGGGGTCCGGCCCTCTTGGGGCGCCGCTGCCTTGGCCAACCCGCGCCCCTTGCAGGCACCATGAGGCTGACGCGGTTACTGGCCATGGCGGAGAAGCTGACGCCGCCCTGGGCCCCCGAGATGGGCCGGGCGGGCCGAGCGCCCCGGAGTAAGAAGCCCGCGGCGGCGCCCATCCCAGAAGAGGACTGGCAGGTCTTCCGCGGAGACACGGTAAGTTGGGGGCCGGGCTGTAAGGTTTTCCACTCGCTCTTAAAGCAACACAGCAGCAGAGAAACGGGGAAAAAAAAAAATCTCACCACCAAAAAATAGATTTCTCTCCTTCATATAAATGTTCCATAAATTCTCTCATACATCCTCCATGAAACTCTTCTCATGCAAACCCTTGCTATTGCTTTTCAATTTACTTTTACAACAATAAAATATGCAGTTTACAATTTCTTTCACAGCCTGGGAGAGAGTGGGGGGGGGGTTGAGAGCTAACACACACTTAGGTATCAACAAATCAACTCATTCACTTCCATGCTGCTTGCATAAACAATTCCACATACAAATATTTCATTTCATACTTTCTTCAGGCAAACTATTTATTGTTAAAGAAGGCCTTTTTATGTGTTGTTATCAAAGAGGGTGTTGACCCTCGTCCAAATCTTGGACATAACACAGAACAACACAGACAAACATATATACACAAATACTATTAAAACAACATTTATTTAGACATATGGCTTGTCCTGCAAAAAGCGAGAAAAATCATGAGGTGATTCCAACCAAACATGGTTTTTTTATTGGGCCCTTTAATCATCCCCTATTTTTCTCACCATTCCAAGTCCAAGCATAATGTTTTGGGTGGCCACACACATACACACATATATATACATACATATATATATAAACAAAACACACTACAGATCAATTTGGGGTTTGAGGCTAAAACAGGCCTCCCCTTTTATTGCATACTGCCATAAGGAAACAGGTTGGGCCCCTGGATGAAGATGGGCTCAGTGAGGGACAGCATAATGAGCAAATCCTGGGATTCCATGAGACCAAACCTCAGGGGAAATGGAATCCGGAAAAGAAACAGGAGATGCACTAGCATCCAGATAACAAATATAAGCTTGCAAAGCTGGAAAATCCAAAGAAATACCCTGGGGTTGACAAGTGATTGTTGCTCCCAAGTTCCCAGGAAATCTCTGCCCAGCAAATTAATAGGGCCCTGGGGTAAAACCAGAAATGAGTGTTGAACTTGGGCCCTTGGCTTGGAGTCACACACAAAGGGGTGGTGCAGGGAGCCATTTCAGTTTGCCCACTGACACCAACAATAGGAATAGTCTGAGAACTCAAACAGTCTTTAGGGGCATGCTGCAAGACACTGTAAGTTGCCCCAATATCGACAAGAAAAACTTTGTTCCTTCCCCCTACCTGCAACTCCAAGAGAGGTTCAGGGGAGAAAACAAGACCTCTGGAGCCACATCAGTATTGGGAGGGATAGCCGTCATTAGCATACATTTGCATTTTAGGATGGAACGGTTCAGCCTGTGGTGACAGCCGGGATGGGGGAGGTCCCCTGTTATTGGATGGAAATCCTCTCCTTCCCCTCCAGGGCCCGTCCGTGGCCCCAATTCTTTGGACATACACTTTTCCAGTGGCCTTGTGCTTTGCAAAAGGGCACACTGGTCTTGCCCCAGGGTATTCTGACGAGGCTGGAGAGCAACGGCCAAAAGTTGGGCATGCTTCCTCATGTTATCTTCCTCCTTCCCCTCTGCAGCCTCCTCCCTCTGGGCATAAACTCCGAAAGCAGTTTGTATTAAGAGTTCAAAAGTTTGAGCACTGAGTGAAACAAGTTTTTTTGCAAGTTGCGCTGAATATCGGGGGCAGTTTGTGCAACAAAAGCCATTTTCAAAAGTGGTTCACTGCCTGGGCTATCAGGATCAATGTCTGTATAACAACGAAATCCATCTTTTAATTGGTTGATAAAATCAGTAGGACTCTCTTGTGCTGTCTGGAAAATCTGATTCACTCTATATTAATTAACAGTCTTGGGGACCCCAGTTCTAATGCCATGGAGAATGGTTTTGTGAAAATTCAGTAAGGCACCATATCCCCCATCAGTGTTAAAATCACATTCAAAACTTGGAACAAAAACAACTTCAGGTGCTGGCCACTGCTCAATGTCTCTTTGTCCATCATTGGTGGCTTCCTTCCATCCCCCAGTATATTCCTCCAAGGCTTTTTTTTTTCTTCAAAACCTGGCGTTTGTCTTCAGCCCCCAAAAATCCAGATAACAAAGTGTCTATATCAGGGACCGTTGGCTTGTGGGTGGCAAAAATCCTTTGAAATAAATCAACGTACTGCTGGGGGGATTCTCTAAATGGTGGCAAGTTAGCTTTCCAGTTAAAAAGGTCACTGGTGGTAAATGGGGTGTGAACCAGGACCATTTTTCCATTTGCTGCTGGCACCCGTCGCAGTGGGCATATTGTCTTCTCCTCCAAGTGTTTTGTTTTAGCATAAACTTTGCCCTGTCTCGTGTGAGAAGGGCTTTGAATCTGTGCAGCAGAGGAGGATCCCTCATCAGGATCTTCGTCTTCAGAGATGGAAAGAAGGGGGGCTGCGGGGGGGAAGCAGCAGCTGAATGCAAGGACGGAGAAGAGACAGAGGGGGCTGTGGGGGAAGCAGCAGCTGAGCAGTCGGGATCACATAAGGTGGTGGGTAATCTTCAGGTTCAGGACAAGTTTGAATTGCTTTCTTTTGAAACTTATTTATTTCTGGGCAGATTGGACAGACCAAATTCAAAACCTTTGGAGGGACTAACAGGCCACATTGTTTTAAAATGTCCTGTCGGATGCTCAAATTAAAGAAAAAGCCTGCATATAATTCTTCATCCATCCGCCCTTGTATAGCAAAAACATCTGTAAGCTTATTAATAATATCCAAGTGCACAGACCCTTCTCTTGGCCAAGGTTGTTGCCCAGGGCTCATAAAATAAGTTGGCCACACATCAAAACAAAGCACCACCAGACGTTGTCTGACACCAGACGTTGTCTGACAGGGTTAAACTTAATAGCCACTGGAGGTTTCAAAACCTCCCAATTTTTCAAAACATATTGCAGAAGATTAAATTTAGATTTAATTTGTTTGTTTAAATTACTCTGACGATTCTCTTTTTTATTTTTTTTACTTCAAGATAGTTTCTCGGCTTCCTCCCTTTTCACTTAATTAATTTGGAATTTTGTAATGAATTTTTCCTTTGGAGGACTAGTCGGGGAGATCAGCCCCCTATTTTATTCCAAAATTACCATAACCTCTGCAAAAAAAAATTACATACCAATTCAATTATTTTTCTTAACTCACTCTATCCTGTATTAGAAGACAGTTGCTTGGCTTCCTCTTTTCTTACATTTATTCATTTATTTTTATGCTTATCTGTAGAGGATAGTCAGAGAGATCAACCTCCTGCCTTATTCCAGGATTTCCAAAGCTTTTTTTTTTTTTTCTTTTACTTACCAAGGCGCCTGTTGCAATTTCTCCCGTCAGTAGAGAAGCATGAAACCTTGTTGAATTCGGGCGTTCAGGTTCATCAGACATGGACCCCACCATCGACGATGAAGCATAGAATCTTCCAGGTCAAACACCTGGGAGCGCTCTAAGACTCACAATTCAGTCGCCGCTGGTTTCGTCCTGCTGAGAATTGAAGGCTCGCTGGGACCTTAACAGGGGTCTCCAGATGTGAGGGGAGAGCCATTGTGGCTTCCACCACGTTTGGGCACCAGGATGTAAGGTTTTCCACTTAACCTCACAATTGCCCCAGCATTACTCAGGAATTTAAAAGAGCCAAAGAAACTCCTGAATCGAGGTTTCAGCAAGCAAACAACTTTTATTTTGATCAAAACAGAGTTGGGTGACCCCATCTCTCTTTGTGGCTGGTAGAGAGATGAAGGCAGCAACCAGAAAAGATGTCTTCCACCTTTTATACCTTTTCAGAACAAAGAGATCAGGTCTTGGTACTAGGCATAAGATGGCACAAAAAAACCCAATTCCTAGATGATGACTCATACACAGCAACCCAGGCTCCATCCGTAACTCCTTTCCCTCTCCCCTTACTGTGCTCTTTTCATATAAGCGATCACCCATACCTAAAGCATGAAGCCCTTACTTTTCCAATATATATATATATATATATAGCATCTGATCAAGCAATTAACTACAAAATGATGATTACAAAATAACAAAACAATGATTACATGATAACACTATAAGTATCAACATAAAATGGTTACTATATATAAAATAAATGCTAATGTCAAACTTAAACATACTAAAATCATCAGCACAATAAAATCCCTTCAGGGTGTCGAAAGGCAGGCGCCGCCCCCCCCCCGACCCACCACCTTCTTCTCTCCCCCCCCCCCTGCAGGTGCAGATCCTGAGCGGGCGCGAGGCCGGCAAGCAAGGCCAGGTCATCAAGGTGGACAAGGAGCAGCAGTCGGTGCTGCTGGACCGCCTCAACATGGTAAGGGGTACTGCGGGAACACCCCCCCCCCGGTCGCCGCCCTTGGGACCTCCAGCCGCCTTCCAGGAATGCCCGAGCTGGGGCGAGCCTGCTTGCGCCCTGCAGCTCCACTGCTGAGGATCGGGCCGGTGGTCTTCCCTGGTGCAGGGGCTGAAGGCTCCCCCATTTCTTCCCCGCAGGGCCACTACTATGCGGACACCAAGGAGGGCAGGGTCCTGTTTGCCCGAGAGAAGCCACTGGCCTTGAAGGAGGTGGGCCTGGTGGACCCAGCAGACAGGTAGGGCTGAAGTGACTCCTCCCACTCCACACCTTGGGGGGGCATGAATCACCTCAGCCGCCCCTAAATGCCCAGGGGATCCCATTGTGGGGGACTTCTGTTCTCTCCCTCCCTGCGCTCTCCCTCTCCCTCAAAGTAGTGCTGCCTGCCCATGGTCATTTCAATGACTTTCACTTTCTGCCATTTTGGGCTTCTCCTGGGTGCTCTGCGCGGTGTCCACTTTGTGTGACCTCAGGCTGCCCACCGAAGTGGTTTGGCGCTACACAGAGCAGGGCGAGCGCGTGCGGGTCTCCCTCCGGACAGGCCGGATCATCCCCAAACCCATCGAGCAGAGGGAGGACGGCATCATCCCGGAGCTGTGGGTTGGTAAGAAGCTTCTCTGCTGAGCGAGGGAGGGAGGACGAGCAAGTGGTCATCTTGGACAACTTCTGCTGGACCCTGCCAGCAGCTAGAACCGGGTTGTTCTCGAACAGTATGAGGACTAGAGCCTTGAAACTGGCTTAACAGACTTTTCTCTCCCACCCTTATCTGGCCCGTTCCTTGCCAAATCAGATGGCCCAAAGGACACCTCCACCAAGGATGCCCTGCAGAAGACGTACACCCCCTCCTTGAAGACCTTTCAAGAGGAAATTATGGAGCGGATGGGAATCGTAGAGACACGGCGGCACAGGAAGTCATATTGGTATTGAGGCTTCTGCTCCTCCTCCGGGGGGGGGGGAGAGAGATGCAGCAGTAACCAGAGAAGTTCTGCATTCACACAGGTGTTAATGGGCTGTCGTTTATCAAAGGCTAAGAGGCAACCAAGAATAAAAATCCCTTAATAGAAAAATAAGCGTACAGTCATTACAAATGCACAACAGATATTTTGGCCCCCTCTGCGAAGGGGTTCATCTATGGCCTGCTCCTTCATCTTCCTCCAAAGGGTTGGTCCATGGGCTTGCTTGGCTGGGGTGCAGCGGGACACTCCTGGGGACTATAAGACCCATCTAGGGCAGGAACCTCCTCAGTCCCCTGCAGCCAGGTCCCACAGGTCGGAGGGCGGCACCTTGGCAGCTACCAGCACCAAGTTCCTGGCAGAGAGCGCTGGGTTAAAGAGAGGGACAAGTTCGCATGGGAAACCTGTGGGGAGGCAAGAGAAGGAGTGGGCTTGCGGTGGCCCTGTCAATGTGGGTCAGGAGCAGGGAGCCCCAACAGGCTCCCCAAGGCCCTCAAAAGCAGGAGCTGGAATCAGAAAAGATGGAACCACCACCAGCCCTGGCTTGGGGTTTGCACCATGCGTCTGTCTTCCAAAGTGCTGCCTGCATTGAGGCAGTAAGACAGGAAAGGGAGACCCCCCCAAAGGCTGAACAGCTGAACCCCTGAAGCAGATCTCCGTTTCTTGCCAAGGCGTAGCCTGAGCATACAAAGTAATTCTGTCTCTCCTACTAAGAGCCTCCCTTGGGGGGGGGCTCCCCTGAGAAAGGATCGCCTCAAAGGAAGCCAGGTCCACTCCTGTCATCTCGAAGCCATAGTGCTATTTTGACTCTTCTTGAGCTGTTGGGTTGGAGGCTGATTCGCCTCTGGCCAAGACCCCAGGCACAGCTTACCTTGTTCCTGCAGGTAAATCATCCGATCAAGGAGAATAAGGGTCTCCACCAAGGGGGCCAGCAGCAGAGCAAGGCTGAAGAAGACCACCACTTGCTGCTGCTCGGCCAAAGAGGCTGCCTCCAGGGATCCACTAGGACTCATCCCAACACGCTCCAGTCCCCGGCGCGCATACCTGCCCGGGAAGGAAAAGCTGAACTTGCTGTTCCAAACGGGACTTGGGGGCAGGTTGATATCGGTGGGAAGAGCAGCACCAATCCCATCAGCTAGTGCCCCTGCAGCTACCAGAAAGTGGACGGGCTCACTCACTGCTCGAAAGTCATCTCGTGAGTCTTGGGAATAGCCTGCACCCCAAGGCGTTTCTTGGTTGGGTCGATGGCCCGGATCACCGTCTCCAGCCTGGCCCGGAAGTAATGCGTCTTCAGCGAAGGACTGTCCTGCTCCAGCCGCAGAATGTAGTCCTCCATGGCGTGGCAGGCCCCTTCCCGGGCCTTGTAGGAGAGCTGGTGGCCGGGCAGACCGGCCACCCAGTTGCTCAGGGGGTAGCCTGGCCGGGCGCCCTCCCCGGTGCTCAGCTTCATGTAGCAGCAGGCCACCGAAGTGATGCCAACAACGTGAGGACAGGCCACAAAGAGCCGGAGGAGAGTCGCGCTGAGGTCCCCGCAGGCATGCAGGCCAGTGAGCAAAAGCGTCCCTTGGGGGTGCTGTGCTTGGAGGCGGGGTGGCGAGTTCTGTTCCCGGGAATCTGGGCCATTCTCCCCACAGTCTGCACCTCCCTTTTGAGCCTCAGTTTCCCTCAGCTCACAAGGCACGGTGGGTTGATGACTCAAGGCTGCTCCCCGTCGACTCCCGTCTCCCACAGCGGCCTTCCCTTCAGCCTCGTCCGAGTGCAGCAGCTCCACAAACTCGGGCCAAGAAGAGTCGGGACTGACCCAGCCCACCACGTGCCTTGGCCCCTGGACAGAGGCGCCATCCAAAGACTGGAAGACCAAGCCGGGGGCCGCCGTCAGGAAAGTGACGGCCGGAGCCAGCCCAGAGGTTGCCCCGAGGGCCTCTCCGGTCGGTATGGGAGATGCCTAACTGACCTGCCCTTCTTAACAGCCAAGGGTCTTCCCTTCCCCCAATCCCACCCTCACCTTCCGCCTGGCCTGCTCCTTGCTCAGCTCCAGCACCAGCGCCCGGTCAAACTTGGCGGCCTGAGCAACCAGCCGGGGGTCTCCCTCCACCGCCGTCACCGACAGCTGCAGCCCGAAGGCCAGGAAGCGGGAAAGGTGGCCCTGCGGAGGGAGCGGAGGAGAGGAGAGCCGACGGCAAGGAGCTCCAGGACAGGGCCAGGCCGAGGAAGGGTGGGGGGACCCCCAAAGCGGCCCCGGGGCTCACCTGCCCGGCGCCCACGTCCACCACCCGGCGGCACCCGGTGCGCTCGCTCAGCCGCTGCACCACCTGCCGGAGGAGGAGGGCGGGGAAGGAGAGGGCGGTCAGGGCCGGGGCTCGCTCGCCCGGGCCCCCCGCACCCGCCCCCCACGCCCCGCACCTGCGCCAGCCGCCGGACCTCGTGCTGCTTCTTGGGCCGCAGGTGCCTGCGGAAACGGGGCGGCAGCGGGGGCTCGCGGGCGGCGGCTGCTGGGCGGCGGAGGAAGGCCAGGGCGTGCGCGGTGGCGCGGAAGGCCAGCAGCGAGAGCGGCCACACCGGGCAGCGGACGGGCTCGGCGGGGCGGTCCCTCCGCAGCAGCAGCGCCGCCACCTCCGGCGGGGAGAGTCGGCCCAGCGCCGCCTGCCAGCCGCGGGGGAGGCGGCCCCAGAGATCCTCCGCGAAGAACTCCTGCGGGCGGAGGAAGCGGGAGGGGCGCTCAGCGGAGCCCACCGGCCCGGAGGGGGGAGGGAGGGGCGGGGGAGGCGCTTACGATGACGAAGGCGTCCGTCAGCGGCCGGTAGAGATGGAGGACGCGCACCAGGCTGGCGGCCAGGCGCTTCTGCTGCTCCAGGGCGAAGCCGCGCATGGCGCACAACTTTGGCCCCGACCGGCCCCCCTCGCCTGCCCGCCGCGCGCTTTCGGGTTCGGACGGAGGGGGCCGCTACCGCCGCCCCCGCGGCTCCTCCCGTTCTCCCTCCCCACCCGGGCTCCTCCTCAGGGCCGGGCGAGGCTGCGGCGCCGGCTTCCCCGCTTCGGGGAAGGCCGAACGGAAGGAGTTCCGGTGTGGCCGGAAGTTCCGCTGCCGGGCGGCGCTTCCACATCCGGATCGGCGGCGCGGTGCCGTCGCGGCAGAGCGAGGTGGGCGTGGTGGCCGGGTCCTCTCGGCAGGGAGGGGCGGGGGGCTTCTGGTGACACGGCGGCGGGGCGGCTGTGATGCCGGCGGGACCCATCGAGGTCACAAAGCCGGGCCTGCCGGGCGGGGGGCGCCTCGGGAGCGGCAGGGACTCCCCGTCGGCCTCGCAGCCCGGACGGAGCCGCGCAGGTGCCGGAGGGGCGGCGTGGCTGGCCGGGGGGCCGCGGGGCCGGAGGGGGGCCGAAGCGGCCACGGGGGGCCGAGCTGGATCGTCGGGCGGGGGCGAGGCCGGGGCCAAGCGGGGCTGCCGGGGCCTTCACCGCCGCTCTCCTCCGTCCCTTCCAGGGAGACATGGCGACACTCCTGCCGCCTCCTGCCGCCGCCGCCGGAGCCCGCTAGATCGACGCCCGCTGCTCTGCGCTGAGTGGCCGGGTCGCTCCGCCGGGCGCCATGTCGGACCTGCTGCTCAACCTGGACACGACCCTCCCGCCGCCGACCCCGAGGAGCTCCGCGGGCGGCCATCGGCACCAGCGCTTCGTCAAGCGCCGCCAGTTCCTGGAGCGCCGCGGCTTCCTGAGGCAGAAGCAGCTGCCCACCCAACCCCCCGCCCTGCCCAGACGGGGCGCTTCGGGGGGCGGCTGCGCGGGGCCCGCTCGGCCCAAGAAGAAGCCTCCGAAGGTGGCAGGGAGGGAGGGCAGCCGAGCCCCACTTGAGGAGGGTCTCCCCGCCCGGCTCAAGACGCTGCCCAAGGAGAGCGCTGCTGCGGGTACCCTGTGCCCCGGATCCCGGACGGACGGCCCCTCCGCGGCTGCCTCAGCCTCGAAGAGGACGGGGGGCACCGCTGGGAAGCCCAACGGGACCCTCTGCAGCCGGGGAGATGTCTCCCGAGTCGGCCCGCTGGACGAAAGCAAGGCTGGCCTCCCCGACGTGCCGGTGGTAGCCAAGCCCGGCAAAATGGTGGCTATTGACTGCGAGATGGTGGGCACTGGGCCCGGTGGGCGCAACAGTGACCTGGCGCGATGCAGCGTAGTCAGCTACTATGGCGACGTGATGTATGACAAGTACATCCGTCCCCTGAGCCCCATCACCAACTACCGGACTCGGTGGAGCGGCATCAGGCAGCATCACATGAGAGATGCTGTCCCCTTCAAGCTGGCCCAGAGAGAGGTGAGGGCAGCACGCAGCCTCCTCGCCCTCAGTCTCTCCTCCTGGCGTAGGGAGGGGAGTCTTCCGGGATACGGCATCCTGGGCGTCAGCGTCATCTCCTCCCGTCTTGGCTGGGGGGCCACAGGAGCCCTCAGCGGCTGAACACGCTTCCTGCTCTGCTTCCTTTCCAGATTCTTAAGCTTCTCTCAGGGAAGATTGTCATTGGCCACGCAATCCACAACGACTTCAAAGCCCTCAAATATTTCCACCCCAAATCCTTGACCAGGGACACCTCAAAAATCCCCCTGCTTAATCGGAAGGCTGGCTTCCCCGAGAACGAGTCGGCCTCCCTGAAGCGACTCACCAAGCAGCTCCTCCACCGAGACATTCAGGTAACAGGTGCCGGGCACACCTGCTCAGGTACTGAGCCAGCTGCTCTTTCGGGATGGTGGGTCTCCTAAGCCCAGGGGAGGCGTTAGGGTTTCGTCCCAGAGGGAGGGGGGGAGAATGGGCACCCCTGTGGCCAGGGAAGAAGTCCAGGGCAGGACTTTGAGTGACACCCTGAGCCTTCCCTCCCTCCCTCCAGGTTGGTCACAATGGACACTCCTCGGTGGAAGATGCCCGGGCCACCATGGAGCTGTACAAGGTGATTGAGGTGGAGTGGGAGAGGCATTTGGCCACCTCCCTCCCTCAGGACGGACCGCTGGGCACCACGTGACGGCCCTTGGCCAAGAACCAGCTGGCCTGGACTTCACGGAGCGAGAGCTGCAGATGTTGCTGAAGCTTTTGGGGGGGCAGTGGAGGGGAAGAAGGCGCAGCTGACCTGGGGGGTGGGGTGGGGGGTGAGAAGGACGAGTCCATTACATTGTTTCCAGCTGAGGTCCATGTTGGTGTGTGTTGTTGCCCTCAAAACAGGTGGGGAGGAAGGCCTGCCTCCCAGTGCTTCCCCAGAGATGGGGGAGGGAGCAGGGGTGGGGCCTGAACCGCAGAAAGTTTCCTCAGCAGTGGGGTCACTGGGAGCAGCCCGCCCACTGCCCTCCTCCTTGGTGTTGGGGCCTCCATCGGGCTGAGCCGGCCTCTTTTACGGGGAGGCCTCTGGAAAGTGAAGCCAGGAGTGGCTCCCCCCGTTCTGAAGGTTGGGGGCAGCCCGGCTGCAGGGACCCCTTGGCATCGCTCCCTTCAGTGGCAGCAGCTGCCCGGGGGGCCCTGGGGCCCTGGGAGGACAGGGAGGCCCTTCTGGCCTCCGTCTCCAGTGGCTGGATTTTGCCTCCCAAGATGCGCTGAGGACTTTTATCATCACAGCCCCCCTTCTGATCTCAGCACATGGTGTGTATCCAGACGGGAGGGGGGGGGTCTGGTTTTTATGGCTTGGATTGTGGGGGGGGGGAGCTTGGGGGGATGTAGAAGTAGCATAAGTCACGCGCCTGGCGTGCAGGATGTAACAGGGTTTTATCCAATTAAAAAATGCCTACCCCAAAGCAAAAGGCTTCACCTACTTGTATCCCTCAGGTGGGGCCTTGATGGACCCCCCCCTGGTCCTCTCAGTCTTGGGGACCCCTTAGGCTGGGGAGGGGGTCGTTCCTGATGGTCACATTCAACTTGATGGAAGCTGCTGCTATTCCTCTTGGAAACGGCCCCAGTGGAAAGGGGCTGGGAAGAGGGGCTGCCTCCCCTGACTGATCCAGGTGCTCAAAGAGACCTATCTCTGGGTTTGGCTGGATGTGAGCAACGACCTCGTTTGGATAATAAAAGCAGAAAAGGGGGGTTCCTGAAAGGGGATCCCTTCTCTTGCTGATGCCCCAGAGTGTTTCCTTCTGCTCAGTGCAGCTTGAGGCCTGGAGGGAGCTGCTTCCTGCCACTTTTCAACTACCGCCGTGTTTCCCCACTCCGCAGAGCAGGGGAAGCCGACTGTGCTCTCTGTTCCAGGAATCCCCTCCAGCACCTGCTCACCGCCACCAAGGGGGGGGGGGAATGTGAAAGCACAGCTTTCCGCAGGAGGCCCCTTGGGTCTACAGGACGGGGAGAGGGAAGCCCGGCTTTCTTTGAGGCTGCGCAGTGGGGAAGGGGAGGCTAGCGATGGGGGGGGCTTGCTGTGGAGACAAAGCTGTGAGGGCTGAAACATTGTTGGTGTGATGGATTGCTCGCCTGGGGCCGATCCAGAGTGCTCTGTGGGTGGCCATCCCCCTTTGCTGTCCTCTCCCTTTTTCTTCCCCCTCCCACCCACAAAAGTCCTCATGTCAGCAGTTAGGGATGTGCTTAGATGGAGCCCCCCCCAATAGATCCCGCCTGAAGGAGGAGTGCACCAATGTTTATAACAGTCAGCAGTTTATAACACTGTGATAACAGGAGCACGGCCCCTTCGTTGGCTTTCACTCCGCTCTCTGTGTTCCAAAGATTAATGAACGGCACTCGGAGGTATTAATTGGCATATCTCTTTCCCTGTTCCCACAAAAAAAAATTGGGCGTGTGGGGAGTTTTCTGCCTGGCTATTCCCAAGCCCTGCTGGTCTTCCCCAAGGCAACTATAAGAATGAGGAGGAGGACTTGCGGCATCTCGGGCCCCTGGGGGGGGGGAAGGCAGGCCAGCCAGCCCCCTCTGAGAGCCGAACCCCACATGGGCTGGCTGGGGTCGGGTTGCTGGAGATGAAGGGGTCTTGGGCATTGTCGCCATCGGTAGGGAAGGAGCAGCTTTTGAAAAGGGCCCTTTCTCCTGGCTCACGACTGGCAAACAACCAGGGTCAGGAGATGCTGGGGGGATGAGTGGTCCAAAAGCTCCCCTCTCAGGGCTCATTGGGGATAATGGGACTAGCCCAGGAACCCCCCCCCCTGCAGGGCAGCAGCCCCTCCGCTCCTTCCCTCCAGCTCCTGAAAGAAAAGTGAAAGGAGTAACTTTCTTCCCAGGAATTCAGGAAGTCGTTGAGTAAATGAGTCTGGGGAGCACAAGTTAGGACTTGCTGGAGGAGCAGACAAAGGCCGGAAGCCCCCGCCCCCGCCCTCCCCTGCGCGCACACACCCATTCAGTCCCTCCTGCTGTCCTGGGGTATTGGGGAGGGCGGCTCCTTTGACTTGCAAGCCAGGGAATCCTTTTAGAGCAAAGGTGCCCTATCCCCATGCGCATCTCTCATGGGGGGGGGGGTTGCAAGAAGGAGGAGCAAAGACCCCAGAAGAGACCACATCACCTCCTTTCCCAGGAAGCTTCATCCCCTTGGACCAACCCCATCTGGCTCTGCCTTTGGCCAGTGAGCTTGCAGGGAGCCCCTGGCCTCCAGGCGGGGGGGGGGAGTGTAAAATCCACTGCGCTCCCCTGCAGGACAGGTGTTCAACACAGCTTGGAAGTACTTCCTTGGGGGCTCCCAGATAGGTTTGGGGTCTGACCCAGCTGCGCCCTCCCCTTGAAAGAGCCGTGGCACGTGTGAAGGCAGCTGTGCCAGCCTCTGTAAGCCTCCCCAAAGAAGGGGCTGCTTTTGCCACAACTCGGGTGGACTCTGCCTGGACCGTTGACCGTACGGAGACCCTTCAGGTCCAAAGAGTGACCGAGTAGCTTTGAGAGGGTCCCGGGGCGAGGAGCCAGTGCCTGCCTGCCTGCCCAGCCCTGCGGGAACCTGCCCTCACCTCAGAGGGGGGAAGACCACCCAGCAACTGCCGCTCAGCTCCCCGGCTGGGCTGCCAAGAGCCTGTAATTACCCAGAGAGGCTGAGGCTTTATGGAGATAAGCGGAGAGATGTGAGGCTAAAAATTAATACCAGCTGGAAATCTCACACTTCATTTCTTTCTCTCTCCCCCTTTGCCCTCCATCCCCCCTCCCATTTCTCTCTCCCCAACTTTTTTTATTCTTTATCCTGCTGACTGTTTCTTTAACCTCCCCTCTCCAAGAACGGAGCCGAGGACAATTGGGGTTGGGGGGGGAGATGTCAGCCCCAAACTTAGAAAGGGTCTTTCTCCCAGCTGGCAATTGGCAAATTCTGGGTCGGCCCTTCCTTTGCCCAGTTGTTCTGCCCCAACTCAAGTGGGGCCTTCCCACTGCCAACAATGGAGCCAAAGTGAGCCGAACCAGGACTGTTGGGCGGCGCAGCCAGGATGAAGGGAAGGGCACAGGGCAGCAGCTTGGGCTCCTGGGCCCTGTGGAGGGCCCCTGGTTACTGGGCACGCAAAGAGCGACAGCCGGCTCAGCTTCTCTGATGGGAGAGGTTGGTGAACACATCTGGCAGGGCCAGGTTGGGGACAGCTGTTCTCCTTCACTCTGGAAAGAGGCAAGGAAGGAGGCTCTTTGTGTAACCGAACACTCCCCACCCTGTCTTAAAAGTCAGCCCTCCTCAGACAATAAGGCAGGAATGTCTCGTGAGGGGCGGGAGGGGGCAGAGAAACTTCCAAAGGACCCGCAAAGGATGGAGCTCTACAGCAGACTTTACTTCTGGCCTCAATTTGGAAACAATTAGACCAGGAGTTTCCCCCTCCCGGTTATGTAGATGGCCAGTCATTAAAACATGTTTTGTCTCTGTCAATCAGAGCCAGGAAGCCCCCCCCCTCAATCCCCCCCACCCGCTCTTTCCTCCGGACCCCCTCGCTGAGAGATGGAGACGCTGAGATTGATGTTGCTCCTTTAGCCTTGGGGGAAGCTATCCAGGATTGTTTAGTCAGGAAACCTTGGTTAAGCCAAGGGGGGCTTAGTCGCCTGACTAAGCAGGACTCATTTCTTGGACTTGTAACTTCCCCCCCCCCGTGGTAGACTGCCCCTGAGCTGGGTGTTGCATTGCCTTGGACTTGCCCTTTCTGGAATCTCTCAGAAGAGGGTGGGGGGATGATGCGGGGACCTTTCTAGGACCAGAGGAGGCTGCCCCTGCCTTAGTTTGCTCTCCCCACAACGAGCAACCCCTGGATCCCATTCAGGCAGCGATGAAGACCTCCCAACGGGCTGAGTCTGAACCCGGTGCTGACCGGCTCTCTGAGGAGGGCCAGGAGGTCAGAACGGCAGGGCGGCCCTCCAGGGCAAGGAAGGGGCCCACATTCCTTCCCTCTTTCAGCACTGCAGCCTCCTAATTGGAAGGGTCTGTGCCCTCCTCCTCCTCCTCCTCCTCCTCCTGGCAGACCCTGAGAAAGGACCCTTTGCCATAATCACATTAAGATGGGGAAATGGGAGAGCCTTGGGGAAGGGGCCTGCAGGCTTTTCTTCTCCTCCCCCAGGGGGGGTTAGAGAAGGGGGCTCCCTTGATGGGGGTGGGGAGGGGGTCAGTTAGTGCTGGCCTGGCCTGCGTGGCCATCCCCGGTGGAGGATTGAGCAGAATCAGCTCCGGCTGGTGGTTGCAAAGCCCTTCCCGAGGGAGTGGAGGGTCCATCTCACCCAACGCTGGATAAACTGAGGAATATCCAGGAAATTCTACCCCCCCCACACACACACACCTGTGAGTCACCCCTCATGTCTTTCCCCCCTTCTTCTGCCTTCCTTGGCTGCCATCCAGCCTCTGCCATGGGGGGGGGGGGGGCTTGGGCATCCTGTGGGGACTCCAGCTGCACCTGGGGATTGGCGTGGGAGGAACGGGGGGGGCTGGGTTGGTGCCCACCTGCAACCGCCTCCTCTGCAAAAGACTCACGGAGGCTTTATTTGCCAGCATTTGAGATTTTAAAAAGGAAGGTGGCTGTGATTTTACTATAATGACAGGGAGTAATTTAATCCATCTCTACCTCCCCAAAATGAAGGGTGGGGCCTTGCAGTGGGACAAGAGCATGGCAATGGTGGGGCTGGGAGGGGACACGACATGGTAGGATCCCGGCTGGGGCTGCTTCCCAGTTGAGTAACTTCTCCAGGCTGCCCAAGTAAGGAGCTTCTTGGGGGTTTCTTGGCAAATGGGGAGAAAACCGAGACTGGCTTCTCTAGAGAGGCCCACATCAGGAGAAGCTGAAAAGCTTGAGAATCCTGGTTCATTCTCAACAAGCCCCTCCCCCCCAGTCAGCCGTTTAGTTCTTCTTCTACTGTTTCACCCATCAAAGGCCCAGGTCTGGGGGGCAGCAGGCACCCTATTTTGGGTCCCCTGGCCTTGTCTGGCAGGCGTCCGAGGGCCCAGTGGGCTCCCACGCCTGGCAGGTTCAGTTCAGCCTCTTGCCACAGACTGCCCCCCTGCCCTGCCGCTTTGGCCCCCTTCTCCCTGAAGCAGATGCAGCAGCAGCAGCTGTTCCAGAGAGCAGCCACAGCCTCCCGTGCCAGCCCAGCTCTCCATCTGGAGAGGAAGGGAGGGTGATGCCTCCTTCCTGCCCCTCGTGGCCTGTGGCTAAGCCCTTGGCCAGCTGGCTCCCTCCTCACCAACCGCTGCAGCAGGACCAGCTCCTCTCTGGCCTGGCTGGGTTTCCAGGAGGTGGGAAAGGGCAGGGAGGAGGCTGGGAACAAGAGAGGAAAGGAAGGAAAAAGTGCTGGGCGAAGCAGCTCTGGCCCTCTCTGCTGCCAGCTGCCCCCAATCTTTCCCTCCAGTCCAGCGCTCAGACCCCTGCTGGGGGGGACATGGGGGGCTGTCCCTTCAGAAGCATACCAAAAGGGGAAGAGGGCACAGCCCATCAGTCTTGCAAGATTCAATTAGTAGAGCTAATCAATAACAAACAAATTTAATTATAATTTATTAACTTCATGTGTCACCCGATTCCCAGCAACTAGTTTTAACTTTCCTGTGGCCTTGACTTCCTGGCCTGGCCTATCTCTGGGGCTTGCAAGCCCCCCCTTCTTATACTTGAGTGAATCAGGGAGGTGTCTGTCTCAGTGGCTTTCAAAGGTTATCTCCTGGTTCTTGGATGCCCCCACCCTCGTTGCCTGCCCAATGGAGGACCCTGCCTAATCTCTGCCAAGGTCATCTTCAGGATTCTGCACAGTGGCCAAATTTGGGTGAAAGAATTAAAAGTTGCAAGGGGGGAGGCAATTGGGAGGCTGGTCAGGCGCTATAACTCAACAGGAGATGCTGCTACAATTCAATTGAGGGTCTGCACCCTTGTCCCCTTTTTGGTCCCATACCTCAGGCCCCATAGAAACCAGAGCCTTGTGGCCCGCTTCACCGGCAGGGGCCTGTTTTCTGCAAAGCTGGGCCAACCGGGCGTGACTCCCCAGCCCCAGACAATTGCTTGGCCAGGAAGCAGCTAGCCCAGACAGGGGTTTTCCATCAGCGTGCGGAAGCAAACAGGGGAACCAGCAAGAGTTGCCTCTTTGGATTTGTCTGGTGGGGAAGCTGGTTTTGAACTGAAGTCACTGCAGCAGCCACTCCTCCCCCACCAGCACCACTCAAGCCTCCTCCTGGTGTTTCACAGGAGGCTGAATTTCTGCCTGGAGCCAATTAGGTCCAGATTCTGTTCGTCTAATCATCTGCACATTTCAGACTCTGGAAGTTTTGCTGGGAAGAAAGGCAGCCTGGCCTGCATGCGCCCTGCGGCCTTTGCTTCTTGGGTGCCGCTTCCTACTCCTCCAAAGTGGGGCAGCCCTCAGGACTCTTTGCAAGAGACAAAAGTCACCCTCTTCTTCAGTGGGCAGCCCTGTGGCTCTTTGGCTTCGGCCAGGCTCTGCTGGGGACGAGGGACCCTCCAGGCTCTCCGTTTCCGGAGGGATTCCGCTTGCAGCAAACCACAGACAAAGCTAGCTAGTTGATCCTCAGGTCTGGGCAAGATTGCTTTTCATCTAGATTAGGACTTCAGGTGAACCATTGGGTCACCTCCATGCCAAATCCCTGCAGCTCTTTTAATGGAAGCAGAGCCAGAAGAGCTGACGTCCGAGGCTCTGTCCTCGCTTCAGAAGGGCCTGGTCAAGGCACAACAGGTGGGCCCTTTCAGCCTCTCTCCTCCAGGGGCCAAACACGCAGGCAGGTCTTGCTGGCATCCCTCTGGGGGTGGCTTTCTGCTGCTCTCAGAGCTGGGAGAGGAGAGAACCGGGGACTGACCTCTGGGCTGGCACAGGCTCTCCAGGTCGTCCATTGGACCTGGGCAGGCCTCAGCTCCAATGCAGGGCATTGCGCTGGCAAACACCAATCAAGTAGAGGGTGTTTTGAAGAGTGGCACGGCCCCCCTCCCCGTGTGAAGGACCTGAAAAGTCACACCACCGGACTGTGAAGTGGGCGAGAGTAATCGCTTAATACCTCAATTACACAATGTGTGTGTGTGTGTGTGTGTGTGTGTGTGTGTGCCTGCTCACTCACCAGGTTGCTCAGTCATGCATGGCATGCTACTTGGGAGGGGGAGCGCTAAGCAAACAGAGAGGAGATGTCTTCGAGCTCTTCCTTGCTTCCCTTGCCAAAGCACACACACATACACAACACACACACACATATAAAAAAAACACTGGAAGAGAGAATGACCAGTGCTCTTGGGCTAGTTATCTCTTCAGGAAAGGCTTCTGGGCCTAAACCTCAGCGCTGGAGGCGTTGCAGTCCCAAACCCCCAGGGCACCCAGGCGAGAGGAGGCCGAGAACCAGCCTCCTCGGACAGGGCCGGTCAAACATTCCTGTTCTCTTTGGGCTGCATCCAATATTTGTGCAGTTGGGAAGGAGCGGCCGGCACTGCTGAGGGCCCCTCGCTGGGCCCTGCAGGGCTTATCCTGCCCCCCAAAAAAGGTGTGGGGATGAAGGCAAAATGGCGTTCCCTCCCTTTGTCTTCCAGTACGGCCCCCTTTGCCATCCCACCCCCAAATACTGCCTGGCCTCATCTCCCTGCGTAGTCTAGTTGCTCTGATCAATTTCCTGGGCTTCCTCTGGCTTTCCAAAATTGAAAGGGGGGGATTCTGCTCCCCCTCCCTGGATTGTGGCTGGGCTGAGCCTTCCTAAAGCAAGCCAGAGGCGGCTGGGGCAGTTGCCGTTTTGCTTTCTTGGAACAATTGCCTGGGAGAACTGATTACTAAGCCTCCCTCCTGTACTGGGGAGGGGGGACTCCCTGCAGATGGATGGATGAGGGCAGGTTAGACCGCCACTGCAGCAAGAATTGGGGTAGGGCCTTTTTTTGAACCCCCCTCTATCTCCGGAGCTGCCTTTGCTCTCCTGATGCTGGAAGGGGTCCAGGCACCAGCAAGTGGGAGAGGGTGCCTGGAAAGCAGCTGTGGTCCCCGCTCTCCGGGTGGGGGGAGAGCTTGCTCCATTCCCAAAGGACCCAGGTCGGTTGCTGGAAGGGACGTTTCTTCCAGAGATCTCCCTGAAAGGTTGGGGGGAGTTTTCTACCCTCCCCCAGGAGTGTTTTTGCACAGGGCAGCTACCTCACAAGGCCCAAGCGGGAGGGATTGAGTTTCGGTGGGGAGGGGGGCTCAACTCCTTCCCCCCCTAGCAGGAGAGGGGGCTTTTTTCTTTTAGAAAATTCCTCCTGCAATCCGCCAGTTTCTGCAACAAAAGCCAGGTTGCCAAGCCAGGATTTTTGGACTCCCCTTCCTGTAGAGGGGGGCCCTCTCCCCCACGCCTCTCCCCCTACACCTTGGCAGGGCAGCCCATTGCCCTCCCCAGGGGATGCTCTGGGTCTTCCTGTAATGGGAAACCTACTAGAAGATCTGGGGACCTGGGGGGGGGCCTTCCTCACCCCAGAATCCCGCCTCTGGCCCAGCAGGCCGGCCCCCCTTCTCCATCCTCCCATGGAAGCATGCGCAGGGAGCATCACTCACCCACGAAAAGCCAGACGGCTGCCAGGAGGAATAAATGGAATGAATGGAATAAATGGGTGGATGTGGGTGCCCAGCTTCGTTTCACTTCCTTTTCAAAGGGGGAGGGAGGGAGGGCAGAATGGAGGGGCACTTTAATTCCCTTCAAGGGCAGAGCTGCCTGAGCATGGCTGAAGTTCATCCCAGGCGGGATGTTTTCCCAGACAATGGAGGGGGGGCTGATGGACCCCCTCGATTCTTGCTGGCTTGAAGTGATTTTAGTCCCTTCTTCAGCCTGGCAAGTGCGAGACCAGACCCAGAAGTTGACACACCCACATACCCAGACACACACAGGCACACAAACACAAAACGGAGGGGGGGGCACCAGGCAACCACTCTCTCCAGACTAGCCTGTGTCCCCCAAACCTTTCAAAGCAAGAAACCCCGCAAGGAGCCAATTAAAATTTCCAGGGTACCTGAAACCTCGCCAAGTGAGGAGCCGGGCAGGACTTTCCATCGGCCTGGGGCCAGGGGGCTGCGGGGCCCGACTCCCGCCTTTGCTGCCCCCGATGAAGGGGGGCGGCAGTGCACGCCTTCCGGCCTCCCTTCAGGGCCCGGGGCTGGAGAGCGGCTTCCCAGGGATGCGGGAGAGGATCCCGGGAGGCGGCGGGGCGCGCAGGTGAGCGCGGGGGGGCTCCTCCTCGGGAGGGGCGGGGGAGGGGCGGGGAGGGGCGGACGGGTAGCTCTTAAAGCGAGGCGCGCCGACGGAGCCACCAGCGGCAGCGGCGGCCAAGAAGCTTTGCTCGCGCTCCTCTCGCGCCGCATCAGGGACCAGCCCGGCCGCCCCCGCCATGGCCAACTTCACCGGCAACTGGAAGATGCTCAGCTCGGAGAACTTCGAGGAGCTGCTGAAGGCGCTGGGTGAGCGGCAAGGCCGGGCGGGGAGTGCGTGAAGGGGTCCGGGGGCCACGCGGAGAAGAAAGGGGACGGGGAAGCCTCCCCCGCTCCCCAAGTCCCGAGAGCCAGCGAGCCAGGAAAGGGCAGGGGGGCAGGCGGCTCCTCCGCGCGGTCTGGGGGCTTCGGGTGAGCCGGCTTCGCCCTGGAAAGCCGAGGGAGACTGGCGGGCCCAGCCGGACCTCAGTTGCGGGACCCCTTTGAAAAGGCTCCGAACACCCCCAGCCATGAGATCTCTCCGAGCCGCTTCTCCGGCATCTTTTGCTCCCCGGTCACCCCGAGAGCACCCGAGAAAGAGGGGGGGCGCTTGGCGTGAGAGGGAGGCAGCGGAGCCCGTCAGCAGCGCCGTTCCCCCCCTGGGAGAGACCGGGGCAGGGGGGAGACTCCAGGCGAGCCTTCCAGACCGCGTCTGTCTTGCCCCTTTTTATTCCGAGGATTAGAGGCGCGGAAAGCACCCCAGGCAGAACAGCGCTCTCTTTTCAGCAGCAGTTCTGGGGGGGGGGCAAGCAGGAGGGGAGGCTCGGGTCTCCCGGGGCAACGATTCAGCCCCCCAAGCAGCGGCCTTTGCGGAGAACAGCCAGGATGGAAAATCCACTCCCTACCCAGACCGACAAACACCCAGACACCACCTCAGCCTCTCCTCCCTCTTCTCTTGCCTTCCCACCGTCAACTAGGAAAAAAACATCTTTGCACCTTTTCCGGGCAAGCTGGAGCCCACCCGCCCGCCTAAAGCTAGCAAAGCTGGGGGAAAGGCTGCCTCCAAGGCCCGCTTCTCTCTGGGGAGGTCTCTGGCTCTTGGCTCCTCCAGCTCAGACTCACCCCCTCCCCTTTTCTCTTCCCAAAGCAGGGGGAGATGGGGGGGGAGCGGCGCTGCAAATTCCTTCCAGCTTGAGGGAAGCCGGCCTAGTTCAGGATAAATATCAGATTCTTCGGTTTCCTCTCCTGCCTCCCAGATGGGGATAATCTGATGCGGAGAGGCTGGAGGGGAGACGAAGCGGAATTTGGATGTGCGCTGTGAATTTGGGCGGAAGAGTGGGAGGGCTGGCAGGAACCTGCCCCGCTTAGGAGCCAGGCTGTGACCCAGTTCCTTGGGGAGGAGGTTGCCAGATCCTCCCCCAAGGGATCCCTGGAGAAGGGGGGGCATAAAAGTGCATCAAGATCCATCTGGAAGTGCAAAGGCAAGTCTGGGCTGGAGCTGCTTGGGGGGGGGGAGAGCGAAGTGAATCCTCCAGCCCTAGAGGCAGTCTACCTCTGTGGCCAATCTAGCATCTAGGCCTTTGAGGTCCTAACCCTGCTGTAGGGTTGACACCACCGAGATGCCCCTGAAAGTTGTGAGGTCACCCTGGAATGGCAGGCAGCCCCGCCCTGCTGTCCCACCCATATCTGTTCTCCTCCTCTTTGGACCTTGCTTATCCCCTTGCAAAACTGCCATTTTTGCTCACGTCTTTGCTCACATCTTGTTCGCACCAAGGGAAACATGGCAGCCGTCTGACTCCGGCCAGCCAAGGGCCACGCAGCCTGTTTTTCCAACAGAGTTGGCTCCGTCTCTTCCAGAGGGTGAGGCTCCTTGGCACCCCTGCCGCTCTCCACCTTCTGCTTCATCGGGGAGGCTGTCATCCCAATTTTAGGGCAGGAGAAACGCAATCGGAAAAACGAAGCAGACGGGATTGAAGTGGTCTGCCCAGGACACGCAGGGAAGCTTCAGCTACGGCGCTGATTGGATCCAGACCTCTTGGAAAATCTGATTGAATAGCAAACACAATTAAGCAGTGGGAGCCAAGCCAGAGGAGAAAAATTTGCATAGCTTAGCTGGCTGGGGAATTTTGGGAGTTGAAGTCCACAGGTGTAAAATTGCCAAAGTTGGACACTCCTGGTTTACCCCTTCCTGGGATTCAGCAAGGCTGCTACGCCCTCAGCTGCTTGGAAGTTAATTCCTCAGTTTTCCCACGAAGCCTCAGTCCTTTCTGCCTCTTCTGCCTGTTGCACAATTGTTAGCTCATACAACACCGTTGGCATCGCTTCCCTCGGGGAAGCTGTCATGACTGACAGTTGTGCAAGTCCTTGATGACTGTTTTTTCCAGAAATATGACAATGTCCCTCCTCACCCCCAATTCTCCTTAAAGTCTGTCCTTGCCTCATACTTGGCTTCTTCAACCTGGCTTAAGGCCCAGTCTGTGTGCGTGTGATTTGTGTGTTTTAAGAAAGAAAACAAAAACTCAGATACCATTGAAGTAAGAAGCATCTGAAAGATGAACAGGTTCATTGTAGCATCAGCAAATGTGGTGCAAAGACACGCAGGAATGTGCACATACGGGGGGAGGGGGCTTTACAAAATGGGGCCCCGCAGTTGGAGAACTGGGTGTGTCTCTTGCAAATTGAGCCCAGCTGTAAAGGCAGCCAATTTGGGGAGGAGGAAAGAAGCCCCACTTGAAGGGGTGTGACCGGCAAGCAGTTGAGAAAGCGGTGAATCAGCCACAGGCCTCCGCTGGGTCAATGAGGTACAGGTTGCCCTTGAACCGGAGCCAGGACTGCCTCAGCAGAAGCCAGCAGCTGACAAATTCCTAAAGGTTCAACGTCTCCAAAAAATCTCCACGGGATCCAGGGAGGGCAGGATCCGTGGCGGAAGAGCAGCTCCAGTCTTCTTCAACCTTCAGTCTGAGGTGGATCAGGTTTAACCCAAGGAGGGGGACGTTGCCCCCGTCCGCTCAGGGAGGCCACGTCTCACCTGGGGTCCCTTGGGACTGGCTCGCCTCAGACGCCATCTTCTTCCAGGGGTCAACGTGATGCTTCGGAAGATTGCGGTGGCTGCGGCCTCCAAACCAGCCGTGGAGATCAAGCAGGAGGGATCTTCCTTCTACATCAAGACCTCCACCACAGTTCGCACCACGGAGATCCGTTTTGAGATCGGGGAGGAGTTTGAGGAGCAGACGGTGGATGGGAGGCCTTGCAAGGTGAGAGGCAGAGAGATGAAGGGCTTGCGGCTGGGGGAAGGGGGTCTCCGTGGGCCAGGAGAGGGGGCCCTGCTGGATATGGGCCCCGGGTCTGTGGTGCCCCCTCCCTCGACAATTCAGGCCTCTCTGCTCTGGAGAAGGGCCTCCAGCTGCACAGAGGCTGGTGTTGTTGTGGAGGACACAGGCTGCCCCTCCCTGGCTTTTGTGATTGCCCCCCCAATTGGCCACTTTCTCCCTAGTTGGACCTGCTGCAGCAAAAGGTGGGGAGGGCTGGCCCTGCAAAATGGGGGCAGAAAGGCCAAGCTGAGGGGGAGAAGATGGTCCATTGGCCCTTCCACCCTCTTCCCAATCCCCTTTCTGCATCGCAACCCATGAAGAGGCATCTCTGTGCCCCCCAGCCCTGCTCAGCCTGGGCAGACAATGAAAGGGGCGGGGGTCTCCAGTGGCCCTTCAAAGCCTCTGCCCTCCAGCTTCCCCCCTCCCTCTTGGATGGCCCCCCCTCCCCAGTGAGGCCTCTCTCACAGGCATCAACAGCCCTGTCCTGCCGGGTGACAAATGAGTGTGATGGGAGGGGGTTGTGTGCCTTGGTTGGCCGCAGCAGGCCCCTTTTCTCAAGGGGGGGGCACTTTCTTTCTTTCCCAACTTTCCAGAGTTTGGCCAAGTGGGAGAACAACAACAAGATCGTGTGTGAGCAGAAGCTGCTGAAAGGAGAAGGGCCCCAAACAAGCTGGTCCCGGGAACTGACCAATGACGGGGAGCTCATCCTGGTGAGGATCCCCCCCCCTTTCTTCTCACTTGGCAGTGGGGACCCCACCGGAGCTGCCCTTCTCCCTCTTGCTTTCTGAGCTGCCCCTTTTTTGACCTTTGGGCGATAAAGCACAGATCTATGCCAGGACTGGCCTCTGCAAAATCAGTGCAACATCCAAATTTGGGGTGCACTTTCTCAACCCCCCCCCCCCGATGGTACAGGAGGTGGGAGCTGCAGGGAAAGCTGCCCACCCTACAGAACTCTTTCCCCTCCTGAGGAAACTTTGTAGTTGTCCCACGTCCCAAGTGCAGAGTCTGGACAGGTGGGGGGGGCAGCCTGTGGGGACCCCTTCCCCCTTCTCCCCGCCTTTCAGCCTCTTTGCTCCTCAGCCTGGGAGAGAACCAGTTTTGCTTCCTTCTCAACTCGCTTCTTTGCTTTCTCAGACCATGAAGGCGGACGACGTGGTCTGCACCCGGATTTATGTCCGCGAGTGAAAGGACTCCAGCCAGTGCCAGACACATGGGGGGGGGAGAGACCGGACAGCCCAGGAGCACCCCTGCCCTGCAGCGCAACGCCAGCCTGCCCTGCTGCCTGATCCCTGCTTTCTGCTGCGCTCAGAGGCACCGTCTGCAACAAGACTAAACAAAGCTGGTCACGCTCCCCATTTACCCTGGAGGAGGCGCGCAGAGGCCTGCCTGGTTTAAGCCATTAACTGTGGAATCCGGGATCAGCTTGGGGCGTCAGGACGTGGCCCCCACAAGCTGTAGGCTGTTCCCTCCTCCCCCATTTGGGGTGGGGCATGGGGGCTTCCCTGGGCTCCTTGGCCCCTGGCGCCCCCTCCTCCTCTTTGTTCCTGGCCAGTTTGTGCTGCTCCTCGTGCGGAACAAGGAACAAGCAAAGCCACAGAGATGTCTTGCTGCAGGGACCCCCCCCCTAAGGGCTGGGTCAGACCAACTCTCACCCCCCCCATCTTCTCCTGTCCTTTTAGCACGAAGTCTGTAACGCCTGTGAAGGCGTCCTCATTCCCCCAGCCGGCATTAAAGCTTTTTCCAGCTCTTCTGCCTCCCTCCTTTCTACAATCCACTCTAGTGAAGCATTTGCAGGCTTAGGAAATCGTCCCTGAAGCCCTTTTGGTTCATTCCCCCCCATCGGATCCTCAGCCCACGTTTTAAGATTCCAGAGGCTCCTTGGGGGTACCCATTATGGGAGGGGAGGGTGAAATTGGGGTCCCTGAGCAGGAAAGCGGCTCTCCAGGGTGGATCGAGGCCTCCAGCTTAAGGCACATGGTCACTTCCTGAAGTTGAGGCTGGGGTCTTCCCACATGTTCTGGTCAGGATTGGGGGCACCAGGCCTCGGAAATTCCTGCCAGCTTTAAATCAAGGGGGCAACCCCCCACCCAGCCAACAGAAGCACAGGGGCTTTGGGCCAAGGGGAGGCAGAGTGGCCCCCTTCACCGCTCTGCCAGGGCAGCTGCAAAGACCCTCTGCCTGCCCTGACCTGGTTGCACCAGGTGGGCCCAACCTTGGAGAGGCCAAGCACTCTGTCAAGCCCCCCTCTGTTGCCATGGCAAAGCTGGGGACCCCTCCTGCATTTTGTGCCTGGAGCCTCCGGCATTATCCCAGGCAACCTCGCTTGCAGTGACCTTATGCACCGTTTTTCCTCTCGGGTTCCCAGGAAGGAGAACAAAGCAAGGCCCCCTCCTTCCTTGCTCTGAAAGGGGCACCTTTCATCCTCAGAGAAAGCCTGTCACGGCCCCCTCCCTCTCGGCGCCTGGCAGGTCAGAGGCCACGGAGACTGGCGGCCCCTCCTCCAGCTCTGCACCAATGAGGTGGGGGGGGGAAGAGTTGGGGGTGCTTACCCACCTCCTTTCCAGGAGGCTGAGGGATGATCTGAAGGGCTTCTGGGCAGCCCCAACCTTTGTGCCCGCAGCCACCTGTGGCTCTTTCTCCCGCCCCTTTGCAAACCCTTGGGATCAACATCGGCCAATGCATTCAAAGCCCCCTCAGAGAGCAAAAGGGGCCCCCAGCCCGTGGAATCCTCTTGGAAGACCCCTGCCGCAAGCTGGGCAGAGAACCAGGAAGATGTTCCAGGACCAGCAGACCCTTCACTGCCAAGCAGGAACCTTCCCTTCTTAAATGACAAACAAGCTCTTAAACGTAATGCAGAATCTCTCCCCTTTGCAGTTCCTTAAAGAGTCCACCAGGGGCAGCATTTGCTGCCTAGACTTTGTTCCAGAAGCCCCTAATGCGGACCCCCTCTTCTCAAAGCAGGGACGTTCCTCGCCGGGTCCCTGTTGCTTGGAGAAAAGGGGGTCCACGTCAATGAGAAAACCTCCGCCCTTTTCATCAGTCCTTCTGAAAGTGAAGGGGGGGGAGCGAGTCGTCCCACGCTTTTCCCTCTCCTTGCGCCCATCTGACCAAACATTCCCGAGGATCTGGGGACCCCGTTCAAATCTCTGCAACGACCCCGACAACCAGGAGGCAAAGCCCCCCCAACCAGGGAGACTCAGTGCATTGAACTCGTACATCTGAGCATCTTTTCCTGTAAGGGCCACAATCTGGTAGCCAAGCTCTGCCTTTCCTGCGCTTTCCAAAAGCGATTTAAGTTTGGCACCGTTTCGTGCTGAAAAAAGGCTTCTTTCTGCCGTAGCACATAAACATTTGGCAGATCGGCCCAGCTGGTGGAATGCCTCTGTCTGCGGAGCGTCCAGGCCCGGAGGCTCCCCTTCTGCAGCCTTGGCACAGCCGTTTTCCGGCCTGCCTCCTCGCAGCCTGAGACCCGGTCCCATTCAGAAGCAGAGCTGAGATTTTGTGGCAAGGGGCCAGTCGGGCCCTGCGCTGATCCCACCTTGCGGGGAATCAGCCACAAGTGGGTCATCGAGCACAGAACCTGCAATTGGTGCCAACAGCTGCATTTGCACAACACCGATCCAGTGGAAAGTGAGCGAGCGAGGGGATGGTGGGCCGCATTGCGCTAAGCCCCAGACAAAGCAGTTAAGGGCGGCGGAGGAGGAGGAGGCGGAAGGGGGGCAGTATCAATAACCAGGCAGACAGTGATCTGGAGAATCACCTTTTTTCCTTGAAGCAAAATTCAAGTGAAGTTCTGCAGACCCTGGAGAGCCATTCCCACAGGGGCTCAAAAGTCTTCGCGTTTCTCCAGTCAGTTTGCAGACAGGAGGCAGAGCAGAAGCAAAAAAATAAAGAGAGGAAAAGCAAAAAGTGGGGAATGAACCGCAAACGTTCCTCAGCAGATACCAAGCTTTGCCGAGTTTGGACAGGCAGTTCTCGTCTCGCCTGGCCCCACATGCCAGAGGGGGGGCTCGGGGCAAGCAGGACCACCGAGGAGGCCGAGAGCGTCCCCACACCGCTAACCCCTAACACTGACTATGCTACCCAAAAAGACCCGCTATTATTGCGAATGCACTTGTAAAGAGAGGAGGGGGCAGCATCCAGGATGGTCCCGACAAGGCACTTAAAAGCAGAGGGGAATCTCCCTGAAACCCCCTTCCCCAGCGGCAGACCGGCAGCTGAAGAGAGGCTTCCCTTGCCGGGGTGCCAGGATTTGTCGAGGTCCAGCTCCCCGCCCATCAGCTGCCTTCTGGCTTGCCTGCAAGATCCCCATCCTGGCTAGACTTTGAGATGGCCGAGGCTGGGAGACGGACGCGTTCCCACGGCCTCCGGGACTCCTTGCCCGCAGAAGATGGCAAAGCCAGGGTCAGGAGGACTAACCCTGGATGCAAAGGAAGCTGGCTTGCAGCAGATGGGGGCCTGGACATTTTCTCTTTGGAGATGGGGCTCTCCTAGAAAGAAACCAGCATTATCGTCCGAATCAGGGCAGGCCCAGAGCAGTCGGGCACAAAAGGCAGCCGAGGCTCTCAAGTTGATTTCTAGGCTGGAATGCTTGGGGGGGGGGTCGGGGGAGCTAAGACTCCCTAAGCTAGAAGGGGACTCCCAGATGCGGCCAACCTCCAGAGGGTTGGGGGCCTTTGGCCAAAGGAGGGTCTTTCTGAAGCGGAGGGACTGCCCGGCCCTTGACCGCTCTGGCTGGACGGCTACCGGCAGTTGTGCTTCTTAAGGCACCCGCCCTGCGAGGCCACACGGGGGGGAGGGGGGCTCCGTCCGCCGGGCTACGAGGTCTGGCACTGGACGTTGTGGCGCAGAGGGTCCTCAAATTCATCTTCGTGGTAGATCTCGCTCTGGAAGCGACGGCTGGAGAAGTCCGGCTGGGGGAAATACTCCCGCAGCTCCACCTCCTCCATGTCCTCCGTGGCCATCACCTCTTCGTGGCGGGGGAAGAAGGACTGGAACTGGCGCAGCTGGTGGGGGGGCAGCCAGCCGGGCTCCGGGAATTTCACCTGGGCAGCAGAGAGGGAGGGACAGGAGAGGAGGCAGCTGTAGCTGGGGGGAGGGGAACCAGGCTCCTTCCCAGCAGGACAATCCACAAGAATTGGGGAAAATGGGGGGACTACAGGGGCCCCAAGATGGCCAACGATTCTGGCTCGCCGCCTCCTCCAGGCCTTGCTCAGATGGGGCTCTGGAGCCAACCAGGCCTGGGGGAGCACCGGGTGGGACCGGCGGGTGGGAAGACCTCACCGGCACCTCCCCAGAGGAACCGGCTGGGGGGAGCCGAGGGCCTCTGTACCTCGAAGTGGATGACCAGCCTCCCTTTCTGGCCAGGGCTGCGGTAGATGGGCATCCCCTCGTTCGGGATGCACCGCACGTCTCCAGGCTTGATCACGCAGCCTGCGGGGCAGAACAGGCAGGGATGAGGGGCGGGCAGCAGCCCGATCCAGAAGGCAGCCCCCGGATCCCGCCCTCCCAGGAAAGGGACCTGTGGGAATCAATTCAGCTTCCAAGGGGGGAGGGCCGGCCTCTCCCTCCCTCCCCTAAGCCCAGAGGGCCCCCAGCCCCTCACCGGGCCGTGAAGAGACCAGAAGCCTCCGGTTGTCCAGAGTCTGGATGACCTGCTTGCAGCCGCACAAGGCGTCCACCAGCGGCACCTCCCGCCGGACGAGGAGGTCGTTGCCCCTGCGCTGGAAGACCGGGTGCGGCTTCTGGTCCAGCACGATCACAATGTCTCCGGGCTCGAATCCGGGCGCTTGGTCCCCCTCCTGGTGGAAGGTGATCTTCTGCCGGTCGGCCATGCCTGCGGGGGGGGGGGGAGAAGAGCAGTGGGCTAGGGGCAGCCAGCCTGTGGGATAAACTCTCGCCCATCCAAGGGGCAGCAACTCTCCTGTTACACTGGGGGGGGGGGGAGAGTCCGTTGCTTTGCATCAGGCTGAGTCTGCCCGAGTTAATGAATTAAATCAGCCAGAAGGGATTAAAGATAACCAAGTGACAACTGACCCAGGATTCTGGGGCCAGGCGGCTGTAACTGGACTGGTTCCTTGGGGATGTGAAGGGGGCCCAAAAAGGCGGAAAGGGAGCCACAGCAAAAGGGAAATCAAGGCAGGGAAGCCAGCAAAGTTCAGCCCCCCCCCCCGCTCCCCCTCCGAGCTCACCTTTGTCCAAATGCACGTTGAGAACCTTCTTCTCCCGGACCACCTTCCGGCCGTTGCAGGCCAGGCAGCGGTCAAGGGGCCGCAGCCATTCTCCTTGGCCCTGGCACTGCGAGCACATGGCCTGGATGTGGTGCACCATGTTGGGCCCCAGCTGGTGGACGATGACCTCCATGCCGGACCCGTGGCACTTGGGACACCGGACGTCGAGGCCCTCCCTGCCACCACGGCCTGCCAAGACAGGGTGGGATGAGGGGACGCCAGGGTGGCGGCGTGGGGGCTCAGCCTGGACCTGTGAAGTTGCCCGGCCCCTCCCGCCTCTTTTAGCCTATTTGCCCATCCTGCCCCCCCGCAAAGGTCTCCGTCCCACAGCCCCTCCCTTACCTGAGGACGGGTCTTCCCCATTACCTGTCTGGTGGCCGGCCTTCCACTCATCCCAAGCCTCAGAAGCAGCCTCCCCCCATAAGACGGTCCCTGGCCTCGAGGTCCTTTCGGAATCAGCCAATGCTGCCCAGAAACAGGGCGGAGCGGAGCGAAACAGCTCCACTCTGCCCAGCCGCCGGGCCCAGAACCCGCCCAGCCAGTCCTGAGCTCAGCCACGATGGCCGTGCTAGAGCTCAGCTGGGCTAATTCCAGCTCTGGAGCATTTTTGCGGCTCGTTGAGCTGCTGCACACGCCCAACACAAGAGAGTTTGGCGCATTGTGCAAACTTGGCCGATGGGCTCAGTCGGGTATCGGGTGAAGCTCTGGAGTCAGCACCAGGTCCTCCCTGCTCCCCAGGTCTCCCAGCACAGCAAATGGAGCCCCCACCAGCCTCCCCCCCTCTGCCCCTGGGGGAGACACCCCGTGGCCCCACTCACCCCCACAGCTCCTGCAGATGACGTTCTTCTGCAGGGAAAGCTTCCGGGTGCCCCCGTTGTACAGGTCCTCCAGGGTGACCGTCAGCAGGTGGACGGCCGTTTTGCCTACGAAGGAGAAGCCTCAGAGACAAAGGGCTGCTTTTGGGAAGGGGGGGGGGCGATGGCTGCGATGACGGAGCCCCTGGGACTTGGGCAGGATGGGGCTTGTCATCGGCTTCCCTCTGGGCTGAGTGTGCTAGGGAGATGAATGCTCCCTCAGAGAGTCTGACTCCACACTAGGGATTGTTTGTGGGGCACAAACAGACAAACGGCGGGGGGGGGGGTGTTTCTCAGGAAGCCAAGCACCCTCCCTGCACCTTCTGGGCCCCGACACGGGTGGGGAAAAGGCGGGGGAATCCTCATCACTGCCCTCCAGCCCCCAAATCCAAGAGCGATCCACCCACACGGATCCCCCTGCCAGCACAGGCGGTCCCAGCCTGCCCTCCCTCCAGCTGCGATCCCCTACCTCTCCTCTCCACCCGGGGGCCCTGCGTGCGGCCCCCTCCTCCAAAGAACAGGTCAAAGATGTCCATTGGGGGCCCAAAGCCGCCCCGGCTGACCGTGCCGCCCTCCTTCATGGCCCGCTCCCCGCCTCGGTCATAGACGGACCTTTTGCTGGGGTCGGAGAGGACCTCGTACGCCTGCGAGATCTGCTTGAACTGGGGAGGGAGGAAGAGGGGGCTAAGACCGACCCCAGAGTGGGCAGCAGCACCACCCTTGTCGTGCCCACCTCGGTCTCCCCACCTACCCGCTCCCCCTCGCTGGGGTTCTTGTCCGGATGGTATCTGAGTGCCAGGCGGCGGTACGCCCTCTTGATCTCGTCCATGGTGGCACAGGGCTTGACGCCCAGCAGGTCGTAGTAGCCTGTTTCCTTCACCATCTTTCCTCCGGAGGGGGTGCTAAGGAGGGGAGGGAAGGCTGTTGGTGGGGGGGGGCAGCCCCCCAGGAGATCCAGCCAGTGAGACAATCAGCCAGAGGCCCACAGGGCTCCTTGCCCCATCGCCACAGACTGGCCGCCACCCAACTCTGACGGCTGGCAGGTTTCGCAGAAGGGGCCGATCCGAGGGAGGAGAAACGGGGAGACAACCGGCCTGAAAATCTCCCTGAAGCTGCCGCAGCTCAGCAGGTTTTCTCCAGCTGCCGCCACTGCAGCAGCAGCGTTTCTACCGCTCAGGCCCTCCGCCCAGCCTCCACGGGGCCAGCTTAATAGCCTGGCAAGGGAGCCGGAGCTGGGCGTGGGGCTGTGTCAGCATCCCAAGGCGCTCATTAGCCGGCCTGCCCCACAGGATGAGCGTGTGTGTTTTCAGCCTTGCAGGGCGTGGAGGGCAGATGGAGGAGGAGATGGCGCACACACCAGCCCAGCCGGCTCAGCCTGCCCTGCTTTGCTGGGCTCCTTCTCAGCAAGCCCAGGGGACCCATCGCCCCAAAGGGAAGTCACGGTGGAGCAGGAGGCTGCCTCCTTCCTTCACCCCACCAGGCTCAGCCCCCCCCCTCTCCAGCCCCACAGCCTGTTTCCTGGGTCCCTGATGGGCAGGGGTCAGAAGCCCCTCCGGACACAGCAAAGAGGGCCCAAAGCCCACTTCCCCTCCATCCCCAGGCAGCCTCACCGCCCGCTCTGCCCCACAGCTGCCTTTGCCCACCCCACAGCTCCCTCCCTCTGGAGCCCCAGCACGACAATCCACCTTCTCCTGAGTCCTCCTGTCTTCTGAAGAGAATCTGCCCCCGGAGGCCTGAAAGGACCCGATTCCCTGGAAATCCACAAGATTGCTGAGCGAACTGTTTCTCACCTAGAAATCTCCCCGGTGGCAACTTTGTGGGTTGCGTGAGGCACCCAAGCGCAGGGCGGAGGGAGGAGACGCAGCCGCTGCCGCCACCACCCACAGAGCGGCCCTGCCCCGTCAGCTCTTTCGGAAGCCGGGAACTCCTGCGCGCCACCTCACCCAGAGCAGCTGGGCCAAAACAAGCACCTGATCCTGCAAAAGCTGTGCTCCTTCGATGCTGTGGGGTGCCCGGCAGTCAGAGGGATGCAGCCTGGGAACAGATCATCCCCTCTCCACCACGGAGCTCAAAGGAATCGCCAGGGGACCTTGGCAGGCTGGCACAGGAGCCGGAGCGCAGCTGACTCTGTGCAACGGAAACCCAGTCAGCCAACCACCTGCACAGTTACTCACACAATCCCAAGCCATCCCCCCCCTCAGGTGCCACCAAGTCCGGGCACCAGGCAGAGTCACAACTCACATGCAACCACCTCACCTTCCTGCTGAGGGACGTCAAGGGGGCAGAATGATGCCCCCAAGGGAAGAGGGGCAGAGCCTGCCCATTTACATCCTCTTGCAAATGATGGGTTACGGAGTGAGCAAGAGAGGGGAAGAAATGGCATCCTTCCAAAGGAACGGAATGCCTTGGGTTGTAGATTTTCCCCGACTTACAACTGTTTGTTTACCAACTGTTCAAAGTTAAAACAGCGGTGAAAGGAATGGACTGGTCCTCACGCTTATGACTGTTGCAGCATCCCCATGGTCACAAGATCAAAGCTCAGATGCTTAGCAACTGGCATGAATTTAGGATGGTTGCTGTGCGGGGTGTGTCTGTGTTTGTCATGTGACCACCTCTTGTGACCTTCCTAATTAGCTTTCAAGCCACAAAATCAGGGGGGGGGAGTGTGATTGTCTTAACAACCATGTGATTCACTGAACATGATAATAAAAGTTGTAAAGGGAAATATTGGCTCCAGTTGTGACTGTAAGTTGAGGACCACCGGTTGCTGTCCCCCTCCCCCCCTTTCCTCCATCTCTGGGGGCTCCTCTGGGTGGCGACGGGGCTTGATGGGAGAGGCTGGGAAATGCAGAGCACAACGTAAGCAAGAACCCACCCAGGGACGGAGTTCCCAACCGGCTTTTGATCTCCTGGTTGCCCCCCCCAAGTGGCTGGAAGAAGCCAGGAAGGTGCCCCACATCAAAGCCCCACTGTGCACTTCCAGCTGCTGCTGCTGCGTTTTTCAGGCGTTCAGATCCCACAACAAAGGCAGAAAACATTCAGGTTCAAGGCTCCCCCCGGCCCTCCCCCCCCCGAGCCTTCCCAACGGAGGCAAAGTCGCAAAGATGAAGTTCCAAAGAAGCCGAGGTAAGATGAAGCGGCCTAAGTGTCGACCGGGCGACGAGGAGCCCAGAGCTCCGCCTGGCCGTGGCCCCGACCGCCCACCGGGCAAGGGCCAGGCCGCCTCCGCCCCCTCCCCTCCCCTCCCGCCCGGCCCTGCCTCGCCCAACAGGTCCGGTGGCTGCTCCACCCCGGCCTGGGAAAGCGTCCGCGGCCCGAAGCCGCGCGGGAGATGCCCGGGCTGACCCGCACAGCCCCGGGCGGGCTCCCTCCCTTCCCGGCCTCCTTCGCCGTCCGCGGGCAGGCGGCGCTCCCGGCGGGCTCGGGAAGAGCGCGGGACTCCCGGCGGGGGTGCCTGGGGGGCTTCCCCACCCCGTTCCTTTCCGGCGCCGGAGGGAGCCCTTCGGGGCGAGCGCCCCCCCCCCCGGCCCGGCCCGGCCCGGCGCGGCGCTCTGTCAGCCGGGCGCCCGTCGAAGCCCGCCGGCTTCGGCGCCCGCGGGGACTGGGGCTGGCCCGGGCAGGGCGGCGCTGGAGACCCCGGACAGCGCGCCCAGCCAGCCGCCCCGCCCCGCCCACACTACACCGCCCATCCTCCCCAGCCGCGACGGGCCGGGAGACGCCGGATGACACTCACCCCCCCGCTCGGAACTCTCTGGAACGGCAGCCACGCCCCCCCGTGCCCATTGCCCCCCCTTGCTTCTCCCGGGGAGGCTCCGCCCTCGGCAGCCGCCATTGGGCCGTTCGGGAGGGACCGCTCGCGGGGCGGGATTCCGCCCGGCGACCTCCATCTATCCGCTTTTGATTGGGCGCAGGTTAAGCACTCTGGCTGTTCTGATTGGCAAGGATGAAATGAGGGCGGAAGAAGCGCAAAGTTTGCCCTTCTGCGCCCATACTGTGGACGTTATTGAACAAGTTGCCAGTTTCGGTATTTTCCATTTAAGAAACGGGATTTCGGCGCTGGGGAAGGAATAAATAATTTGCTTTTTAAAGGCATCGAGGATCAGGAGGAGGAGGTTCTAGCCTCCCAGAGTCGGGTGACATATAAATTTAATGATTATTATATAGAAAGCAATGTGAAATATTGTTTACAACCTTGTGAAGTATTATTACCTAATGATAAAAATATTTATTACATTTGTCATTTATATTCTGCGCAGCTCCCAGTTACATTCTGAAACATAATAATTATAGTTATTAATATTATCATTAAGAGAGATTTGCTCAGAAGCTGCGGGAGCTCAGCGGTGGCTTCCTCTGAAACGTCAGTCCGGGCGGGTGGCATTCTCTGAGCCCAGGAGCTGGGGACAGGCAGGCCACGGCTGGCCACCCTCGTCTTAAGGGATCCCGTGGGGGATTTTTGCGTGGGTTTCGGTGCTTTCTCTGCTCGGCTCAGCCCTCCTGGGCGCTGGAGAGGTTGCTGCTGTTTTTCGCCGGGGCGCCGCTAGGTGGCGCTCAGCCTCCTCGCTTCGCTGCCTCGGCTCCTGATCGGCTTCCGGGCTCGCCTCAGTTGGGCAGCTGGCCGAGTTCCGGCGCGGCTCGGCGCGTCCGGCTGAGGGCTGATAAGGGCCTGGGGCCCTCGGCGGCTGCTCGGGCAGCTCCTCCGGGGCTGACGGGGCAGGGGAGGGCCGGGAGTCAAGCGGCTGTCGCCTGTCCGGCCCCTGGGGCATCCAAGGGGCCGGACAGGCGCAGCCACTTCCGGCCCTCTGGGGAGCCAGAGCCTGGCTAATTCTCCAGCCAGCCACCCCCTGCGAGTGGTTGTGAAGTGGGCCCGGCTGGAGTGGAGTGCCTGGAATTCGCCTGGAGAACGTCACGGCGGCTGAAGGGCACCGCTTCCAGCCCTCCGATAATAGGACTTCAAAAAGGCAAGATAGTCACTCTGGGCACCCCAAAGAACAGGCCCCAAACCGAAGCCTCCTTCGGTATCCCTTTTCACTTGGCGGCTGAGGAGCTTCCATCTGGGAGCAGAGGAGGAAAACAGGAAAGGGGCTTCCAGCCAATCTCTGCGGTGACCTTTTCTCTCCCTTCTTTCTCCTCAGAATAATGGCATTTCCAGGCCTTTTCTCAGAGGCATTACTCAGCGGCTGCCTGGGGCTGATGTCATCCCATTATCTGCAAGGGCTGCCAGGGAGGAAGGGGAGGGGAAGCTGGCCACCAAAAAAAGGGGGAAAAAGGCTCACATTTTCTGGAGTCCACAGACACACAACCCCCCCCTTTTCTTCATCCCCCCTTCTCCCAGCCTCTTCGTCTTTTGCTGCAAGTTGAGACAAAGGCAAGGAGAAAGAGGCATTCAGGAAACTCATAAAAAGTTGGGGTAAAGCAGTGAGTTCCGCCGGGGGACATCTGCTTTACCCCAAATTAACTCAGACCCAGTTATTTCTCTGGGTGGGATCGGTTGAGGGCTTGCAGCCAAAGCAGGACCCGTGGGATGCCCCAGAGGGCCAGGGCAGATGTCTCAAAGGACTGAAGCCGGAAATCGAGGCAGGGGGGTGCAAGCACCTCAGCCACAGCCCATCGACACTGGTTGCCTTTTCTTCCGTGCCTGCAGGAGTTCTCCTGTGCGTCTGCAGAGTTTCTTTCCCATCTGCTTGCGGAGAGAGCTCATCTGGAGGGACACAAAATCACCGCATCGGGAACCAACCAGCCCCTTCCAAACTGCCTGAAACAAAGAAGTCACCTCTCCCCCCACACACAGACACACCCCACCAGCCTGAACTGAAACCTGACCCTGGCAGACAGTTGGCACCAGCTGGTGTGAAAATAAACTGGTCTCCTCCCCTGAGCGAGCTGAGCCTGCCTTGGATTCCTCTTGGCTGCAGGCATGGTTCAGGAATGTTTGCAAGAAGCTGACCCCTGGGGAGGCTGGCGGTGGGGGGGGGCAGGAATGAGACTGACTGGAGAAGGACCAGTGATGGAGGCCCTGAGGCTTTCTGGAGGAGGGGGCCTAGTGGCCGGCCCTCCCTGGCTCACCAGAGCTGATGGGATCTCCTTCTATGGCCTTCGAAGTGTGCTGGAGGGCAAGGGGTCTCATGCCCTGAGCCCACCAGCTGTTGGTCCTCTCCTGTCTCCCTGAGAAGAACACCTCCCTGCGGTACCAGGAACCCCCATCTGGGTGAGGCTGCCTCGGCTTTGCCCCCCAAGAGCACCAAGAGCTCTTAGCACCCCCTCCCTGGTCCCATTTCCATCCCGTGAAAGCAGGGAGGTTCCATCCCCATGATGCAGCGCCCTGGATGGGCGTTTCTCCCCCAGGCCTCAACCGCTGCCTGCTTCCTCGGAGTCTTCCGTGCCCAGTGGCCGGGTGCCAAGTGTGGACTTGGATGTGTCTCGTGCCCAGTTGGCAAACACACCTGCTGCCTCGGCCCCCTGCCGCCCTGGGACCAGAGAGGAAACACCAGGCTGGCCAGTCAATGGGCCGGCCCCCTCCAGGCCTTCCTTTCCAGCCCTCTCCCATGGGCCTGTGACCCCCAGCCCACCCCACTGCCCACTTCCAGGCTGAAAGGAAGCCCCAAGCCGAGCTGGCTGGGGCGATTCTGGAGGAAGCCGAGTCGAGTCTGGATCCCCTCTTGTCCCTCCCCTTCTTCTCCCCGGCTGGACTTTAATTACAGACAAAGCACAATATTTACTGCTTTGGGAACGGCTGGCGCCAACTCCGCTCCTTTCCAGGTCGTCCTGACACCCCCAGAGCCTCTCGGTTTGTGTCCCAGTGGCAAACCCCACCATGTTGGGGTCCTTTAATGGGCACCCTCTCCCCTTCTAAGAGGGATTACAAAGAGTCGGTTGTCGGGATGAGGCAGCAGGAGGTTCCCCCCCCAGGACTCATTCCTGGCAGCCCCCACCTGTGCAAAATGGCCCCCTGGAAGGGAGCCAAATGCTGACCAAGCTGCTCCTGGCCTTCTCTTCCCAGCCTTCTCTGATGGGGAGGTGGAGAGTCCCAGGCAGGGGCTGGAGGGGCAGCAGCATCTGCTCCCCCCTCCCCCAGTTTCCATGAAACCCGAGTGCCGGCAGCTCCGTTACCCCCTTGCTGTGACCCCTTCTTTGAGGGGGCTGCATTCCGGAGAGTCCGAATCCCCCCTTGCACAACTGGTGAGGCTTTAATCCCTTGCCGCTGAAGCTCTGTCCAAGGTGAGGGGGTCTCATGTGATCTTGGCTCCCCCCTCCTCACTGCGTGCTTGTGCCGGGGAGGGGGGCGATGCAGGCAGCAGCTGCAGATGGGAAAAGCCTGTGAATGACCATCCTGGCAAATGCTTCTTTTCTTAGGGAGGGGCTCAGAATAGATCCAGGACCAAAGGGCTCTCATCTCTTCCTTCATGGCGCCCTGTGGCTCAGGGACTCCTGCCTAGATCTTGCAAGGCCGAAGTGCAAAGGGTCAGCTCGCACCAGCCCCAGGCGCCAAAAGCAGGCAGACCCCAGGGGACGACGGACCTCAAAGTCTCCCCTGATGCAGATCTCCTGGGAGGATGCTGCAAAGGAGCTGGGGGTGTCTGGCCCTTTTTGCCTGCGTATAGCAAGCTGGTCCCCCCCTCAACCCCCCACAGAAACAGATGGGAAGTCGCCCCTCTGAATTCATTGCACCAAAAGCTTGACTAGCTCTAAGGGCCCTCTTGCAATGAGGGGGCCAGGTCTCAGCAATCGTGCTACTGCCATGCTTTTGTCCAAGGAGGGGTCAGCCTTTACCCCAGTGAGCCCTTCCAGGCCTCAGCACACTAATCAGGATGTCCTTTGCTCTCCGTCCTCCTGGTCAGCTGAACTTCTGAGTCAGTCTTTGCTGGGGGGGGGCTTACCACCCAAGTGACTGGCTTCCCTTGGAGCAGGGAGGAAAAACCCACCAGCATGTCTTTCGCAGGCTCACTTCCACTTCATTTCCTCCTCCTCCTCCCCTCCTCCTCCTCCTCTAAAACAACCAGGCAGCAGGTGGGATTGGGGTGGGTGTCGAGCCACATTGCTCCATTGTTCCCTGACTTGGAGGGTGGCAAAATGAGACTTTTCAGGAATTGTGAGAAAGCCAACTAACCAAGGGAGCAGACACAAAAACTGCCTGGCACCGCAGTGGGGAGTAGGAGGCAAAGTTCCTTGGGCAGCCAGAAGCTCTCCTGAGCAGCTGGGCAAAGCTTCAGCTGTGCGAGGCAACAGGCACAGGACTACTAATCTCCCCCCCACCTTTCTACAGAGTTGGGCTGAGTGAGGTCATTGCTTTGAGGCTATCCTCCCCTCCCCTCCTCCCTCCTTCCCAGCCCCCATTGAAACAGGCCACAGAGAGCTCCTAATTGTCTGGACTCTGACCAAGTGTGGCTGCAGACAAAGGAGCAGGGGAACTGCACTGGGGCAGCCCAGACAGATCTGGGGTGGGGTGGATGGGGAGTGACTGTCAAGAGAGGGAGAAGGAGCCAGCATCATTTCCGTGTCCTCTACACAGCCGTGCTCCTGGCTGCTAGAGGCAACTTTACAAGGCCCCAGGATCACTTGCCAGTTTTGAGCATCAGTGGCCTGCAGAAGCCCTCAGCCATAGGAGAGGGGGCTTCTGCCACAGCCGTGGTGCCTTCTGGGCTGAAGCTTCAGCATGACTCACTCTCTGCCAGCAATGGTGGGGAGGGGGCCTGTGGGCCAACCCACAGCCACTGCCCAGTCATCTCTGACATCCGCCAAGGAAACGAGACCCCCGTCCCCTGCTTTGAGTCACTGCTAAGGGTGCAGCCTTGATGGGGGCTGTCATTCCAAAGCAGCTCTGGATTCCAGGGGCAGGATGGATCGTGCTTCTGACCCCCAAGGGTCCCGCCATCCTCTCTACCAATACTCCAAAGCCTTGTGTGCCACAGTGCCCATAGCTGCCAAATCCCGGTGCCCCCTCCCCCAATAAGGGCAATGCCAAAGAAAAGGCAGCTGGCGGGCATATCATTTGCCAGCCAGCAGACCAAAGGCAGCGTGCGCCCGTCCCCGGCGATGCCAAGGCCTCTGAGTCAGGTCTGGTTCCCGATAGAAGTGGGAGGTCTGACTTTCCAGTGGTGTGACTTCAGCCTGCCATTTGCCCTTACAAGGACTGGCTGGGCCCAGAGAATGGGGCTTATCTGGCTTTGGAAGGGGCTTCTGGGCTGATGCAACCGGAGTGCAAAGCCAGCTTCTGGCTTCCAAGCCCTTCAGCCTTTGGAAGGATCTGGAATCTGTCAGGAGGAAGTCTGGGCCCCTCTGCCTCTTCCTCGCCAGGCAGGAAATGAAAAGCCCTGCTCAGGTTCCTCTCCTGGCCTCCAGAGAGGAGATCTTGGTCCCCTCGGCCAGAAATCCTGCCCGACCGGTCCTTCTGCCACCCAAGAGCTGCCAAAGCCCTTGGCCGCTGGCTGCTTCACCCTGGCATCCTCTTATCAGCCTCCAACTGAGGCCCAGGTCTGCTTTCCCCAGAGATCACCAGGAACCCGGGGAGGAATTGCCAGAAGCCTGTGGAGGCCCAGCGTGGCCTCGGTTTGCCCCAGAGGGTGATGCTGGTGGCTGTTCGGCCCTGGAAAACCAGCCCACTGGGCTTTGCAACTGCAGCTTCTCTGCTGCAGCCTGCTGTCGGTTTCAAAGGGGGCATCTGCCGAATACTTTCTATTTTCAAGAATATTGTTACCGTTTCCACAGCTTGTTTCTGTTAAAGTTGTGTTTTTGAACATTTTGAATCCAAATTGTTTGCCACGCTGGACCAGATGGGAAGGAAGCCCTCCCTGCCCAGCCCTCCTGGGTCTGCTTCAGTGCTAAAAACAGGCACGAGTGACGGATGCAGAAACAGGTGGTGGGTCGAAGGGAGGGGCTGTCCATTTTTGCCCCCCCCCGGAATGGGAGGCAAACTTTCTCCCAACTTCTCCAAATATTTCTGCTCTGCAGGAAGCTGGTGATTCAGCTGCATCAGTAGTCAAAAGCATATTTTAAGGTCTTCCATCACTTCCACCATCTGGTCTTAGCTATAAAAAGTGCCCCCTTCTCTGCTCAGTCCCCATGAAGCAGAGGGCAGGACTGATGCCCTGCCCTGCCCACAGCTCCTCCGAGCACCTGTTTTCTGCAGCCCTGGAGAGCTTGCAAGAATTCAGCACATGGACTGGTGAAGGGAGAGGCCACTCCGTTTCTTCTCAGTTCCCCCTTCCTTGTCTAAAAACTGGCTGCTAAATGTCTGGGATTCAACCTGCACACGAACGGACAAAGCAGAGCTAATGGAGGCTTTTTTCAACACAAACATGTCCTCTTCCTGCATGCGCATTAAAGAATTATTTCATCTTGATAGATCAGCTTTTTTTCAGGATGGCCGATCTTGGCAGCAACCTTCCCTCCCCCAAGAACGAGCACTCCCAAGAGTGACGCTTTAAGAGGTGAAGCAAAACACAGAGAATTTGTACAGGGTAAGAAACCAATTGCTTTATTAGTGTCTCGGAGGCACCAGGTGGAGCTCCGATGTTTTATCATCGTGGCTTTATCGTAGAAGGCACTGAAGTGCGAGACAAAAATAGGCACCGGAACCTGTTTCTAGAACATTCCTCTCGCTCCCCATCCTCAGCTCTCCTCTGGAGAACTCTGCCCACGTTCTAAGGCTGGGCTTGGATCGGTGCTGATCCTTGTTCAAAAGAGGGGAGGCGAAATCAAGCCATGCTTGGGGAAATTTCTGCTTCCACTTTGCTAGCTTCTGTGAACTGGGCAGATAAAATGAGGCTGGCAGAAACTCGCTGGTTTTGAGTTTATTCCATGGGACCAAAACGCTGCCTGGGCCAGCTACAGGATTGGGGGATTGCTCTCTTAATTATCTTCTTCCCCAGAGGATGCTGGGAAAGTAAGATTGGAAATATCCGATGCTAACCAAGAGCCTGGCCCTGGCGTGGCCAAATACAAATCCCCAGTTCCCGGGGCCCAACCCAGGCTGGCCAAATACTTAGCAGCAGATTGCCAGGGGCTTTCAAGAGTTGTGACTTTTCTTCTCCCTCTTAAAAGCAAAGGAACAACTGGATATTTCTAGCAGGGTTGTTAGATCGGTCCCATTCAAAAGCAGAGGCACCTTTGCCAACATGAGTATCCTGACAACCCCCCCCCCACACACACACATAGATAAATGAGAGTGGATAACAGGAAAATGGATTCCTGGGAAACCAAGGAGAGAAGAAGGGGACGAGAAGGGAGCAGCATCAAATCACATTTATACTGAAAATCCAGAGCTTTGTTCCACGTATTCAAGTAAGGCACACTAGAAAGTTACAGGAGTCACTATTTGAAAAAAAAAAATCTCCCTCTAGGTCAGTGTGTCTCAGCCTCAGGAACTGTAAGATAGGTGGACTCCGACTCCCAGAAGACCTTCCCAGCCAACATGCTCTATTGGAGAATTCTGGGAGTTCTGCAGTCGGCATGCTGGGGAATTCTGGGAGTGGAGAGGCTGGGAAACTCTGCACTATAGGAGAAGCCCTTCTGACCCAGACAATGGCGGGGAGGAGGGGATGTTGTCAGAGTTTGCCTGGACAACTTCAGGGTGCCTCACTTAGAAAAACAGGGTGTGAGACTGGATCTTACTAAACAACATATTTTCCTGCTGGGCACAACTAGAGGCAGATGAAACATAACATTTTCTTTTTTAAAAAAAACAAAACAATTTTGCCAAATTGCTGGTTACAGTTAAGGTGAAGACAAAAGCTGTGAGAAATTCAACTTGAGTGCCTTTCTTTCTTTTAAAAAAGAGGGATTAAAAAAAAAAAAGCCTATCAGGAAAATGTTAAAGGGCTGCAAACGTTGCCTAACCAAGCTTTTGACTGTCAGTGGGGGTCTCTCTCAGGCTTTGGAGAGAGGAAGGGAGGGAGGGAAGGAAGGAAGGAAGGAAGGAAGGAAGGAAGGAAGGAAGGAAGGAAGGAAGGAAGGAAGGAAGGCAGCTGGAAAAAAAGGAAAGTTTGTGGAACTGGAACAGATGGGGTGCCTTTAGCAGGAATCACACTGGTTCTCACTGGCTGGGATGAGTGGCCGAAAGGGGACCTTTCAGTGGTCTTCCGAGGGCTGGAGGTCCAGATCCCCTTCCGGATGGAATTCCAAGGGTTGGTGCCGAATATCGTCCCCGAACAGGAAGGGCCTGGGCTCCAGCTTGGTTTCCTTGCCTCCTTTCCCACAGCTCTTCTGCTCCAGGAGGTTCTCCTCTAGAGCCTCCTGGCCTTCCAGATCCAGGGAGACCTTTTCAAGACCTTCAGGGCTGATGCCTCCGCTTCTAAGCCCTTCTTCACAGCCTGGGATTGGGGGGGGACTCTGGCTTAGGGTCTCTGCCATGGGGAAGTGGCCTTCTGTGCAGAACTGTGGGGTGATAGTCACCCTTTTGACGAAGCCATCATCTCCAGGAGGGTCCGTCTCCTCCTGCCCGAGGCCGTTGAGAAGTTCGCTTGGGAAGTCTTCCAGGCTTGCTTCCTCCTGAAGCCCGTTCGCCTGGCTCTCCAGCGACAGGTGGGCTTCCCTCGGGACGGGAGATGAGCCTTCTGGAGCCTCTGGGGAAAGCCGGGGTAGCCCCCGGTCCCGACCTGCAGGGGGGGCATAGGGGGACCTCTCTTCTGGGGAGCCCAGGCCTCCCAGCTCTTCCTCCGCTGCCTTCATCAACTCTTGGTTAAACTCCAGAGCTTGTTCTACAATTTCCAGAATATTGGGGTCTCTCTGGCTGTCTAGAGAAAGGCCCACCACGTCCTCTGGGAATGTCTCAGGGACGCCACTTCCTGGGGGACCTTCCACGGTCAGAGTTTTCTGCTGGATCAGATCTTCTGGGTCCAAGACAAGGAAACCTTCGTCCTCACCGGATTCCAGCAGATCAGACTCCACAGCCCCCCTTGGGCCAGGCAGAGAGCTCTCACCTTCCAGCACTATTTCTTCCAAATGAGCCACACTGGTCAGGGGTGAAACCTTTGCAGGGGCCACAACTGTAGCCTCTGGGTCGCTAAATTCCAAGGGCCCCTCCTCCTCCTCTTCCTCATGCTGGCTATAGCGGGCGTCTAACCCATCTGCTGGGAACCCACCGGGCTCTCCTGGCCCCAAAGGAAGTTCTGCATCCATCTCTTCCTTGGGGACCGCTGGCCCTCTGGCCACCTCGCTCTCCTGCCAGGGGTCTTCCTCAGGCTCTCGGCCAGGGGCCCCCTCCAGTTCTTCCCGCTCATCCTCTCCGGGGACCCCGGACTCCCCAGGACCCTGATCCTCATCCTCTCCTGTGAGCGGTGATCTTTGGACCCTGGCTTCTGCCGGACCCTCTGCGGCCAGCAGCTCTTCTGAGCAGGGCCCGACTTCCTCAGGGAGAGCCTGTGGACTGTGGCCGCTTTCTCCCTTCGGAGCGCCTTCCTCCACTCCATCCACCTTGACGCTTGCGGCGTCTTCTCCTGAAAGGGGGGCCTCGGCCTCTGGGGCCAAAGGAGGCGTCTCTTCTCTCCCCAAGGAAGGAATGGGTGGAGTCTCGGGCACGGTCAGCCCATTGTCCAAAGCCAGGGGGGCTGGCAACGTCTCCTCTCCAGCCCCAGCTCTCTCCCTCTGGAAATCTGGGAGAATTTCTAAATGTTTGGAGGTGTCCTCGGACCCCGAATCCTCCCCCCGGAAAACGGAGTCCTCCGCAAGTGACTCGGCCTCTGGGGGGGAGCCTTGGACTTCTTCTGGGCAGGTGGTCTCTTCCGTGGAGGGACCTTCTGCCTCGGCTGGTGGCTCTCCTGCCTGGGGAGAGTCCAGCCCCAATTCTCTGTCTTCAGAGCCCTCGGGGGCATTTTCCTCCTTCGGCAGCAACTTTCCTGCCACAACAGCCCCACGGACCTCTTCCATCTCCAGGGCATCCATGATGTCTTCTGTTTCCGACACTCCAGAGATGGTCTCTGAGCCTCTTTCCTCCACGTTGCTCCCTTCAGCTTGCAATGGGGTCCCTGAGAACCCTCCTCCTCCTTCTCTTCCTCCTTCTTCCTGTTCCTCCGGCGGCTGCTCTTCAGGCACCTCCGTTCTTTGCTCCTCTTGCAGCGTCTCCTGCGCCTGGAGGCTTGCCACCCCCACTTCCCAGGTACTCTTGGGTGCCTCCCCATCCAGGGGCCCTTCTGTCTCCATTGTTCCTTCGTCTCCCGTATCTTCTGTGGGAAGAGATCTGACGACATCCCCTTCCTCCTCTTCTGCGGCTTCCCTGCTCTCGACCCTCTCTGGCTCATCTGCCGAGATGCCATCTTCATCTAGGGCAGAACCTGAGCTTCTGGGCCGGTCACCTTCCGTGCAGAAGAGCTCGGAGTCCAGATCCTTCGGCTGGTTCTCTTCCTCTGGCGGAGCAGAATCGGCCTCGTGAAGAAGCTCTTCGTGGCTCTCCACGCTCTCCTGCTCCCCCTCCGGGAAGAGAGCTGCCTGGTGTTCACCTGCAGACGATGCTGTAAGGATGGCGGATGACGGGTCCTCCTCAGCTGGGCTGCCTTCCACCTCCAGGTGCTCCCTCTCAAACAGCCCGGCCTGCAGATTGCACGGTTCGCCTTCCCTGGTGGGACTCTGGGGCTCTTCCCTTCGCTCAGAGAGAAGGTCTTCTGGGCTGACCATCTCCACCTCTTCTGTCCCTCCATGGACCTCCTCTGGCTTCACTTCTGGGGCTCCCTCGGGGACGTCAGAGGGGGGGCTGTCAAGCTCCCAGCCTTCCTGGTTGCCGCTCACCTTTGCAGGGGCCTCTGTGGCAAATTCTGAGTTCCTGGGTGCTTCTCCCAACAGATTCCCCAGCGTCATCCCCAGTAAGGCAGGCAGCTCCTCATCCGCCTCGCCCTCCTTCCATTCCGGAGACCCCCTCTCTTCGTCCCCCTCCTGGTCTTCAGGGACCAGAACAGCCCCGCCTTCTTCTGTCCTCTCTACCCTCGGCGGTCCTGCTCCCAGGGCCCAGGGGGCCTCTGCCTCCAGGGCCTGCCAAGCCTCCTCCGGCCCTTGCAGCTCAGCCCAGGCTTCCTGGCCACCGTTGACCTCTGCAAAGTCTTCACAGACCTGGAGGTCCTCCAGGAGATCGGTGGGCTGGCTCTCCCCCATGTGATCTTCCTGGGCCTCCTCCAGCCCCTCGGTACGAGTCGGGGGAAGGGTGTCCTTGTTCTCCTCTTCCAGGGATGAAACGCGGTCAGAAGAAACGTCTGTTTGGCTTTTGACCGCCTTGAGCAAGCTGGATTCAAGGTGGGTTTCTTTGGGGATCACTTCCTGGATCGCAGTTTCTACAGCTTCAGTAACCATCTGGCTCAGAAAAGGCCCATTCAGGACTTCCCTCTCGGCTGGTGGCTCATGGCGGAGCCGTGTCTCTTCTTCCTCCTCCTCTTCTTCCTCTGTCTCCTTTTCTCCAGAGGCTTTTCCTTCCTCCCCTCCTCTACCTTCGGCCTCCCTCTCTGCTCCCCTTTTGCTCTCCTCTCCTTGATCCAGGCTCTCAGGGGACCTTCCCGAAGCCTCTTCCAGCTCCAGGGAGTTGAAAGTCAGAGGGGGCTGTGTGCAGAAGACGGACTGGGCCAGGCTCTCCAGCTGGGTGACCGTCACCCTCTGGCTGTGCTGGGAGGCGTCCAGCCGAAAGGCAGAGGTCTCCTTTGGCGGCAGCAGCAGCCCGTCGGCGCTTCGGGTGGCCTGAGAGTGCCGCAGGGAGGCGTTGGCCTTTTGGAACTCTCTGGCCGCGGAGCTCAGGCTCTTTGTCCCCCAGGAGGCCGACTCGACTTTGCTGTGGAACCCCCGAAGCTTTGGGAAGGCGGCAGGGCTGGGGCGGACATCCCAGCTCCCCGAGCGGCCCCCATCCATCGACGGCCCTGGCAGCCTGACGTGAGTTGACTCGGTTATTGTCGCATCTGCAAGCAAGAAAAATGGGGAGCATGAGGAACGGCTGCTGGACTCACCTGGAACCAGGTGATCCTCTGCTGATCCACTTTGGGGGTGGGGAAGACAGCAGAGGTCTGCAAAGCAGGTCTGCTGAAAGGCAGCTCTGTGGTGGGAGAAGTGGGCTCAGATTTTTAACCACTCTTCAGGCCTCCCCCCAAGCCCCCCACTCATCCCTACCTCTGAGCCCCCTGGCCAACTGCAGATCCGTGGCTGGCAGCTGCAGCCTGGCGCTCTCGGCTTCCAAGAGGGTCCTGCAAGACAGAGAGGGAGTCTTGAGAGGAGCAGGGGGGCGGGAAGCCCTTGGGGGTCGTTTCTGCTGCTTGTTCCTGGCCTCCCCGCAGCTGCCTCCTCAGCCAGGCCTCCTCCACCTTCCCAGCGTTGGGAGGCTCACCCCCCTTTCTCCCCCCCCCATGAGTCAGGAGGGGCGGGGGCTGGCAGGAGCAGGCTGGTGGTGACATCATGCGAGTCTGCTGGCCTCCCCCGCTTACCATTCTCATGCTAATGAAACAGGAACCCCCCCTCCCGCCTCCTTTTATGTGGGAACCGTCTGGGGGAGGAGAAGGGAAGGGGGCAGAGGGGAGGTTCCCATGAGATTCTGCTTGGGGGGGGGAGCGAGGCCATGTGCAAGGAAGGAGGCAGGTTTGCCGAGGCAGAGACGTGCGGGCCTCCCATCCGTTGCGGGGGGGGGGGGGGCGTCCAGCCCTCTCAGTGGCCGGGCGAGGTGCGGCCAGGAGACTCGGGGGCTGCCTGCAGGGGGGCGTCCCTCACCTGTAGGTGGCCACTTCGAGGCTGAGCGACATCTTCAGGTGCATGAGCTGCTGCCGGTCCTCCAGCACCTGGGCGATCTGGCCACGCAGCGACTGCTTCTCCTCCTCCAGCGCCTCCATGGCCATCTGTGCGGCAGAGAAGGAGTGCCCGGCAGGGTCAGCCACTGAGGCCCGGGTGGCAGGGGCTGCTCTCTGGGGGCAAGGGGGGGCATCCTGCAAGAGGCCCTGAGGATGGTCCGGCGGGGCTCTGAGACAGGACCCCCCCCTCCCCGCAGGCAACTGCAGGGAAATCCCGCATGTCTGCCACGCGAGTGGGTGTGGCAGCCCAGTGCTCAGTTTTCAAAGTCTTCTTTTGTTCTGCTGTATTAATATACTTCAGCCTCGAATCTTGGCCCGGCCCGGCCCCTTCCTAAGATCATCCTTCGTCACTCTCAGCCCTTTTCCTTCAGATCTGGTCCAGCAGAAAGATTCAAGCGTGCAGGCCAGACCAGGCCTTTCGCCTTGCATCCCCTCCTCCCCATTCCAAGACACGTACATTCCCCCCCCCCCCACACACACACGTGTTCCTCTGCTCACAAAAGAAATACTGGGAATGGTTTGGTTAGTCCTGAGTGGGGCAGGGCGTGGCCCCCTCCTGCTGAGCTCTGGATGCAAGGACCGTGGAGGGGGTGTGTGGGGGGCACTGACTGCCCCACATCCCCAGGCGCGTGTACTTCAGCCTCACCTTCAGTGCTGGAAGGATAAGAAACTTTTTTTTCCTTGAAAACATCTCTGACTTTTTAGAAGTGCCCCTTCCCAGCTCCCTACGCCTCCTGCAATCAAGGGCTGCTTGGGTGAGGGTTGGGATTGCATTTATCAAAGGGGGGCACCCCAATAAATATGCAGTTCTTTCCAGAGACAGGCGGGAGAAGGCACCAAAAGGAGGCCCACCATAATTAGCAGCAAATGGGGGGGGTTGCAGGGTGCTCCCCACTCCCCTCTAAGGAGGCTGTGAATGGAGGGAGCAAGGGAGGGTGTCTTCTGAGAAAAACACTTCACAAGGGACCCCTCGCCCCCAGCCAAGAGGCAACAACACCCAGATTTGTGCACTCTCCAGCTGCCCAGCCTAGCTTGTGTGTCTCAACCAAATGCCGATGGCTGAATCGCAGCCTTGGTTTAGAGGACAGGCCTGGCAGTGCTGCACCTTTTGCCAGCCACGTTCCTTCTCCTTCCTACCAGCCACTTTTCTAAGCTTCTACGGCGGGCAGCCGGGCAGGCATCCCCGAGCCCTGCTGGACTCAGAGGGGGGCTCCGTGCCAGCCACCCCACACCCACCTGCAACTTCTCAGCGTCGCCCTGCTGCTGAGCCCACTGCTGGGAGAGGCTCTCTTCCAAAGTCTTCTTCCGGCCCTGGAGGCTGGCCAGCTCCTTCTCCAGCTGTTGCAGCTGCAGCTGGTTCTGCCGGTTGCGTTCGGTGGCCTTCCAGAGGTTCTCCTTGGCTTCGCAGAGGGAAGCCTCCAGCTGTGAGACCTCTGTCTTGTAGGTCTCCACCGCCCCTTTCCAGATGTTGGAGAGCCTCTTGGCGTAGTCTTCCACTTCCACTGGCTGGAAGCAGACAGGCACCGCCCGGAAGCCGTCCAGGCTCTGGGAGAAGCTGTTGATCTCCTGGTCCAGCCTCAGCAGCTCCTCTTGGTGGGCCTCCACCAAGTCTTCCATCTCTGTCTCCAGCTGGGTGGCCTTCTCCCTCAGCCAAATGTGGGCCCGCTTCTCCTCCTCCATCTCCTTCTTGTCGAGGGACAGGAGCCTCTTGGCCTCCTCCTGCGCTGCCCTCTCCCTCTGGCAGTGGCTCCTCACCCGCCGGGCCTCCTCGTGGAGAGAGTCCCTGGCCAGCTCTGCCACGCACTTCTCCTGATAGGCTCGGTCCAGGGCGGCCCGGAGCGCGGCCACCTCCGCTTCATACTTGGCCCTCCAGGGGGTCTCCACCGAGCCCCCCTTCAGGCCTTGGATCTCGGCTTTCAGCAGCTCATTCTCCTCTTCCAGGAACTTCACCCTGGCCAGGTAGGCCTCCAGACGCTTGTTGAGGTCCCACATCTGGAGGGAGTCCTCTCCCAAGGGCCGCGAGGAGCAGCCACGGAAGCTCTCCATCTTCCAGGCGCCTTTCGGAGGCAGAGTCCAGCCGAGAGAAAGAGAGAGAGGGAGAGAGAGAGAGACCGGCTGCTGCTGCTGCTGCTGCTGCTGCTGCTGCTGAACGAGGGCTAGGCAGCTCCGCACCACTATTCATAGGGAGAGGAGGCTCCTGGCCAAGGAGGCTGGGCTTAACACCCCTCCTTCCTCCCCCCCTCGCCGGAGAAGAGCGGCATTCCTGGAGAAGCTGGGTGGGAGGAAAGAAGTCGTGCGGATGCCTCCTCAGCAGCTGTTCCCCTCTGGCTGGGGTGCCCCCCCAGAAATCAAGAGGCTCCTCAGGATCTCCCTGGTAGGGGGGCTCCCCAAGTTGCCTCCTCTTCTCTCTCTCTCCCCCTCCCCTGCTACTCCCCAATTTCTCCCTGAATCCACACCCCCATGTGCCTCGGGAGCAAACAATGCCCACAGGAGGGAGGGGCTCTAAAACGTGTGGGGCAGAAGATGCCCAAAGGGCAAAAGAGAGCGAGGCCCCCAGACGGCTGGGATGAGCTGGGTCCCAGGCAGGCTTGGGGGGGGGGGCTCTTTTCCTTTCTCGCCAAATTCACGTATGGCATCATTTAGGGGAGTCTCTGTTCTGTGCACCCCACATACATTATTGCTTCCGGTCAGAAAGGCAACTTTTTGGAGAGAGGCCAAAGGGGTGTTGTGGAGGGGGGGGGTGGATGAGGAGTTGGGGGAAGCAGGCTGTTCCAAAGGGGGACCAGGCTGTCTGGGATGCCATAGAAGAGACACCCCCTGCCCTTGAAAGGAAATGCAGCCTCCCCAAAGAGTGCACGGGCGCCATCTGGTGGACAGAAGGGCCAAGGGCGGAGGTCAGGTGGCCACCCCGGGCTCTTGGGGGGCCCCTGCCGCTCCAGAGTCTCCCCTTTCCCTTTGGGACCGGACTGATGGCGGGTTCTGTGCAAACCCAGCCTCTAAGATGTTTCTAGCTATGGGGCCGGAGAGCAGAAACCCTCCCCCTTTGCAAATGATGGGGCGAAGGCAGCTTGATGATGGGGCAGGGACTGGTGATGAGGGTGATGGTCCCATGGAGCCTCCAGTCCCTGCCATTCAGTCAGAACTGAAGAAGCTTCTTGGATGAGAAGCGAAAGATCTTCAAAGAAAAACAAGAAAGGCCAGTTGCCTCTTGAAAAAGCACCTTTGGGTTAACCCCGTGCCCTCAGAAGGATTTTTGATGTGTGTGTGTGTGTGTGTGTTGCGGGGGAAGGCTATAAAGATTTTAATTAGTACACAAACAGTAGAACTGAAGGCAATTTGGCCTTCAGGAACTGGCAATGTCTCTGGGGGTGACTAGAGGCTCCAGACCAGCCACCAAGGTTACCATTACTCGCGGGAAGCTCACCCCAAACTCTCTTCAGGGGGTCCCCAAGCCAAAGTCCCTCCTTCTTTTGGGGTGTCCCCCACCCCACCCCACCCCACCCCATGCTGTGACTTCGAAAGCAGACGACTTTCCAAAAGCTTTATTGAGGGCAGGCGGGGATTTCTGCTTCCACCAGCCGGCCGGAGGTCGGTAGATCCCCTGGGGGCGCGTTCTGGGCTGTCGGGCGCCTCGCCTCTTCCCTCCTGGCAGCCGGCAGCGCGGGGGGCAGCCAGGGAGGGCCGTCCTCCTCCTCTTCTTCCTCCTCCTCTTTCTCCTCTTGGTCGTCCACGGAGAGCTCGCGCGGGGGCACCTGGATGCCCAGTTCCGCCTCCACCCGCCACAGCCGGCTCCGCACCCGGCGCAGTTGGCCGCGCAGCGCCTTGATGGAGCGGACGCACTCCTGGCAGCTCCGGTAGTCTCTCTGCCCTGGTAAGCAGAAGACCAGCCTCGGGGCTCCGCCAGCCAGCCCCCCTCCTTCCCGAAGCGCCCCCCCGTCACCTCTCCCGCCTGCCCCGCGCGCAAAGCAGAGCCCGGACCCGCTGCGCTTCCTCGGCCGCGGAGCAGGACGGAGCCCGAGACCTGCCCGGAGAAGGCGCCCCAACCGGCGGACTCACGGTCGTGGAGGTGGCGCTCCTGGCGCTCCAGGAAAGTCTCCAGCGCCTCGTGCAGGTCGGGCAGGTGCGGCGGCAGCGGCGGGGCGGGCGGCGGCGGGGGCGCGGGCAGCAGCAGCAGGGAGCAGCCGGAGAGGGTGGCGGCGGCGGAGAGCCCCTGGCGCCAGGAGGCCAGGGCCAGCAGCTCGGACGGAGGCGGCGAGGGGCGCCTCGGGAAAGCGCCTGCGGAGCAGAGAGCGCAGTGTCGGCCGAAGCACCGGGGGAGGCGCGGGGGGGGGCGGGCCAGGGAGCGGCCGGTACCCGCGCGCACCTTCGGTTTCCCGGCGCTGCAGGCGGACCTCGGCGCGGATGAGTCTTCGGCGACTGCGGCAGATCTGCAAGCTGAGGGCGCGCAGGGCGCGCGGGAAGTCCCGGCAGCTGCGTCGGATCCTCAGCTCTGGAGCAGAGGGAGAGCGAAGGGCAGGATTCGGGGGGCGGCGCGGCCCGGAGGGGTCAGTGGCCCCAGGAGCCCGGATACTTACGCCCCCGGAGATACTGGCCCTGCAGCGCCTTCAGCGCCTCCAGCCGCTCTTGCAGCGCCTCCAGGCTGAGCGCGGGGCCCGGCGCCCGCTCCCGGGGCTGGCTGGCCGAAGGCGGCGGGGCTGCGAAGTCGAGGGAGCCCGAGCTGGAGGCCGGCGGAGGCGAAGGCGGAGGGGACGGCGAAGGAGGCGGCGGCCTCGCTGCAAGGGGCAGGAGAAGCGGCTCAGCGGGAAGCATCGGCACCGGAGCGCTGCTGCCCGGCCCATCCCGGGGCTGCCCTTGCCCAGGAGAGGGAGGGGGGCAGACCGGGCCCAGCACTCACCATCTTCTGTCTCTTCTCTCTTCCCGGGGAGGCTGCTGAGAGGACCGAGAAGGGTCGTCAGGAGCAGCCGAGGGTCCCCAGGGCCAACCCCACCTCTTCTAGCATCCTCTGACTGGCCCTCGGCCCACTTTGAGGGGGCTGGGAGACCCCCAGTGCAGCCCAGAGGAGGCCACGGTAAGGAGGAGCAGGAGCACAAAAGCCACCCGAGGCTTCAGTGATGGTTCCAGCCAAGGTGGGGGGGGCATCCTTCGTAGAAGCCCCTGGACTTCCAGCCCACCCACCCCTTCCCCAGAGACCCTGCCCACGCAGGACACGTCTGGGCTCTGATCTTCCAACCCAACCAGTGTCAAGGAGATGAAGAGGCAAACCGCCTCCCTTGGCCTGATCCGTTTGGAGGGAACTTCGGGCTCCCAGGGGCCACTCACTCACGGTTGCTGTCACGGCTGGGCCTGCGGGAAAGGAGGGGGGAGGGGGAGGCCCAAATGCATCAGGGCCTCCCTCTGGCTGGAAGGGCAGATTCAGGGAGTGGGAGGAGGGGATGGGAGAGGGGGCCCAAGTGCCTTTCCCCAAACCCAGCACCCCTCCAGCCAAGAGGCCCCTGGGTCCCTGCTTCTATACGGGGGGGGGCTTCCTGTCCCATCAGTACCTGCCCCCTAAACAGGACAGCCAGCTTCCCATCCCACGGCCAAGGGGGCCTGTTTGAGTTGCTGCTGCTGCTGCTGCAGATTCCTGCCATCTCCAGGGCCCCGGATTCCAGGGCTTTGTGAGGTCAGAACTGCCACCTCCCAGCCTCCCCTCCAGCCCCCCCCCCCCCCCCAGGACTCTGCTCTGCTGACGGGAGAGGCAGGCACAGAAGGGATCAATGGATCCCATTTCAAACCCTTCCAAAATCTCAGGCAGTCTTCTTTCTGCTGGGAGAAAACACCCTGGCAGGGTAGCAGTGGGTTTGGGGGGGGGGGGGGAGGACCAACCCCCTCCAAATTCAGTTCAAATACAAGCCAGGGACCCAGTTCTTAGGGAGGCGGTGGGCGTCTTTCCGCTGGTTCCAAGTCAATGCCAAAGAGCTATTCGATCATGGAGGTTTTTAATTTTGATGGTCCCTTGGCCTCTTCCAGGCTGTCTGTGAATGGCCCCCCTGTCCCCAAGCCTTTGCAGCAGCCCCTCACTAAATTGTGCAAAGCAACTGTGGAACACTCGAGCCCTTCCTGGGGGGGGGCAACCTTGTGCAGGCCCTGGGAGCAAGGCAAGCGGGGGCCAGGCTGTATTTCCCCCCCTCCTCCCGTTTTGGGAGTCCTCGTTCTCCACCAACCAGTTGCAGTGGTTGAGGGACACCCCCTCCCCAAGGGACTCCTAAAGATACCCACACCCTGGGCAAAAGGCAACAGGCTTCAGCACCTTTGCAGCCCCCCCCCTTCACAGGAGCCCTTTACCCCCTTTTCGGTGAAGGAGGGACAAGGCACGGCTGTTGTGTTTTTTTAAAAAGGCATCCAACTGCGTTTATTCCAAAGTGACCGATCAGTAGAGTCCCTCTAGAAATTAGGACTAGCTCAAAGCGTAGGACCGGCGAAAGGGCCGGCCAGGAGAGATGCAGGCGGGCTGGACAGAGACCATTTCCTGTTCCTGGGGTGGAAAGGTCGGATCGCGCTCCCTCTCAGCCCAGCGCCGGAGAGGGAAAGGAGAGGATGTTGCAATCAGGTTGGTAGCACCAGGGGAACCCGGAGGAGGCTGGAGAGGGCCGGCTACGGGCTGCAGGAGGGGGAGAAGAACAGGATGGAAACTGAGTTCTGCCTAGGCAATCTGCGATTTGCCACCTCCCCCAGCAAAGTGATACTCAAGATAGACTCTGCTGGTCCATGGAGGTTCCACCCAGTCCCCCCTTCTCCACCGTGCCTGCCTACCTCTTCTCATGATCTCTGCTTTCCTGCTCTTCTTCTTCCTCGTCTTCCTCTTGGGCAGCCTTTTCCTTCCTCTCTTCTGCTCCGGGCACGTCGATAGGGGGGCTTCCACCCCCACTGTTCTTCCCTTCGCCCCCTGGTTCCAGCAGAGCCGGCTTCTGATTCCCGGCTTCCTGGGCCGCGTCCCCACGGCTCAGCTTCTCCCCAGCCACCTCTGCCTGGTCCTCCCCGTCTTTCATGCGCTTGGGGGAGGGGTCCTGCAACGGGGCCAGCCGCTCTCAGTGAAGGGGGGGCAGAGAGGACAAGTCCCGGGGCCACCCTCCCGCCAAGGCCAGCAGGCGCCCTACCTCCGGGGCCTCTCGGGCCCGCCTCTTGTGGGCAGCCTTTTGGTTCTTCTCCCTGACCTGCTCGTCGATTACCAGGTCCCCCTCCTCCTCCTCCTCCTCTTCCTGCTCCTCCTCGTGGCTGCTGCCTTCGTGGCTGCCCTTCTTGCCAGCCTCGGGGTCCTCCTTGGCCTTCCCCTCCTCCAGGGGGCGCTTCTTCTGAGCCGGCTGCCAAAGCAAGCTGCCATCAGCAGGAACCACCCCGGGAAGGGCCAGCGGGCAGGCCTGGACCCGGGGGAGGAGTGAGGCAGCGGGCCGCAGGGCCAAGGCTGCCTCGGTTTCCCCAGGGGAAGCGAACTCAGCCTTGGCTTCCCTGTTTACTCCCCTCTTTATCAGCCTAGTAGTTAATGCTGAAGAGTCCTTGCTGCTCCCCCCCCCCGACGCTTCGTAGCTGTATGGTATCAGAGCAACGGGGGGCTCGGCCAAGGCAGCCCAGCGCCCCAGTAGAGCAGAAGCCCCCCTCTGGCCCTGTCCCACCCACCTGGTACCCCGAGGCCTTGATGGTGGGGTCGTTTTCGATCTCCCACAGGCCTTCGCTGAAGCCTTTCCGCTTGCTGGTTTTGCCAAACTTCGCCTTGCACTCTTCGTAGGGAAAGAGGTCCTTGGCACCCAGGAAGGCCCTGTGGGGGAGGAGAGGGGGAGATTGTCAGAAGACTCCGCTGGCATTAAAAGGGCATCTGAAAAAGTGGGGAGGGCACATTTCCTAGCCGTTGGAAGAGAAAGTGAGTAGAGAGGCCCCTCCAGCATCAGAGGCAATCTACCTTCTAGGGCTAAGGAAGGGATGACGCCCCTCCCCCCATCGCTGGATGAGTGGGGGGGGTCCTGTGGGCGTCTCCCGGGGAGCAGCAAGGCCCTGATCCAGCACGGCTCCTCACAACATTACTCACGTCTCATGAGTCCCAAAGAAAAAGACCTGGTATTTGTTGGAAGTTGATTTCACAGCGGATTCCGGCATCTCATCAATCTGTGGGGGGAGAGAAAGGGGGGTGTCGGATACCCTCTTGGCTGGGGGCCCTGAACTAGTGCCGGGGCACAGCCTGGCACCTCCCCGGCCCTCCCTAAGCTCCTGTCTAGACGCCCCAGGCAGCGCAAACTCAGCTGGTTTTCCAGCAGCTGGGGGGCGGAAGGGCCGTGGGGAGGAGCAGCAGAAGGGGAAGGAGGGGGCTATCAGATCCAATCGAGCCCCCCCCTTCTGCAAGGCCCTTAGCTCGCCCTTCCCCACAGCCCCTGGGCAGCAAAAGAGAGGCTGGAAGGAAAGGTGGGTCAGAGGGCCCCTCCTTGTCTCAAAGCCCTTCCACTGGGGACTTTGGGGGGGGGGGGAAGCAACCAAGAATGACCAAGCCAAAGGCAGAATGGCAGTCCAGCCCCGGGCATTCTCCTCAATTCCACATTTGTGGATGAAGACTTGAGTGCGCCCCTCTGTTCTCTGCAAACTCTTCCACACGACTTCTGACTTTCCAGATAACTCAAACCCAGAATATGACAATTGAGAAAAGATGAACCTCCTGCAGCCAAATCTGTGTTCTCTCATCCCCCCCAGGTCAGGAGATCCTGGGGGGGGGACACAAGGCTCCACCCCCAAAGGGGGGTCTTGTGTTTTGCAGTCCTGGGGTTTCATCTCGCTCCTGGTCCTGGAAGCCACAATCAAACTGCCGCTTCACAGGAAGGAGAAAGTCAGAGAGCAAGACAGAGCCCCCAGGGACAAAGGCAGTCTACCTTTGCACAGTGGATGCTTGCCGGCGCCGGCGCCAGCACGTGCCCAACCCAAGCAGGCTTCTCCGGAAGTCAGCCACAGACTTTGCCCAAGCAACTACCTGGCCCAGCCCTGCAAAATGGGTCAGGTGATCCTGGTTGCTCCTGACCCACGGTTTGGTGGCTTCTGCAATCAGGAAGCCCAGAGGGTGGGAAGGAGACCCCCCCAACCATCTTGGGATCCTGCTGCGCTCGTCTGAGTTTCTGACCGATCATGATCACCTCCAGTCTATTTTGCTCCCTCCCTCTCTGAAAGCGCTAGAACTTTTATTCCTGGTTACCCAAGATAAGGTGGCTTTCCTGCTGGCAGGGGCTCCTCCCAGGCCAGGGCAAAGAGAGATTCCTGGCTCTTTCTGCACAAAGGCTGTGGGCGTTCAGGGCAACACCCCCACTCGTTTCCCCCCCCACATCCTTTGTGGGTTCCATCTTTTGCTCACATGCTGCGATTGTGATCCTGGCTGATGCCTCAGGAGAGGGGCGTGCCCCTCCCCAACAGCGGACAACTCTCCAGGCGCACCAGCAGACTTTGAGCAGGTGCCCCCCCAAAAAAGAAAATGGGAAGCCCAGCTGGACATTGGGCTCTTTCCCCAAGAGAGCCCCCTCCCCTCTCTTCCAGCAAGCTGAACTTAGCATCTTTGTGACTCTCAGCCCCAGACGGTCCCTTAAAAAAGCCCCTCCCCCCTCTGCTGGCCTGAGCAGTCCAGGTGTCAGTCAGTTGGGCTCCGATTCAGAAAAAAAAGCTGCCAGTGATTCATCACTGTGGTTGCTAGACTGTTTAACCAGCGTTTCCCAACCCTGGCAGCTGGGACTTCAACTCCCAGAATTCCCCTGTGCAACTTCCAGGGCAGGCGGGACACATTAGGAAAACTCCCCCAGTTGTTCACCTTCCTTAGGTGGGCATGGAGCGTGTGCACCTTAGCACTCCCTTACTCAAAAGGAAACCTGCCTGTCCTGGCACGGCGCTTATCCCCACGTTAGCAGGCCCAGCCCAGTGTTGGCACGGCCGGGGGTGTCCTTGAATAACTGAACTTAGCATGGCTTTAGATCAAACCGATCTCAGCTGTATCTACATAAAAGGCCGGCTATTGTTTTGACTTGATCAACAACACAACCCACCGTTTTAGAAAAAAGATTGGGAAACAGCCTCGTTTCTAGACCTCAGGGTTACAAAACACGCTGCAAGTCCAAACCAAAAACCACAGAGGCAGCCTGTCTCAAGAAATCTGCCACATTTGGGATCCTAACTAGCCTCAACGGCAACATTGCTAGGAGGGCACTATTAAAAACGCGCTGGGGTGCAAGATAAGCGGAGGCCGGTCTCTCCCCCGCCCAAAGCTGGTACCAAGCCGGCCCCTTTTCAGCCAGACCCCTCTTCAGCCACTAACACTTCGGCTCTCGCTTCCCAACCAGGCTTTGCTGCCCAGGCGAACCTTCGGCCCTTCTCGCGCCCCGCTCTCCATCCCCGCCGCCGATCCTACCTACACACCGCCCGCCCCGTTTCTGCAGAGGGAGACCCCCCTCCCCCGCAGCGCCATCCGAAGAAAAGGCCGCTTCCCGCCGGGGTTCGCCTGCCTCCAGGGCGGCCTGCGCGCGGCCAGGGGCCGAAGCAGCCCACGCGGCTCCCAGCGGGGCACCTGCCGGCTATCTTTGCAGATCGGCCTGGCCGATCGCGGACTCCGCTCCGGCCAATCGGACCGGATTTTTCCAGTGCGGAGCCCGGAGCTGCGGGGGAAGGCAGGCCGCGGAGCCTAAGTTGAGAGATTTCCCCCCCCCGCCCGGCCGGCACTCGCCTCCCGCGCGGGAGAGGCCAGGCCCGGCCGCGACACGGCGGAGCTGCCCGGGCAGCGCTCCCCCCCCCCCCCGAGGCGAGCGGGCGCCCTTCCACCTCGGCGGCGCTTACCCGGGCGGGCCAGTGCGGGTAGCCCTTCATCTTGGCGAAGACCAGGTCGCCGCACTTGTAGTCGCGCGGGCGGCCGGAGCGGGACATGGCGCGGGCCGAGGGGCGGCTGCAGCGTCCCCGCCGAGGCCGGCCTGGCCGAGCGATCGCCGACCCCCCGAGCAACAGGCGAGCCGGGGCCGCCTTGGCTGCCGCCTCCGCCTCTGCCGAGCGTTGCGCTCGCTTGGAAGGGCCGCCGCCGGGCTCTTCGCCGGGCTCTGCCCACGCCTGGCTGCAGCGGGCGGAGGCGCCTGGCGGGGCCGGAGCAGCGCGGGAGGCGAGGCGGGGGAGCGGCGAGGGGCGGCGCTGGCGGCGGGCCCCGCGGGGGGAGGGAGGGGGCGGGAGGGCCGGGGGCGGCGGAGGGACCCCGGCCCGGCCCTTCGCGCCCAGCCCGGCCAAGGGCGCGAGGGGGGGCGCCCTCCTGCCGGGCTCGGGGGTCCCGGCGGGACTGCTCCGCGGAGGGCAGCGGGACCCCCCACCGGCGGGCACAGCGGGGGTTTCTCGGCTGCTTTGGCCCCGCCCCCCGCCGGATCCCCCCCGCAGCTCCTCCCCAGCAGAAAGCGGCCTGGGGGTCCCCGGGGGGTCGAGCGGGGCTCTTTGGGGGCGCCTGATGGGGAGGGCAGCCCTCTCTGCTCCAGCCGAAGCCGGCCGGGAAGGAGCTCGCAAGGGACGGGGGTGATCCGAGGCCGCGCCGACCCCTCGCTGGGGCGTTCTGGTGGGAGACCCCCCCACTTGGCGGACGCTCCTCCAGCCGCGCGAGGGATGACGGGAGCAGAGCGCCCTCTGGAGGGAGGCGGGGGAACCTCCCGCCCGTTCTCGGTTTCCCGGCGGGCCCCGCGCGGCCAGAGCGCCGACGAGCCAATCGCGGCTTCCGGCGCGGGGCCTTCTGGGAGCGGTAGTCCGCTTCCTCGCTGGAGCGCGAAGGAAGGCGGTCGGCGGCTGCGGGGCCGCTTTGTGCTTCCAGGGCTACTTCGCCGCCCGGGGCCGAACGCGGGGGGGCGGCAGGAGCGCTCGGTCGTCTTCCGGCGGGCACCGTTGCCATGGGGGGAATCGCGGCCTAGCGCCCCCACGAAGCCTGGGACTCGCGTAGCCGCCGCCGCCGCCATGTCCTTAGTGGCCTACGCCAGCAGCGAGGAGGAGCGGGAGGAGGAGGAGGAAGAGGAGGAGGAGACCGACGGGGCCTCCGCCGGCCCGGCGGGGCTCCTGTCCGTCCTGCCGCCGGCCCGGGCCGGGCCGGCCCAGAAGCGGCAGCCGGTGCGGATCGCGGCGCCGCGGCTGCCCGAGGAGGTGAGCGGGGGCCGGGGCCGGAGCCGCCCGCCTGACCGCTCGCCCGCCTGACCGCCTCCTTCCCTCCGTCTCTTCTCTCCCGCAGTCCGACTCGGAGGAGGAGCAGGAGCGGGAGCCGGGCGAGCCGCCGGCGGCCAAGAGGCTTGCGGGGCCCGGGGGTCTCTCCGCGCTGCTTCCGCAGCCCCGCCGCGCCCCCCCGCCCCGCAGGACGGACCCCGCCGCGCCGCCCTCCCCGTCGGCCATCAAGGCGGCGGCCAAGAGCGCGGCGCGGCAGGTGGCCCGGCAGGTGGCCCAGGAGGGCGAGGCCGAGGCCCCGCAGCCCGTCTTCCCGCCGCCGCCGGCCCCGCCGCCCCCCGCCCCGCCAGCCGTCGCCGCTGCCCCGCCAGCCGCCGCCTTCCCCGACGACCTCCCGCCCGGCACCGAGCCCGACGGCCAGGACGGCGCCGACGCCCCGCTGGAGTTCAAGACGCCGCCCGGTGCCCGCCCCGCCCCGCCCGGTTGGCCCCACGCGCCCGGCCCGGGCTACGGCGCGTCCTACGCGGTGAGGGACTCGCGGGACTCGGGGGGGGGGGCACACTGTGGAAGGGCCCCGGGCGCCGTTCTGATCGGCCTCTCCCCGCAGGGCTACTACGGCGGGGGCTACTATCCGGAGAGCGACCCGGCCTTGGGGCCGCCCCCCGAGGGCAGCGCGGACGCCGCCCCCTCCTCCTTCATGGACGACGAAGCGGTGAGCCTCAGGCCCCCCCGTCCCGCGGAGCCCCTTGCGGGTGCTTCCCCACCCCGGATACCCAGAGCCTCGCTGGCCCTCTTGCTTGGGGAGGGGTCCGTGAGGCCTTCCCCGACCCCCGTGCCCCTTTCTTACCCCCTCCCCGTGCAGTTCAAGCGTCTGCAAGGCAAGCGCAACCGGGGGCGAGAAGAGATCAACTTCGTGGAGATCAAGGGCGATGACCAGCTGAGCGGAGTCCAGCAGTGGCTCACCAAGTCCCTGACCGAGGAGCAGAGCATGAAGTCCTTCAGCAAGGTCTGCCAGGCTGCCCCCTCCCCTGTGGGGGCCCCTGAGAAGCAGGAGGGTGTGGGGGCCTTCTTGGGCCAAGGCCCCTGAGTTTCCCGTTTCCCTTCAGAAAAAGGGGGAGCAGCCCACAGGGCAGCAGCGAAGGAAGCACCAGATCACTTACCTGATCCACCAGGTGAGGCCTTCATTCGTTCAGCAATCCCTCCTACCCCTGCCTGGCTCGCTGCCTCCACGGTGCGCATTTTCACTGATCCCCCTCTACCTCCCTGCCCCCAGGCGAAAGAGCGGGAGCTGGAGCTGAAGAACAGCTGGGCAGAGAACAAGCTCAGCCGGCGCCAGACCCAGGCCAAGTATGGATTTTAGCCCCTTCCCAGCCCAGGAGGGCCATGCTGGATTCTGAGCAGGACGGCCAGCCTGGGATCCTGTTCTGCAAGGCAGCAGCCGCTGGGTGGACTGCCGTGGAAGCCGCTGGAGGCCCTGCAGCCAGGCATGTGGCAACATGGGCCCCAGGAGGGCAGAGGGTCTGTGTCTGCTTGAGTTGGGGGGCTCTCGCTCCCTTGATTCACGAGACGTCTTGATTTCCCTCTAGCCACTTTTCCTTCAAGTAGCCACCAAGGCAGGGGGGAGCCCTGTCTGGACTGGGGATGGCTGCCCACCCCACCCCACCCCACCCCTGAGAACATCCTACCTGGAGGGCAGGGGACTGTTCTGGTTAACTCTGGATGTCTTGCTTGGCTATGGGGCTGCTTCCCCCCTCCTCCCTTTAGCATACATGGATGTTTCTGTTCCTGACTGTGTCTTGGTCCTGGTCAAGGCAAGGTCTTGTTTTCATGACCTGGCAATGCTCCGCCCCCCCCCATCCCCGGTTTTAGTTTGCTAATTGTCCTCAGAGCCTCCCTGGTACCTGGAGTTTCAATAACAGAGACTGGAGGTTTCTGTCTCCTCTTCCCCCCCCCCCAACAGAGGTGAGCCCTCTTGCCAAGTCTGCGACTGTCCAGAAGACCCACCTTTTCAGATTTTTTTTTCATAGCTTGCTGAGTTTGGTGTTCTTAGACCAGTCCTTAAAAGGAGAGCAGTTTTCACATAATGGACCTTCTCAGATGCAGACAGAGCAGACTCGGGGGGGGGGTGTTGGAGGGGGGCAAGACAATGGTGTCTTATGTGCCCCCCTGCCCTTTCTCAGTAAGCCTTGCCCCTCATAGTTGCTCCTGAAGTCCCAAGCCGACTCTATTACACCCGCCCTCCTTCCTTGTCTCCCTCCCTTCCTTCCCTTGCTTTTGGTGGTCTTTCTTTGCTGACCTCCTGTTCAGATTGTAGTTCAGATTGTAGCCGTTTCCCGTTCAGCAGACAGAAGTCCATCTTTGCGGCAGAGTATCTGTATTTAGGGGGGTGGGTTTCTAAAAAGATCTTGGTTTATTTCCCTGGACACTTTAGTACTTAGGAAGGCTCCCTGTCCCTATTTTGAATATTTGAAAATAAAACTCATTCAGTAATTGATTTGTTTTTCCCTTTTTGAATTTCTCTGAGAAAAAAGGGTTACAGGGGAATAAAAATTAAATTGAGAGTGGGGCACGAGGGTGAGATGGTGAGGGAGGCCCAGGGCTGCACTTTTTGAGAAAGGGGGGAGGGGAGGCACTTCTTAGACCAGGGGGGTCCTGCTAAAGGAAAGGACAGGCCCCCTTTTGGCTCCAGCTGCCCATCGGGATGCTTTCCCCTCCCTGGTGGGAGCCCAGAGCCCAGAGCACTCCCCTGATAAGCCTTCCCCCTCCGTGGGCTGCATGTGCCCCCGGGACTCGGCTCTTGGGGCACAAGTCTCATCCTGTTTAGAGTGTCAGTGGAAGACAAAAGGGCTTTAAGCCCATCAGTGGCCCAACTCTGCTCCTCTTCGGCTAGGCTTCCAGCTCTCCAGATCCCCCACCAGGAGAAAGATGCTGAGCTGCAGATGGGGCATCAGCGTTCCCCAGGGAGGGACTCAGGCAGCTCAGGGGTAGGAGGAGCTCGAGGCTCCCCTTCCTGGCAGAGAAAAAGGGGGGCCTGGGGCAAAGTTTTGGTGCGTGCTGGGCCTTTCTTGTGCCCCCCCCCCCGCGCTGCTGGCTGTCGCCCTGCGGAGAGCTCGGTTCCCAAGCCCCCCCCCCGCCTGGCCGCAGAGCCGCTCCTCCTCCAGAAGGGTCTGGCACGCAGCGCAAAGGGGCTGAGCTGGCCTGCGGGGGGGGGGGGGGGAGGGCGCTGTCCCAGCACACTTCAGCGAGGAAGCGGCGGCGGGTGCTCCGGGTCGCGCTCCCTCCGGTGCCTGAATCGTAGGTACCCTGGGAGGGGGGGGGGTGATGCTGAAGGGGCAGACGCGTTCAGGCTTGCTGGATCTCTGGGTGCGGGATGTGATTTTCGAGGCGGTGGAAGGGGAAGAGCCAGGCCGAGCCAAAGGAGGACCTGAAGTTACCTGGAAGTAGCCCTTCGCGAAACCGTTAGGGCTTCCCAGAAATCGGGATTCCGACACGGGAGAGAGAATGTAAGATCCACCTGTAGTTGCCTGGCTGCGCTCAAGGTTCCCTGCCTTGGAAATGGGAATCCCCCCTCTCTGAACCGGGGGAGATTGGAGGACTTCTGCGTTTCTCTCGGGAGAAGCGGCAGCCTCGTCCCATCTGACTCAAGTTGCAAAACATGCTGGCAGATTTGTTTTCCTTCCCCCAGCGACGGGCGTCTTGTACCCTGAGACAGGGTGGGCTGTGCTGGGAGAAGATCACACCACAAAAACACAATATGCTTGTGTGAGGGAGCGGAGGACAGGAAGGAGGAGGGGGGCTGCGATTTGTCCTGGAGGCGGTTGCTGAGCGCCCCTTCCCCGAGCCTGACGGCGGAGCCGGGCCTTGGGCGCGCCTGCCTTGCCCGCGTGCCAAAATCCCCCGTATTTACGAAATTCCTGGCCTGCAAGAAAAGATTGGAAGAGGGTCAAGAATCCAGGAATTGCAACACATTTGCCCATTTAAGCCCCGGCTCTTCCCTTGCCTTAAATGAGGCTTTTGTTCTCCCGGGCTGAGCCTGGAAGCCGACCTCGGGAGGAATAAGATGCCAGATTCCAGGGGACGAGGCAGCTCCCGTCCCGCCGGGAAAGGAATGCGGCCTGGCTGGGGGGGTGTCGGGGGGCCTCCCTCCACCCTGGAGGGCGCCCGTCTTTGGGGACCGCTCTCCCTCCCCCTCGGTCCCGCCGCGACGTTCCCTGGAGATCCTCCGAGTCTGCTCGGCTTTTCAAAGGGCATCACCAGGCGCCTCTTATCGGCTGCCCCAAGAGGCTCCTCCGGCCGCCTCGCTCTTTCCGAGACCGGAAGGTGGGACTTCCCCCTCCTTCTGCCGGGCCGTTCCCACACTCCGTCAGCCTCCCGAGAGGCGGCAGCCCTCGCTCTCCCGGCCCCTCGCCCGCTGCCCTGCCTCTGCCAAGCGGGGCAGGCCTGGTGAGCAGGAGGGGGGCGGCCGGGGCGCCCTCCTTGCCTGGTCCAAAGGCGTTTGGGGCGAAGCTCGGTCAGTGGGAAGGGGGAATCGGGGCCTCGGGAGGGAGACCCTGTTGTGGATCCCCGCGGCCTCGCCAGCGGCCTCCAGGCACCGGCCTGGCTGCCTTTGCGTTTCTTCAGCGGCCTGCGCCCCCCCCCCCCGCCCAGCAAAGCTTGGCTGACTGCAACCCCGGAGGCGAGCGAGAGGGGAAGCGGCTGCTGAGAAGAGGTGGGAAAGAGGCTGCGGAGGCGCTCAGACACGCAGGAGGCTGCCTTCGGGGCAGGGCGCGGCCAGCCAGTCCTCCCGACCGCCTTTCCTGGAGCGTTCGGGGGCCGCGGCTTCCGCATGGCCGGGGCTGGCTGAGCGATTCTGCAAGCGGAGAGCTGGCTCGGAGCGAGGGAGCCCATGGCCGCGACGACTGGGAATTGAAGTCCCCGGTAAGTGGGGGCCCCGCTCCTTCGGAGCACCCGAAGGCGCCTGCCGGACCGGCCCTACCGCTGACGGGCATGCGGCGGGCTCCCTTCGGGGCTCCGGGGACCTCCGGGCTCTGCCGTTTGTGCAGGTGCGCTGCGCAGCTCCGTCGCCCTCCCGCGGGGCGGCGAGGCTTCACACACCAGGAAGCGGAGGCGGCCGATTCCCGTCCCCGTCGGGAGGGGGAGCCGTTGCAGCCGCTGGCCGGAGGGTCCCTCTCCGAGGGGCTGAGAGAGGAGGGGGAGGAGCCTCCCGCGTGGGGTAAGGGGTTCGGGGGGGCTTTGCCCCAAGAGCCGGGCAGGCGCCTGCCTGGCACGGAAGATCGGCCGCACGAACCGGAGGAGGGAGCCCTCCTCCCCCGGGGTTGGCGTCCAGCGGGGCGGGCCCGGGATGAGGGGTGCGGAAGGCCCCCCTTTGCTTCCCTCCTCCCTTAAGGTGTCCTGAGCGCAGGGCGGAAATGCCTCTCTCCGGTTTTGGAATCCGTCCGGCAGCCTGACGTGACGCGGGATGCGTTAGATCATGTAAAGGCCCCCCTCCCGTGTGGATGGTGCGGAGGGGGGCGCGAGGCAGAAGAGCCCGCCTGTTGCTTGCAAAGAGAGCCTCTTCCTTGCTTCCCCCAGCAGCCGATGGCGAGGGATGGAACCGAAGTGCGCCCTGGCAACCCGGTGGCTGCAGGGATCCAGGTGAGGGGGGAACCAGGCCCAGGCCTCCCCTCCCGTCCTGCGCTGCTGCCTCCGTGCCTGCAGGTTGCCCAAGGTGTCTGGGACAGGGTGGAAGAAATAGGAGCCCCCCCATCAGAAAGGCGCCGGACCCCCTTTCCCAATACAGAAACTGGTTGAATTCAAAAGCAGATTTTGTGAACTGCAGCTGCGTAGAATGGCTGCAGGGACAGAAATTGGAGGGAGGGAAGGTGCTCACAAGTCCCCTTCCACAGACCCCCCCCTAGGGCTCGGCTGCCCCCCTTGTCTCTTCCTGGGAGCCCTCTGTCCACACGGCCCCCCCTGGCACCCCAGCCCTTTCCCTCTTGTAGCTGAGGCACCGGCCTCGGACACTTCAAGTGGGCCTCTTTGCCGCTCAGCACCCTGTTTCCTGCTGCTTCAGGGCCCCCCATGCAGCCTGGAAGACGACGAGGTTTTCCTGGGCACCGAGGCCAGGCCCAGCACCACCCAAGCGGATCCCTTCCGCCACTGCAGCGTGGAGGAGCTTTACGAGCTGCTGGAGACGCTGGGCAGGTAAGGCCTGCAGGGTGTGGAGACTGGAGAAACCCTCTCTGCCTGGCTAGGAGGAAGGCAAGCAGGCGAAGGAGGGCCTTCGATCACCCAAGGCTGTTGGGCGTCTCCCGGGCCTCCTCACGCACCCCTCGCCCTACGTCCTTTCTGCCCTCTTCCCCTTGCAGCGGGCACTTTGGGGTGGTCCGGCGTTGCCAAGAACGGAGCACCGGCGTTTTCTACGCAGCCAAATCCATCAAGGTGCGGAAGCGCAAGGGCAGCCGGCTGGGGCTGGACCGCGAGCAGGTGGAGCGCGAGGTCTGCATCCTGCAGCAGCTTCAGCACCCCAACATTATGCGCCTCTACGACGTCTTTGCCAACCAGGCCGAGATGGTGCTGATCCTTGAGCTGTGAGTGCCCGGGAGGAGGGCCCTTCCCGGGGGGGGGCTTCAGGTGCTTGAGAAGCCCCTCACCCCACCCCCGGCCCCCCCTCAGCATCCAGGGCGGCGAACTCTTTGACTTCATTGCGGAGAAGGAGCTGGTCTCGGAGGACGGAGCCATTGAGTTCCTGCAGCAGATCCTGCTCGGCTTGGCCTACATGCACGCCCACCGTATTGCCCACTTCGACCTCAAGGTACTGCCGGGGGCTTCTGGGGCGCCCCATGCCGGCGCCTGGTTGGGCAGAGGCTGAGAGCCAAGCCCACCGCTCTCCCGTCTCTCCCGCAGCCGGAGAACATCATGCTGCTTGAGAAGGACGCCCCCAGCCCCAAGATCAAGATCATCGACTTTGGGCTGGCGCAGAAGCTGGAGGAGGGGGTGGCCTACAAAAGTCTCTGCGGGACCCCCCAGTACATCGGTACGGCTTTTGGCCCCCGGAAGAGGCAGGCTGAGGAACGCCCACTTGCTTAGCAGCCAAGCCCTTGCGTGGGGAAGGTGGCCCCCACCTTGGCAGGGAGACCCTGTCTCTGGGGAAAGCAGAGGCCCCCTTATACGCCTGAAAACTTTCTCCCGCCATGAGGGAATCAGGATTTTGGCAGCTGGGGGGGGTGGAGCCCCAGTGGAGGTTTTGGGGTGCCAGGCTGGGCCTCCTACTTCCTCCCCTCCATTTCTTTCTCCCCAGCTCCTGAAGTGATCAACTACGAGGCCCTGAGCACAGCCACAGACATGTGGTAAGAGGCAGCCAAGGGGGGGAGGAGGCGGGGGAGGAGGCGGGGGGGGGCTCTTGGTGGCATCCTGCAGGCCTTGGATAAGCACCGTGGGGAGAGGAGAGTCAGGAAGTGGTTGCAGGCGGTTTCTCTCTCAGCTGCAGCTGCCAAGAGGAAAGCCTGTGGGCCCTTTCCTGTAAAGGAGGGAGGGACTGGGGGGGTGTCTTTGTTCCACCCCTCCCTGGGTGGACGTTGACAAGGTCGCCAAGGTCACTGCGGACAGAAAGGACGTCTGGCCAAGGAGATCCCCTACTCTGCCTGCAGCTCTCCCCCCCCTTTTTTTTTTTACTCCTAGGAGCATCGGGGTGATCACCTACATCTTGTAAGTACCTGCAGTTCTTTTTCCTGGGGGGGGGGCTCTCAGCAGACTCCCAGGGGGATGGAGTGGACTTTGGGGGCAGGCAAAGACAGCCACAGCCTCCGAGGGGCCGGCAAAGGAAACTTGCTGGAATTTGCCCAGCTTTTAAAAAAGGAAATGGAAGGCAGCGGTAAGTCTAAAGTTGGGGATCAGATCCCCCCCAAACAGCCCCCTCCCCATCTCTCGACTCCTATCTGTGGGGCTCCTTCTGACTGGAGCCAGGTTGAGGATTGATCTCTGGTCCAGCCTGGTGGGCTCTGATGCGCCCCCAAACCCTCCTCCCCCCCAGGCTGAGCGGCATGTCCCCATTCCAGGGGGAGACGGATGAGGAGACCCTATCCAACGTGGTCTCCGGGAATTACGAGTTCGAGGCCAAGTATTTCAGCCAAACCTCGGAGATGGCCAAGGACTTCATCCAGAAGCTGCTGCTGAAGGAGCCCAGGTGCCCCCCCTGTGACTGAAATGGGGCGGTGCCCTCCTGCCCTGTCCGGAAAAGAGAGGGGGAGGAGCTCCCGGGTGGTGGGGAGTGTCCTTCCTTGAGCAGAAAATAAGGACCACACAACTAAAAGTGGGGAGCAGCACATACTGTCAGGACAGGGGATCCCCAAAATGGGGTCTCTCTTCCTCTCCTGCCTCCCTTCTGCCCACAAAGAGGAAAATGGATTTTGGTCTGTGTTTCAGGGACCGAATGACGGCCGCTGAATGTCTCCTCCATCCCTGGATCAAGGTAAGCCTCCTTCCTTCCTTGCTCCTTCCTTCCTTCCTCCCTCCCTCCCTCCTGATTTTTTCTCCTTCTGCCCCTCCAGCCACTGACCCGCAAGCAGGCCATGAACCGGAGCCGTTCCTCCATCAACATGAAAAACTTCCGCAAATTCAACGCTCGCCGGAAGTGGAAGGTGAAGGGGCCGTACCCCATTCCGCCCCCTGGAGGAGCCAACCTGGCACCCCCAGACCTGCCTCATGGGCCACGTAGTCTGAGCCTCACTCTCTCTCCTCCCTCCCCAGCTGTCCTACCACATGGTCTCGGCCTGCAACCGTCTCGGCCGGCTGCGGCTCCTCTGCCTGCAGCAGAAGCTGGAGCAGGAGGCGGCGACGGCCCTGGTGGGTGCAGAGGAGCCCCTTTGCTGCCTGGGGGGGGTGTGTGGTGGAGCAGGGGGGCTGCCTTGCCCCCTGACCTTCTCGCCTGCCTTGCTCCCTGCAGCGGGACTGCGAGAGTGACCAGGAAGACCAGCCCAGCAGCCCGGGGGTCTTGCTCCGCAGGCGTCGGAGCATCTGTTCCTGAGTTCGGCATTGGCTCCCGTCCACCTCCCTCCGTCCTTTGCCCATGCTCAGAGGCCAGGATGGCAGCCTCCTCTCCGGTCACGGGTGGGAGGAGGCAACGCCTGGCTCTTCTGAATGGCCACAAGGGAGAGCGGGGGGGGGGTTCAGCTCCTCGGCACAGTGGGAGGAGGGACCTTCCCTGTCTTCCCCCTCCGGATCACCTGAGCTCCTTTCCCTCCTCTTCAGCATTTCACTTCTTGACCTGCCAGGGCGGGGCTGCTGTGTGCTGCCCCCCACACACCCCAGCAAGCCAGCCATGGACGGGGGGGGGGGCAGCCTCACTGGGGTCCTTGAGAGGCACGGAGGCTCCCTTCTGAGAGGGGAGAGTTTGAAGATTCCCTGATGGGGCGTCCGATGGGTCTCTGCTCTCCTAGACCCGTGTTTACGTGGTTGTGGGGAGAGACCCTTTTAATGCAACGGGGAGGGTCTCTCGCTGTTCCCCCTACTCCTCCCCCTGCTTGGTCAAGCATCTGACCAAGAGCAGCCTTGGGCAAGTGCCTGGCTGTTGTAATTTTTTTTTTTAAATACATATTGCCAAAAGGGAAAAAAAACACTATTTGAAGGTGTTGCATTTTGTGGTTTTATGTTTCGCTGGTTTACATTCAAATTGCAAAGCAGCCATAGCAATGAGGTGGTTGAGCGTGATTGATGCAGGGACCCAAGAAGTCCCCCCCCCACAAGGCATCTGTGTCTTCTTCTTCTTCTTCTTCTTCTTCTTCTTCTTCTTCTTCTTCTTCTTCTTCTTCTTCTTCTTCTTCTTCTTCTCCTCCTCCTCCTCCTCCTCCTCCTCCTCCTCCTCCTCCTCCTCCTCCTCCTCCTCCATTCCAGCTGCCTGCAGGGGCCAGGGCTGGCCAGCAGGAGGCACCCCACTCCCAGTGCTGAGAGCTCTTGTGCAGACTTACTCTCTGGGGGAAAGGGCCAAGTTCCTTCCACAGCTGACCCAACGGACGGGATCCAAAGAAAACAGAGCCTCGCCAGGACACTCGGCCTGCCGGAGGGGGAGAGGAAAACCCCCAAAGGAAAAGGCAAGGGCACCCGTGGGTCATCAGGTGTCCCACATCCAGTGGAAAAGAACCTGCAGGCAGGGGAGAAGCACAGAGGCCCTAAAGGCGTCATTGAAAGGGGGGGGCAGCCTCCTCCTTGCTCTGCAGCTCTGACGAGTCCTGCAAGGTTGGGGCCCAGAATCCAGAGGGGGGGTCTCCCTTCGAGGTGGCTCAAAGCCAGCCTCACCTTCATGGCAGGAATAATGTCCAGGCTGGTGACTTTCCACACAGGTGCAGGACTGGGGAAGGCTTTCCTGCCGTTCTCTGATTTCCCAAGTTCAGGGTTCGCCTTGGGGAGTTTCCTTCCCTGCCTCTGAAGGGTCAAGGTCAAAGGCCAGGAGCTCCTTAAATCCTCTCTTGCTGCTGAGCAGACAGGAGGGCCGCAGGAAGCCAGACTCCACCGTGTTGACCAGGGGAGAGAAGTCGCCCTCTGACCCACTTGCCAGGAGGGCCCCCCTCCTCCCCTCTGTTCACCCCAGAGTTGCTCCTGCAAGTTGAAAGGCCTCTGGTGCTTGGCTTCTCTGATGAGGGGGGGTGGTGTCACCTTGGAGTGGTCATGTGAAGAGGCTGGGGGCACCTTGAGGAAGTGAGGGGCCCTCCACCTTCCTGTTCCCTTTCTCAGGGCTCCTTCACCTCAGCCAGAGTGCCCCCCAAATCCCTCCCCTGAACGGGTTAGGGGAAATGTCTGCACCTGTGGCTCCCCCCCTCCTTATTGACCAAACACGAAGGGCAGCGAGTTGTGGGTCTGAGCCCAGCTCGCTGGAGTTGTCAGGCTAAATATTTTGAAGGTAACAGGTGAAAACAGCCCTTGGAACGCATCCAGCCCCAGCAGAAGGCCAGCAGGGCTGGGGGGGGGGTTGTGCATGAGGGAGGAAAGACGGCCGGCCCCACCCAGCCGCCTGCCACACCTGGGGCTCTGGACTGGCCATGCCTCCATTTTCCCAACCCTCTTGCTGTGGTGTGAACGTGCCGGAGGATGGTTGTGGTCAGGGACAAGGACCCCCTGCCTCCCTGCTTCAGACCGGCGGTCCCACAGGCGGCAGGGCGCTCCTCTGTCTTGTGCCCCCCTGGCACCAAGCGATAGTCCAGGGCTGCTGCCAGCTGAGAAGCCAGTGGGCTGCCCTGCCATTTGAGACTTGCTTTCCCGCCAACGCTGGGCCGTTTATGGACCATGGAGGAGAAGGGGAGAAGGGGAGTCCCTGGTGCCCCCCTCTGGCCCACCTGGGGGGCCCTGCTCTTCCTCTGCCTGCTGTGGCTCGGCCCTGCACCAGCCTCTCCAGAAAGTAAGTCCCTCCTGAGTTGAGTGAGGTCAGCCCTCAGCCAGGCACAAAGATAACGCACCCCCCTCCCAGGGCAGGGTGGCTGGGGGGGGCAAGCTAAATGGAGCTGGGTCGGATCGCCCCAGGCACCGAACGGTGGGTCAGCCTACAGGTGGCATCAACCAGCGGGCTCCATCCACGGGATGCTGGCATTTGAGATGGCATCTCGGGCAAAACTAGCCATGGTGATTTAGAACTGGCATTTGGAGCTTAGCCTGGCTGGAGGCTCCAGTCGGAGGGAAGCCCTTAAAATGTGCTTGTTTGTGTGTCTGTGTGAGAGGAACCCAGCTCTGGGCAGCTGCTGAAAGGGCCTCTTGGAGAAATTGCAGTGGGGGAGAGGAAGTAGCCCTGCTCCCTCCCTCCGTTGGGCTCTGCTCCCAAGTTAGGGGGAGAAACCCACCTTGCGAATCTAGGTTTAAAGTGGCTCTTTCCAGAAAAGTGTGATGGCTGAGGGTCAGGGCTACCCTCCCGTGCTGACCATACCGGGAGAAAACTGGATTAGCCCATTGCCTGCAGTTGGCATCTGAAGAGTGTGTGTGTGTGTGTGTGTGTGTGTGTGTGTGTGTGTGTGTGTGAAATTCTGCCAATGAAGAGCAGTTGTGCTTTCCGCTCAAGCAGGTGCAGCCTCTGGGCGAGGGGCTCCTGCTCAGGGGGAGCGGTTGAAGGTTGCTCCTGCAGGGAAAAATCCAGCAAGGGAGAAATTTGTCGGGGGGGGGGGGACTCTTCTTCGAATGGGGCGGGGGTTTGAGCAGGAGCCAGAAATTTCATTTCTGCTACAGTGATCTGCAGGGTGAAAGAAGGCAGACCCCCAATGCAGACCCCCTGGTCCCTCTGCAGAGTGATGGGGGGGCGCAAGAGATACGGCACCCCTTAGTCCCTCTGGAGATGCAGGAGAGAAGTTCCCAGGTGCCGACCAGGGCTGGAGACCCATCCCCCCCGTCAGGGTCCCAAGTCCATCCTGGGCACCCCCTTCCTGTTTTCTGTCCTCTTGCGGGATTTATAGGCATAAAAGACACTTTCCGAGTTGTCAAACAAGCAGAACCCAAACACGGCAGCCATCAGGAAGCCACTTTAGCCAGTCTGACTGGGGGGAAGGGAAGGTCCTCCCCCCCACACCAAGGTAGGGGAGAAAACAGAAGCACCCATTAAAGTGCATTGAAGCTCCTAGCTGGACTCAGGATGGCAGTGAGGGGGGAGGGGCGCCTGGGTTCTGAAATTGGCAGGGGGGCCTTTCAGCAAAGCACCTAACTAAGCATTTCATCAATTAACAAGCCATTAATTAGCAGCATCTGCTAATTCGGAGACTTCCTGCCAAGTTCTGCAGTTTTTCAACAGAAAGGCTTTTTTCTTTTAAAAAAGCAGGGAGTGAAGCAGAAAGAAAGAGGGGGGCACCAGAAAAGGACCCCCCCCCACCCCCAGACCAGGGGAAGATTGGTCCAAACTGAGGCGCTTTCCCTCCACATCTCGGATTCCGCCCTATGGCTGTTAGATATTTATCGATTCTTCTGGATATTTTCTGGCAAGGAAGCAAAGCTGTCAATCCTCCCTCCAGGTTTTTCCACATCAGGCCCAGAAGAGAGATGCACTTTGGGTCAAGGAAGAGCTCGGCCGAGCCCATCAAGGCTTAATGGCTGCATTTGCACGACATGCTGAGTTTGGTAGCTGTGACGTTGGTTGGGGATGGTCTCTTTCTTCCTGGGCCCTGTAGGCTGTGAGGATCCACGGCTGGGTTCCTGGCGGGGGTCTTGCATTGGCTCAACCTCCTTCCGTGGTTGGTCCTCTCTGGGAGCCACGGAGGAAGGTTTGAGGGCAACGCCGCCAATTCTGGCTGTGGCTTCCTAGCTGCCATTTATTTTCTTTTAGAGAAGGAGGGAGACGTTTTCGGCATGGCTCCCCACAGAGAAGGGCTGAGGGCCGGGCAACGCCAGGAAGTTGGCTGCCCTGATGTCAACCCCATCATCTGGGGGGTCCTCCCCTCCTCCTCCTCCTCTTCAGAGCCTCAGCAAACACAAAGCCTAGAACAGAGAGCAGCACCTGTTTAAACAGGAGCTGAACCCAGCCCTTCTCTCTCGCGCGCTCTCTCTCTGCAGAAGGTGCTTCCCAGGGAGGAGGGTGCAGGGAGCCCTCTGGCTGAAATGGGGGTGGGGGAGGTTGGTTGGGCACCAGCTCCTTTCCGCTTGAGCTGGTGTCCTCCTCCTGTGTCCCGAGAGCCCTGGGCCTGGACTTGGCCAGCCCTTTTGAGGGCTAGTGGATGAAACAGATGAGGGAGGGACCTGGGGGTGGGGGCTGTTCATACAGTGAGCCCTCTAAGTTGCTTTTCCAGAGTTGAAGATGTCTAAAGCCCCCTCCCCCCTTGCTAGAATCCAGCTGCCAGAAAGGAGCTGCCACAGCCAGCTGTGGTACCGGGTGGTGCCAGGCTTGGAGGATGCTAATGTGGGCACTGCAGCAGCAGGCACGGAGGCAGGGGGCCCTGGGGCCCTGTGCAAATACCAGATTGGGTGGGGGGCATCAGCTCCAAGTCAAGGCGGGGGCAGACGGCAGCCATGCTCGCCGGGTGCTCTGCCAGGTGTTGTTCTGCCTCCAGGTCTCGGGAGAGGTCAAGGGCAAAGAGGCAGTTGGCATAGATCAAGGTGGGCAAGACACCCCCCCACTTGGCTGCAAGGGAGCACCTGCCCCTCTAGCATCATTCCCTGGGGGGATGGAGCACTCTGCTCATGCCCGAAGGGGCACATTCCTTCACCAGAGCTACCTGGAAGTCAGAGTGGGGCCGGTTCCTTGGGGGGCTTTTCCTGGGCCATTTCAATGCGCCTCATCCTAAGCCACGCAGGGCCATCCCCAACCCAGTCTCTGGCCATCATTTTTGCCTACGGAAGGCTGGACATATCTTACGGTAGCACTGCAATCTTTCAAAATTGGACCTTAATTTCAAAAGGGAGCTGGGGGGGGGGAGAGGATAGGAAAGGGCGGCTGGACAGCTCCTGGAGGGCCGGTCCCTGACTCTCTGCTTGGTTCCCCCCCGCCGCAGTCTGCGAGAGCATGGACATCCGCGTGGATCCCGCGCAGCTGCGCCGCCTGGAGAACTGCTCGGTCATCGAGGGCAGCCTGCAGATCCTGCTGATGTTCACGGCCACCGCCGAGGACTTCCGCGCACTGGCCTTCCCGCGCCTGGTGCTCATCACGGAGTACCTGCTGCTCTTCCGCGTCTACGGGCTGGAGAGCCTGCGCGACCTCTTCCCCAGCCTGGCCGTCATCCGCGGGGCCAGCCTCTTCTTCAGCTACGCCCTGGTCATCTTCGAGATGCCGCACCTGCGCGACATCGGCCTGCGCAGCCTGACCAACGTGCTCAACGGTTCGGTGAGGATCGAGCGCAACCAGGAGCTCTGCCACATCTCCACCATTGACTGGGCGCTGCTGCAGCCGCCGCCCGCGCTCGAGCACAACATCATCCTGCACAACAAGCCGGCCGAGGAGTGCGCCGACGTCTGCCCGGGCATCCTGGGCGGGGAGGAGCCCTGCGTGCAGACCCCCGCCGGCCTGGCCGGGCCCTTGGAGTACCGCTGCTGGACCTCCAGCAACTGCCAGAAAGGTGAGTCCCACCGGGGGGCGCAGGAGGCTCGCGGGCTGCTGGGTGGAAGGACAAGGGCAGCTACGGGTCGTGGGAAGGCGCCAAGCGCTTATACACGTGCACAGTGGGCGGGTGGAAGGAAGCGCTGGTGTCGGTTCCCTCGCTCTGCTGTGTTGCTTCAATTTCTAAACCGCGGCTGGAAAGCCCGCCGCGCAAAAGAGAAGGGCGAAGTGCGCAGCCCGATCCTGTTGACCGAAAGCAGCTGCGCCTTTAAGCTTCACCTCCGCCCGCTAGGTGCGCCCCTCCCCCCGCCCCCGTCTTTCCATCTGGGTCTCTCTCTCTCTTGCGAAAGGGCTGCGAGTCCCCGGAGCCCGTTTGCTGTAAACAGCAGGGCTGCTAATGCAAACAGACGGCCGCCTCTCTTGCAGGGGGGCGAGCTGGCCGCTTGCCCGCCTGGGCGCGTCTATGGTGGTGGTGGGGGGGAGGCCGCGAGTTTGTCTCTGAAAGCCTGGCCTCTTCCGCGCGGCCGAGGGGGCAGAATTGCCAGCCCCCCCCCCCAAAGAACCAGACAAAATGCAGGTGTCCCCTTGGCCCAGCCGGTGGGGGACCACAGGATGTTCCAGCTGGGGGGGGGGGGGAAACAGACCCGGGAGCCCAGAAGGAGCCGGAAACCAGCCCGGTAAAAGGACAGGGCTAGACTGTCTCCAAGGCCGAAGGAGCCATTTTACAGCCATCCGTTCTGGGTTGAAGACGCTTCAGAGATTTCTTTGCTGCTGAAATGTTTTGCTGTGGACTTAAAAATCTGATATTTAAAAAGCGGCATGGAGGTCCGACTCCAGAGCCACAAGCAGCCTGGGACTTTCCCCTCTCCTTCTTTCTGGTTTGGGGTTCCCAGGAACAGGAGTTGGTCAATGTCACACACCGATCAGTGTGATTATGGCCGCTTCCTTCTGTCAAGAGCTCCAGGCTGAGTGCTGAGCGGGCCACAAAAGAGAGCCACTGTCTCAAGGCCCGATTCCTCCCCTCCAATGGGGACCCCCAAACCCTCCAGATTTGCTAATGAATCTCCTGGTTCTGGGCCTCCAGACCGGAGCAATGTAGGAATAAGGTGAGTGGTTTGGCAACCAGGGAACACGGGCTGCTTTCTTGTTGCCTAAACAGCCGGTCTTAAAACCTGAAAATTACCGAATCAATGAGGCAGACGGGCTGGAAACCGCAGGGCTCGGTTACACCAAATAAAAAAGCGCTGTTTTGTAAACAGAAAAGGGTATACATTTTGACACAAATCTTTGCCAGGCCAGGCCAGGCAAGAGACCAACAACAGAAGCCGATTACGAGTTTTGGATGGAACTCAAAGTGTTAGCGAGGCAGAGACCCAGTTCATGGATAACCCCCCTCAAAAGTGTGTGTGGGGGGTGTAAATCTGCTGTGAGTGTAGATTTGGGCTGGGAAGGAATTTCAGAGTTTCATTTTTTGGGGCTCTGCGTTCCAAGTATTTTTCTCTCGGGGAGATTTTTGCGGGGAATCTTTCTGAGGCAGCTGGAAATCAGCAGAGCAGCACAGCAGCCAGGTTTTTTTGAGGGGGGGGAGGGGGAACAAGTGTTCTGTCCAAATCCTTGCCAAAGCCCCTCCCTCCCCTCTCTCCCTCCCTTCAGTGTGCCCGTGCAAAGTTGGAGGTGCCGCTTGCACAAGCAAAGATGAATGCTGCCACCCCGAATGTTTGGGGGGCTGCAGCCGTCCCGGGGACCCCCAGGCCTGCGTGGCCTGCCACCACTTCTACTTCAACGGGCGTTGCTTGAGCTCCTGCCCGGACCTCACCTACGAGTACGAGCGGTGGCGCTGCGTGACGGCGGAGCACTGTGGCAGCCTGCGGAAGGTCTCTGAAAACCTCCGGGACTCCTCCAGGTTCGTCATCCACCAGAGGCAGTGCCTGGCCGAATGTCCACCGGGCTACCAGAAGAACGAGAGCAGGTGAGGAGTGAGTACCCCCCTCCTGGTGCCAGTTTCCCCGTGGCTTGGCTGCCCTGCCAGCGGCAGCTCCCTTCTGAAGCGGGAAGCCTCTTCCTTCATTAGCGCAAGTGTAAGCACTTAATAACTGCTGGCAGAGTGGCTGCCATCCTTAAAAGCCCATTAAGCTAATTCCTCCCTCATCACCGTCCTCTTTAAAGTGGCTTGACTTCCGCAGGCAGCAAGTCTCGCCACCTCCGCTTTAAGAGCCCTCCTCAAATCTCAGAAGTTCTCAATTGATCCGATGGATGAGGGGATGTTGGCTGTTTGGGACGCGGAAAGTTTTCAAGCCCTGTGTTGCCTCAGATACAAGGGCCCGCCCACTCTGGCTACCGTTTTGGGGGTGCTAGTTAGGGTTGGAGTGGACTAGGGGTGACAGGATAGCAGTATGCCAGTATTTGAGGGGCTGCCCCGAAAAAGCACCAGAAGGCAGGACAAGAAGCAACGGATGGAAACTCATCAAGCTGAGAAGCAACCTGGAATTAAGGAGAAATTTCGTGACAGCAAGGACAATTAACCAGGGGAACAGATTGCCACCAGAAGTTGTGGCTGCTCCAACACTGGAGTCTTTTGAGAAGAGAGTGGACAGCCCTTTGTCTGAAACAGTATAGGCCTCCTGCTTGAGCAGGGGTTGGACTAGAAGACCTCCAAGGTCCCTTCCAGCTCTGTTCTGACGGATGGATTGGATGTGTGCCTGGAAGGAAGACGTGCCACTTTTTCCCTGGCAAGAGGGCCATTTTTATGGGTGGAATAATAATGGTGGGTGGTCCTCAGCTCCTCTTCCTTCCCTTCCCTCCCTGTTCCAGCCTCGTCTGCCACGAGTGCCAGGGGTTGTGCCCCAAGGAGTGTAAAGTGGGCACCAAAACCATTGACTCCGCCCGGGCAGCCCGGGACTTGGCCGGCTGCACCCTCATCGAGGGGAACCTGATTGTGAACATCCGTCAGGGCGGTGAGTGGCTCCCCTTCACCTCCTGCGCCCTGTGGAGGAGGCCTCAATCCCCACCAGGAGCCCTCCAGCCCTCCCGCCCCCACCCACTGTGGCTGCCTCTTGCTCAGTGGTGCAGCCCATCCCGGCTCACGGCTGCCTCTCTCCTCCTCTTCCTCCTGGGCAGAAAATCTGGCCTCCACTTTGCAAAGCAGCCTTGGCCTGATTGAGACCATCACGGGGTTCCTGAAGATCCGGCACTCCTTCGCTCTCATCTCCCTGAGCTTCTTCAGGAACCTCAAACTGATACGGGGGGACTCCATGGTGGACGGGTGAGTGGAAGCCGAAGTAGCCAGAAGCCTGCCTGCTGGACGGAGGAAGGGGAGGCGGCTGGGCTCCTCCTGAGCAGCCTTTGCTGCCTGGGTCTCACTCCGAGTGGGAACCAGCACCCCCTGTGCTCTGTGGGGGCCAGCCAGGAGGCCGGGCTTGGCTGGGGAACCAGCTTGCAGTCTGGACCCGGAGGGGCTGGCAGCGGGCAGAGGCTGGTCTGAGGGCCTGAGCCCACCTCCGCCCTTGGCTCTGCCCTCAGGAACTACACCCTGTACGTGCTGGACAACCAGAACCTGCAGCAGCTGTGGGACTGGAGCCAGCACCGCCTGTCCATCCCGGTGGGGAAGATGTATTTTGCCTTTAACCCCAAGCTGTGCCTCTCGGAGATCTTTCGGACAGAGGAGGTCACGGGGACCAAGGGCCGGCAGAATAAGGCGGAGATCAACCCCCGGACGAACGGGGATCAGGCCTCTTGTGAGTTGGCGGGGAGAGGGGCAGGAGGGAGGAAGGCTCCCCTGAACTTACATTTAACAGCCCCATCCTTAAATCAAGCCTTCTGCAGCCAGTCAACTCACAGTCTCGGCTACTAATTTCTTACAGCAAAATCAATAATTTTTAATCCATTTTCTTTTGAGTGACAGCAACCCCCCCCCCGCTGCTTCTTCCCCTGGTCCGTTCACTTCACTTCTTCCCCCTCTCAGGCAAGACCCAAACTCTCCGCTTTGTGTCCAACACCACCGAGTCGGACCGCCTCGTCCTCAAGTGGGAACGTTGCCAGTCTCCGGAGTCCCCAGACCTCCTCAGCTTCATTGTCTACTACAAGGAATCGTAGGTGCTGGGGACGGTTTCCCCCAAGGAATCCTCCCCAGGGGAGGGGGGCGAGCTCTGTGGTCTTGCAGCCCCCCCCCAGTTGAGGTTGCCTCTGTCTTGGCCTGGCGTGAAGGGCCCCGTAGGGCAGGGCTCCCTGGCCACACCTGAGCCTGGCGTCCTCCCACAGCCCCGTCCAGGACGAGACCGAGTATGTCGGGCAGGACACCTGCGGGGCCAACAGCTGGAACGTGCTGGATGTGGAGCTGCCCCTGAGCCACGACCAGGAGCCGGGCGTCACTCTGCAGAACCTGAAGCCGTGGACGCAGTACGCCATTTTCGTGAGGGCCATCACCCTCACCACCGCCGAGGAGAGGCGCAACTTCGGGGCCCAGAGCCAGGTGGTCTACATCCGTACCCTGCCTGCAGGTGAGGAACTGGGAAGCACCAGGGGAGAGGCAAGGCCCGGATGATGGGCAGAAGCATCCTCCCCATTCATTCTTCCCCCAGCGGGCAGCTTGCCTTGTCTGGCAGCTGTAAAGACCAACGCATTTTTAAGGACATTTTTGCAGAAGCCAATGGCAATCAATGCAAAGGGGAGGGCGAAGGGCTAAGAGCCCCCTTCCCTTCCCATCTTCTGCCCCTCTCCCAACTGCAGTGCCCACAGTGCCCAGGGATGTCATCTCCATGTCCAACTCTTCCTCCCACCTGATCGTCCGCTGGAAGCCGCCCTCCCAGCCCAACGGCAACCTCAGCTACTACCTCGTGCTGTGGCAGCAACTGGCGGAGGACTCCGAGCTCTTCCGCAACGACTATTGCCACAAAGGTGAGGACCAGGACCCCTCCGGCCCCCGGGCGCCCCTCCAGCCTTCAGCTGACGGCCTGCCTGGTCTCTGCCTGCCTCCCCAGGACTCCGCCTGCCCACCAGCAGCGCAGACACCCGCTTCGACACCAGTGACGGTGAGGAGCACGAGGACACAGACGAACAGTGCTGCCCCTGCCACAGCCCCGTCGGGCAGACCCAGCCCAGAGTGGAAACTGTGTCTTTCCAGAAGAAGTTTGAAAACTTCCTCCACAATTCCATCATCCTGCCCAGGTGGGTCAAATTGGATGGCTGAGGTCCAGTTGGGGGGCTAAGAGGAGGGGCTGGGAACTGTCCTGCCCACTGTGCCTCCCTCTTTCCTCAGACCCCCTTGGAAAGTCACCTCCATCGACAAGATTTCTTCTTACCGGTGAGCTTCTGATGGAGGGTGTCCATCTTTGTCTGCACATGAAGGGAATCTGCTTTTCTGGGGGTCCCTATCGAAATGCTCCTTGAGGTTATTTTTGGGGTGAAGTAGCAGGGCTGCCCCCTCACCCTTCTTTCCTGGCTGCAACAGGACCCCCAAAAAGCGCAGAGACACCTTTGCCGTGACCGTGGAGAGCCAGGCCCATCCCAACACCTCCTGGCCTACCCCAGGGAGCCCCAGCGATGCAGCCACAGCCCACCGGGACGAGCTGGACTCTAGTATGGAGAAGGACTTCCGCCTCTTTGAGGATAAAGTCGTTCGGGAGCGGACAGTCATCTCCAACCTGCGCCATTTTACCGAGTACCGGATTGATATTCACGCCTGCAATCACGCAGCGCAGACCGTGGGGTGCAGCGCCGCAACCTTCGTCTTTGCTCGGACGATGCCCGAAGGTGAGCCAAAACGACCTCGCCCTTTCCTTGCCAGAAGCTGCCAATGACTGACTGGGAGCTGCCCAGTTGTCCCGATATAATCCACCTCTGAGCAGTTCAAATTCAAACTACCTTAGTTGCTCTCTCCCTTTCCCTGGGAAGACCCTCCTTGGCCCAACCCCCTTTGCCCTTCTCCTGGCCAGCTCAAGCCGACAACATCCCCGGGAACCTGACCTGGGAGCCGGCCAGCAAGAACAGCGTCCTTCTCCGCTGGCAGGAGCCGGAGAACCCCAACGGCCTCATCCTCAAGTACGAGATCAAGTACAGCCGGGAGAGCGAGGTGAGGACCGGGTCTCGGGCCAGGGCGAGGTCCAGACGGCATCTTGGCATTGCTCTTCCGGCCATCCCTCAGCAGGGGGATCCCACCCTGGCCAGGATGCTGGGCACTGAGAGCGTCAGCCGGTAGATGCTGCCCTGGGCAACTCTGACCAGCTACGAAGCAGCTCTGCTTCCTTGCAGAAAGTCATCTCGGTGGTCTGTGTCTCCCGCCATCGCTATGCCCGCTACGGGGGCTTCCACCTCGCCCTCCTCCAGCCTGGGAATTACTCTGCGAGGGTCCGGGCCACCTCCCTGGCAGGAAACGGCTCCTGGACCGGCTTGATGACCTTCTACATCCTCGGGGGAGGTGGGTGTCAGAGCCAAGTGGCTTCTCTTGAGTTCTTCCTGGAAGAGAGGTGGGGGATCACTCGTGCCCCAGGTCTTGTGAACCCAGCAGCCACGAAGAGGGTCGCAGGGTCTTATGTTTAGCCACATCTGCAGGGTCAAAGCAAAAAGACGCTGGGATATTTGTTCCTTCTTGCATTTGCTTCAGTCTGCCTCTTCCCTCATGAGAGCAGCCGGCCTGGTGGGCTTTAGCTGGCAGAATTCTCTGGCCAGACTGAGGATGGCTGAGAATGCTGGGAGTTGAAGTCCAGACATCTGGAAATTGGCCAGAACAGGATCCTGGAGCATCACAAATGGGAATAGTTAAGAAGGAGACAGACTGTGCAAAACATAGCCAGGTTCTGGAATCTCTCCCACAGATGAAATTAACCACACTTGGAGAACATAAATAGTAGATAGATAGATAGATAGATAGATAGATAGATAGATAGATAGATAGATAGATAGATAGATAGATAGATAGATAGGCGGGGGGAGGAGAGAGAGAAAGGAATAGAAATAAGGAAAAGATAAAGCTTAGGATTAAATTCTGTAGTTCTTTTATGTTAGAACATAATTGTGAGTCGTACAAATGTAATAGAACTTAGTAAAAAAAGGTTTGAGCTCAAATAATTGTTCCACAGCTTTTAAGTATCCCCTCAAAAGACCCCCCCAGGGAAGGATGGAAAGTCTTCCCCGTAAGTTGATTTCCCTGACTTTTGGGAGAGACCAAGGACTGGCCAAAGAGTTTATTCTCTCTGCCTTGAAACTTGTCTGACAAGGAGCTGGAAGTCTGTTGTCAAACAGAGGGAAAAGTAACAACCGTGCAAAAGGTTTATTTGGCCTAGTGAAAGGGAACGAAAGAAAATATTGCCTAAACAGGTGATTAGATGGGGGGGGGGAGAAAACCTCCAGCAATCTTGTCTCGGCAGAAAAGCAAATATTCTCAGTGTTTTGTGTTCCTTTGTGCTTCACTTCCGTTGGTTGGGGTTGCAATAATTCCCTTTCTCTCCCTTGACGACCCCCACGAACCCCGTTTCCAAGCAGAGGAAGAGGAATCTGGAAATTTCTATGTGTTCCTGACGCTCACCCCGGTGGTTCTGATGCTCGGCATCACCTGCCTGGCCGTCTTCGTTTTCTTATACAACAAGAAAAGGTAGCCTCTGCTCGCTTTGGGGAGCAGCTTGCCTGAGTTGAGGGGGACCACGTTAAAACGGTCGGGCTGGCTTAAAATCGGGCTGCTTTCTGTGCTGCTGTTGCTTTCCCGGGCAGGGGGGAGGGCGGCGTAAGAGCCGAGTGCAAAAGCAGGGCTGGCCCCTGGAAAGCCTCCCGTTTTGGGTTGCTCCTTTCGATCAGCTGCTTTGCTGAGCCAGATCGGCCAGCCGCCCTCCGGGGGTGCAGAAGCCCCTGAAAGAAAGCCAAGGGTTCCCCCCTCCCCCGGCCCTGATCTTTTCTACCTGATCCTCGCCTTGCAGGAGGACCGAAGGGTACCCCAGTGGCACGCTCTATGCCTCAGTCAACCCCGAATACTTTAGTGCCTCCAACAGTGAGTGCCCAGGAAGGAGGGAGGAGGGGGCCAACCAGCAGGAGAGTTGGGGGCTTTGAGCCCAACTCTGGGGTCCTTGACAAGCACCCCTGCCCTTCCCCCTTTCTCAGTGTATGTCCCCGATGAGTGGGAGGTATCCCGGGAACGGATCACCATCCTGCGAGAGCTGGGCCAGGGATCCTTTGGGATGGTCTACGAGGGGATCGCCAAGGACCTGGAGCAGGCGGGCGAGGAGACCCGGGTGGCGCTGAAGACCGTCAATGAGCTGGCCTCCATGCGGGAGCGCATTGAGTTCCTGAACGAGGCCTCCGTCATGAAAGCCTTTCGCTGTCACCACGTGGTAAGGGGCAAAGGCCCAGGCCTGGGAGGGGCTTTCCTGCCAGAAAGAAAAGGGAGGAGGCAGGCACCCCAAAAGTCTTGGTGAGGTCTGTGTGGGTGAAAAACCAGCTGAGCTCTCACTCCCCTGCCCACTTTCTGTGCACACCGGCATGTGGGGCAAAATCATTCCAAGGAAGGCGAAGACGTGTTCAATGCAGACTTGGCTCCGGACTGGATCCCCTGAACTGTATGGAAAGGGACACGGATATAGTTTCCCAGACCAGAGATTTTCTGGTGACTCCCCTATCCCGGCCTCTGCAGGTCCAAGCCCAGAGATTGCTTTGGCGTGGGGCTAGCTAGGGCTGAGCTTGGTGGGGCTCTCGACCTGCCCTCCAGATCCTGGGGGTGCAGCCTGCTCTCCTTTGCCTTTGGGGCCTCCAGGTTCGCCTCCTCGGGGTGGTGTCCCAAGGCCAGCCGGCTGTGGTCATCATGGAGCTGATGACGAGGGGAGATTTGAAAAGCTACCTGCGCTCCCTCCGCCCGGAAGCCGAGGTGGGTTCCCCCCACCCTTTCAGCTCAGATGGCAGGCAACGCGGCCTTGGCTGGCTCCCCATGGAGACTCTCCGGAGCAAAGCGGAAAAACTCCTGAATGTTGGCAAGGACTTCAAAGCGGTTCCAAGCGATGGGGAGGGCTGGAAAGCTGATCTCCGTTGCCACACTTCCTTTCCGAGTCTGGCTTCCATCAGCGGTGACTTTCCCACAACACAAAATCAGAGTTTGTTATGCTCTGGACGCTCCCCAAGGCCCAACAATCCCTGCCTCGTTTCGGTTCCCTGTTCTGACCACTTCGGTACCTCTGCTTGTAGAATAACCCGGGTTTGCCTCCCCCGTCGCTGAAGGACATGATCCAAATGGCCGGAGAGATTGCCGATGGCATGGCCTACCTCAATGCCAAGAAGTTTGTCCACAGAGACCTGGCGGCCCGCAACTGCATGGTGTCCGAGGACTTCACTGTGAAGATTGGAGGTGGGGCTGAGGAGGGCAGGTCCAGGGCAGGGAGAGGGGCTTGGACAGGGCTGGGGGAAGCTTTGATTCTTGGCTTGCCAGCCTCCTCTCTCCACCTCTGCTCCTCAAGGCTGGCTGGAGCTTGGTCCTCCTCCCCACGACGTCCTTCTTTCTTTGCAAAGATTTTGGGATGACCAGGGACATCTACGAGACAGACTATTACCGCAAAGGGGGGAAAGGCCTGCTGCCAGTCCGCTGGATGTCCCCCCAAGCCCTGAAGGATGGGATCTTCAATACTCAGTCAGACATCTGGTGAGCCCAGGGGAGCAGGAGAGGCGGGGGGGGGGGGTAGCTTAAAGTCAGCACACCTTTACCCCCGGGGGTGGGGGTATAAATGGTCCCAGGGCATTTTGTAGCCCAAATGGTAGACCGCACCCTTGACTGTGTGTGAGTCCCGGGGCAGGGCTGGCAGTGCAAAGTCCCTGCTCCCAGAGAAGAGAGGCCAGCTGGCAAGGGTGGTCGTGGCAGTCCAGGGCTGGGCTGGGCTGCCCCTTCTCAGCCCCCTCCGTTTCAGGTCCTTCGGCGTGGTGCTGTGGGAGATCGCCACCCTGGCAGAGCAGCCCTACCAGGGCATGTCCAACGAGCAGGTGCTCCATTTTGTGATGGACAATGGGGTCCTGGAGAGGCCCGAGGACTGTCCCGACAAGCTGTGAGTGACTCCCAGAAGCGTGGTTGTGGGTGGGCCTGTGGGCAACCTTCCCCCCCCTTCCTGCCTGCTCCCACATTTCTTCTTCTCCCCTCCCAGACACGACCTGATGACTTGGTGCTGGCAGCAGAACCCGCGTCTGCGCCCGTCTTTCGTCCAGATTCTGCAGAGCATCCAGGAGGACATGAGTGCCGGCTTCCGTGCTCACGCCTTCTACCACAGCCTGGAGAACAAGCGCAGCAGCTCTGGGGGCGCTCTGGACCTTGACACAGACAAACTGCTGGAGGAGGAGGAAGAGGAGGAGCCCAGGCCAGCGGCCCCAGCCCTGGTGCCCCGTGGCAGCAGCCCCCAGCCCCTCTTCGGCCCTGGCCAGCCCAAGGACTGTTGCCCTCCCAGCAGGAAGAAGGCAGGCCTCTGAGGCTGGGCCAGCTTGGCAGCGAGGAGGGTGAGATGCCCTCCCGGTCAGGAGGGGGCCGTGTCCTCGGTGACTGGCCCAATGGCGAAGGACCCCACAAACGCCAGGGGCCGGGGGAGACCTTTAAGAGGCACTGCTCTGTCCCTCTTTCTTGGAAAGACAGACGCCGGGACGCCTTTCTGGGTGGGCAGAGGCCGGCTGGCAGCTGGGCATGAAATCATTGGCCTGGATGTGGGCAACGTATCTCAAGAGCAGCTGCCAGCCGGGCTGACTGTCTACTTCACTCACCAGGTTGCCAGGTTGGAGGGGGGGCTGTTTTCAGAAGCAAGGCAGAGAATACCGGCACCCCAAAGTTTTTATTCAGCTGTTCAAGGGACCCCAAAGAGCAGGAGCCTCCATGGTAACTTCCCTCCTCCAGATGCTCTCTGTGGCCAGCCAAGTGGCAGGGACCCCTCCCGGCTTAACTCTGCCCCCAGGCTGAGGGGTGGTGGGGGGCAGCCCAGTCACATCTCTGGGTCCCCTTTACTGAATGCAAATGGCTGGAAGGGTCTCGGAGGAAAGTTCCCAACCAGATCCGGCCCCTCTCCTTTTCCAGAAGGAAGCTGCAGGTCTCTCACTGGGGGGGAGGTCTTCCTGCGATACCCCACCCTAATTCCCCACTCTGCCAGCTGGTAGCTTTTCCTGGAGGGACAAATGCTTCCTCTGGGCGCCAAGTGGAGGGGGAGGACGGAGGCCCAGAGCCCCCCTCTTTGAAGCCCCCCTAACACCTGATATCTGCCCAGGTCTCGTCCACTGTCTCCCTCCAGGAAGGCTCCCCCCCCCATTCCATTATTCATCTTGGCCAAAAGGGCCGGAGCCTCCAATGGCCGGTCATCCTGGCCCTCAGTCCTTCCCACGAGGCGTGTCTGGGAGAGGCAGCGACGAGCAGGCAGAAGCCTCACCGGGCTTGTCTTCGGAGTGGAGGGGATGGCGGGTAGTGCCGGATGGGGGGCACGTCATAGTGGCTGGGGATGTGGCTGTTCTTGGGAGAATCGTAGTGGCTGGGGGGCACGGCTGCAGTCGCCTGTAGGACGCCTTCTGCTGCGGCTAAAAGGGGGAGAGGAGAGGAAAAGAGAGGATGAGGGCAAAGGAAAGACGAAGCCACAAACCGGCCCTCCGTCTGGCACTTCCTGACTCAGCCCTTAAAGCCCATCATTCACACCAACCCATAAGGCAAAGTTTCCCAAGCCCCCCCCCTCACCCTGAGGAACAAGGTTCGCACAGCAGGTTAAGCCTCCCCAAATCTCTTTGTGGCTCAGGGCGGCTTGTCTGGGTGAAGAAACAGATACAGACAGGCCACCATCCAGGGGATCCTGGCACGGAGCAGAAGTCCTGGGTGCAACAGCTTCCTTTCGTCCTGATGACTCCTGAAGGGTGCAGGTAGGCAGGGAAGGAGGTCTGTTGTTCTGCAAGGCTGCCACATTCTCTCCCTCCCACTTTTTTGGGGGGTGGGAGAAAGGAATCCTGTTTGCCAAATGGACACCTTTTTATAGTAGCGAATTCTGGTTCTTAGGGCTGAGGACTTGGCATAAGCAGTTGGGCCTCCTGCTTTCTCTCATGGGCACCCATTATGTCTGTGACCCCTGAGAAAGATTTTCCCCTCCCCAAACCGCCCGTCCCTCGCAGACTTCACCCTCCGTCTCATCCAGCGAGATTTCTTTTAAAATGGAGGCAGGTTTATTTTTATGATGATTATTATTATTTTAAGCTGATCACCGTTAGCGTATCTTCTTGTATTGTAATCTTAGGGTGTTAGGCTGAGCAGTTTTATGTTTTGGAAAGACAGCAGGGCCCAGAAGGGCAATAAATGAATCTCCACCCTCCAGCTTTTCGCTTCTAGGCGTGCGAACGCCCCTCTCGGAGCCAGAAATGGCCCCAAAGTGAGTGGGGGGCACCCGGCCTTCATCCTCACCTGCACCTTCCTCTTCCTTGGTCTCAGAGCTGCAGGAGGGGTCCTCGAAGAGGCTGATCTCCGCGTAGGATTTCTCCCGCTTGGAGGAGGGGGGGGACTTCATCTCCATGTAGCTGCCCTCGGGCGCCTTCCCCGCAGGGCCGGGACAGTCCTTGATGGTGGCATAGGGGTTCTCGCTGCTGAGGGAGCTGTCGCTGCGGCCCCAGGGCGCCTCCTTGGCATGCACTAGGAAGGAAAGAGGGCAGAGGTCGACCCCGGCATTTGCTGTGTCCTGCAACCGCAGCCAGGTGTCCTGAAGGCTCAGCCCAACTTCTCTGGGGTTGGGAAATGGACAACGCTGGAGGACCATCCTGGCTTGTTTCGGTGGACCAATGAGGTCCCCAAGCAACCTCACGTTGTCCAACAAAGCAGGGTCAAGGCACGCAACCAGCTGCCATATTCAGCCACCTAGCAGCTCTTCTCTGCCAAGTCCTGGAAAGTTCGCCTTCTTGACCCATTACCTTGGCAGCGATATTTTCCCAGGCCGTCCGTGTAGCTGCAGCTGCGGTCTAAGTAGCCTCCCCCTGCAGAAGAGGCAGTTGTCCAATTAAGTGGGATTTGAGGGGGGGGGTGATGCGCAAAAGGGGGAGGCGGTGGGATGCTTAAGGGGGCAACCCAGTGTGGCCCTTTCCTCTCCCTGCTCAAACCTGCCCCCCTTCAGAAGAGGACCTGCAGGCGCTCACCATGGGCTGGGCTCCCCCGGCGGTGCCTCCAGTCGCTGGGCAGGGTGGCATTGCAGTCGGCCCCCTGCAGTCCTGGCCAGTCCCGCTCCAGATTCTGCAGGTTGGAGTAAACAGGGCTCTATGTGGCTGGTGGTAAAAATTGGGGGAGGGAGGGGAGCAGGCAAAGCCTCTGAACCAGACAGCCCCATCCCAAGAGGGAAGGGGGGAAAGGGCAACTAATTCCGAGAAAATCAGGATATCTGGTTATAAACTGAGGAATGTCAGCCGAAGGGGGGGGGGACTTTAATGCTTGGAAGTTTTGAATACCTGCCCATCCAAACCCGCCTCTTTGTGCCTCTGGAGAGACCCCGTTATCAACCAGGGTGGGGTGTTTTCTGAAGGGGAGAAAAGGGTCCTGGGGGTTGGGGTGGAGCAGGGGATGCTCACCTTGCCAGGCAGATCGGAGCTGCTTGGGATGGCGAAGCTGGGGGAGCAGGGCGAGAGGGTGTGGTAGCTGGGGTTTGAATAATAATGGGTGTGATTGAGCGACACATCTGGAAAGAAGAACCGTTAGTTCAAGTTAGCACGCTTGGGAACTTCCTGTGAGTTGCTTTTGTGTCAGAAAAGTGCAAGCAACCCGGGCACAGAGGCTGGCACACCCTGGTCGCCTCTCCAAGGGGTGCTGTCCCCCTCCTCTTTTAACTCGCTCCAAACATCCTCCTGCCTCCAGCCCCAGCTCACCAGGGACGACGTATTCCGAGCTGTCCGTCCTCCCTGTGGTGTAGGCCACGGAGACGTGCCGCTTCTCCTTCTCCTGACACCGCTGGTAGCAGAAGAAAAGCACCAGAACCGTCGCCAGCAAAGCGGCCAGGATGAGGAGGCCAATCAGGGCCCCCAAAGAGTGGTTGGTGGCTGGCGAGGCGGGAACCATGGTGAGGGGGTGATCGGGGTGGCCTGTGAATCGTTTCATTGAGGAACAGAAGAATTCAGACACAGCTTTCCTGAGGAGCTGGGGTCAGCCCCGCCTGCCCAGGGACCCTCTCCTGCCACACCTTGCCCTCTGGATCAGGGTCTCCAACCTTGGCAAGCTTAAGACTTGTGCACTTTAACACCCAGAATCCAGGAATTCTGGAAGCTGAAGTCCCCATGTCCTAAACTTGCTAAGCTTGGAGACCCCTGCTCTGGATGGTCAAAGCTCCCGGAATTTGATTTCTGCTGCAGAGGGGCCCCTGGCCCCTCCTCTGGCAGAACCTCTCCTTCTCTTTGAGGATGGAGAGTCCTTGTCAATCACACCTCCAGGAAGAGACGGGAAAGAAGAGAAAGGAAGAAAGGAAGGAGGGAAGGAAGGAAGAAGAAAGAAGGAAGGAAGAAAAGAAAGAAAGGAAAGAAAGAAAGAAAGAAAGAAAAAGAAGGGCACCCCAATTCTTGGTTATTTTCACTTTGTTCACTCCTGGGCCTCGGAGGAGTCTGGTGAGTGCAGGTTGTCGCACTTACTGGTCTCACAGTGGGCACCGGTGTAGCCCAAGGGGCACGAGCAGGACCCTGTGCCTGGGTCACAGAAGGCCCCGTGCTGGCATTGGCATCGGGAGGTGCAGTTGTTGCCGAAGAAGCCGGACGTGCACCCTTCAAAGAGATCGGATGGTTTGCATTCATGGATTGCACCAACCCAGAAGATGGCATTCAGGGGGTGAGCTGGGGACCCCCCCCGGAGGAGACTCAAATGGCACAATCCCAGCCAGGAGGCCCAGCGGGAGTCATTCCCATTCCTGGGCTCCCTCCCCCCATGCTGGAAGAGGAGCATCGTGGGATTTCTTCAGCTTGGCTTTGTTCCTGACTCACGTCTTGCGCAATCGCTGCCCGTCCAGCCAGGCGGGCAGTCACAAGAGCCGTCCACAGGGTGGCAGATGGAATGATTGGCACACTTGCAGGGCACAGAGCACTTCTTGCCATAACGGCCCGATTGGCAGGCTGCATTTGGGGCAGGGGGTGGGGAGGAGGGGAAGGGGAGTGAGGTCAGTCCGAGGGCAGGGATGGTGTGGCTCTGAGGAAGGGAGAGACCAGCCAGAATTCACTTGTCGCCCTTAGCAGTAGACTGGCACTCTAGAGGCTTTTTGGCAGAGAGATGGGCGCTGCAGTTGGCAAGTGGGCTGTTTTTTCTCTCCCTCCCTGCCCCCTCCCCAGCCGTTGAAACAGAGGCCCAGGGTCTCCAGAAGGGGAGGGGGATAGTGCTACCCCAGAGAAGTCTGATTCACTTACACCGTTGGCAGTTGGGCCCCCGGAAGCCAGGTGTGCATTCGCAGATGCCATCCTTGGGGGAACAGCTGGCCCCATTCTTGCAGGAGCACAGCTGGCGGCACTGCTCCCCCCACAGGCCCTCCGCACATGGCTGGCTACAACGAGGCCCTGGGGAGAAGGAGAGGGTCCCAGGGCAGTTCGTGCCCCACATCAATGGGGCTGCAGAGGCTGCTGGGCTCCAGTTATGCATCAGAAGGATCTGAACTGACCTGCGCCAGCTCTGCCTGTCCATCCTTCAGCAAGTGGGACTGAAGCCCCCAAGGTCTGCCCCAACCCACCCAGCCTCCTCCTCACCTTTCCATCCAGGCAGGCAGCGGCATCGTCCGGAGACAGGCTCACAGCCAGCAGCATTTTCACAGAAACAATTCCGAGTGCAGCCAAGGCCGTAGAACCAATCCTGATCAAGAACGAGGATGAGAGAAGGAAGAGCAACGGTTGGCTGGCAGCCCCTCCCTCCAATTGCTACCAGTGGACTGATCACTATCGGTGGTATAGAGTCTCCTGCTTAGCATGGGGTTGGGCTAGAAGACCTCCGAGGTCCCTTCCAACTCTGACTTCACCACTCGAGACCTGGTCACGGCCACCACCAAGGACTTCTTCTCCAGGAATGCTGCCCTTGGGGGCAACCCAGAGGCAGATCCTTCGGGGAGAGTCAGCCCAAGACCCAGTCGGGATGCCATCCGAGCTCTTTTTCCTCTCACCGGGCATGGCTGCCTGCAGTGGCTGCCTTGCCACCCAGCCACGCAGGTGCATCCTCCGTCAGTGGCATCACAGGTCGCTCCGTTGGCACAGAGGCAGGTTTGGTTGCAACCGGCACCCCAGGTGCCTGCAGAGCAGGCGACGGAACAGTCTGCTCCCTGCCAGCCTGGAAGGAGGAGAAGAAACAGAGGTGGGGGAGATTCACAGCAGACCTTGCGTTTCATCTCCTTCCCATTTCGTTCTTCCCCAGAACGACGGTCCACCTTCCCAGGTAGATGACACAAGGACACAACCAGGTGATCCAGTTCTACCTTATTGTAAAGCTCCAGTAACAGCCTGCATTTTGCAAGTCTGAAAGTACAATTCTCCCTAGGAACTAGGGAGGGTCCCTTGTGAGCCTCTTTGCCCGTTGCGCAACTGGGGCTCAGCCATCTTTTATCTGACTCTTCCCCAAGCAGCATCTCTTTGCCTGCCTCCCAAAGTCTTACCCACACGCCACCCCAGCGATGTCATACCTTCCTTGCAGAAACAGGTCCCGTCCACTGGAGAACAGCCCAAGGCGTTTTGGCAGCTGCACTCCTGAGAGCAGTTCACCCCAAAAGTGTCATCCGGGCAGGGGCTGGAGCAGTGCTTGTCCTGCCCAAGGTAAAAGCAGTCAGGGGGTCCAGTTGAGCCCCAGAAAATGCCCCCCTCCAGCCTCCAAGAGGTACTCACTGTATAGCCAGGTGGGCAGCTGCAGTGCCCCGTCTCGCCATCACAAGTGCCCCCATTCAGGCACAGGCAGGGATCCTGGCACCTGAGGCCGTGGGATCCACGAGGACACGTCTCGTTGCAGTAGAGGCCGGCCCATCCTGCCTTGCAGGAGCATTCTCCAGAGATCGGGTGGCAGCTGTAGGGATAAACAGAGAAGGGATGCCCCTCCACTGGGCTTATCCCGAGGAACCTGATTTCCCTAATGGGACCGCTCCGACCTATCCCATCCACCCAGTGTGGGGAAGGCAGGCAGAGTCGGTGCTCAAGGAAACAAGGGCACCTCCAGACTGACCTCTGTGTGTGCTGAGGATCGCAGAGACAAGGAAACTGACAGCTGAGGCCGTACAGCCCAGGAAGACATTTGCGCTCCTCACAGCGACTGCCGTAGAATCCGGCTTCGCACAAGCAGCCCCCGCTGATGTGAAAGCAGTGGCCCCCGTTGGTGCAGTCACAGGTCTCGTGGCAGTCCTGCCCATATTTGCCGATGGGACACTTTTCACGGCATCTTGGGGAAGGAAAGAGCCGGGGGGTGAAGAATGGAAAACAGGCACAACATCTGCCAGTTGGTCAACCGCTGGCCTAGAAAGCAGTCCCAGAACATGGATTCACCAAAATCAGCATAACCCATAAAACGTGTGTGTGTGGGGGTGAGGAACGTCTGTCACAGGCCCACCACCACCACTGGAAGAGGGATCCTCTTGACCCTGATCACGCCAAGACCAAGGGACCAAGAACGACATGCGGAATCACTTCTGAGTCGTTCTTTATAGCTGTTCATTTACAGACAGAATCTTGCCAGACTAAAGTAACTATCTGCTTAGCTATAGAGATACTCTGTGAATCCTAGGGAGGGCCCACCTTCCCCCTCTTTCTGCCTACCAGAGATTCCAAGCTCTGCCCTCTCTTTGCCCTTTGGGAAGCAGCCCCTCCCTCCTGCGACTCTGGACTACATTCCGCCACAGATCCACTGGGAATTATTTCCAGGATGGGCTTGGCCTGGTGTGGCTGCCAACAGCATTGCACAACCTTTACAAGAGCCATAAGTGCTCCCCCAGCTCTTCCACATCGTTTTCAGACTTGGAGAAGTGGCTGCTTCCATCTTCCCCAGAAGCGTCTCCCTCTGGGTCTTCCCCATTGTTTGCAATTCCTGGACAGCAATGACAGCGTTTCCTTCTTCTTAAGGTTTAGGGGGAAACTCAAACTTGTTCGCTAACTGCAGCCAACCTAATTGCCAATGGGCTTCCTCCGTGAATGTTGATCGGGTTTACAAAGGGCTGCTTTTAGCCGAGATGGGGCGACTGGCCTTGACAGAGAGGAGTGACACTCCCGGGGAAAGAGAGCAGAGGGGATACTCACTCCTCTCCCAGGTAGCCCAGGGCACACTTGCACTGGCCTGAATCAGGATCGCACTGGCCTCCGTTGTGGCAGCGGCACTCTTCCAGGCAGCTGGAGCCAAAGCGCCCAATGGGGCACCGGAAGGAGCAAATATCACCCTGTGGGGTGAAAGAGGTCAAAAACTGCCTGGGGGGAGATTCAACCAACAATGTGTGTCCAAATGGCAGGAAGATTTTGTCACATTGAGCTGTGTTATCAAACAACCTTTCCTCCTTCCGTGCCTCTATTGCCATAAATAGGAAGGTAGAATCGATCCCAAAGAATTGGGCTTTTTTCAGCCCCTCTGCAAGGGGTTGGAGAAGGCTTCTGGTTCAGAGGTTGGGGGTCTACCTCCCTGTCCCAGCCCCCCAGCCACCTACCGTCCATCCAGGAGGGCAGGCACATTTGCTGGAGAAGGGGGGATGGCAGACGCCCCCGTTCTGGCAGGGGCAGTAGGCTGGACACTGGAACCCATGGGTGCTGTTGGAGCAGGGGGTCTCGCAGCTGGAAGAGGGAGGGGAGGGGCATCCATTTGTATCAAGGTAATTGTGATCCACTTTGGGAGGAAGTGAACCTCTCAGAGACCTATTCTGGATCCAAGCCTGCTGTGCTGTCCATTAGGGACAATCAGAACAGCCTCTTCTAGACCCCCCCCCAAAAAAAAAGTTTTACACACACACCCAGCTGGTGCAAAACTTAAGTTTGTCTAGAGGGGATCCTTGAAGTACATTACACCGACCTAGGTTAAGTTATTCCAGGGAGGGCAGTTAGTCGCTCTCCTGCAATTCCTGGTGCTGAAATACTCAGCAGTGACGTTGTTCTGATGCCCCCATGTGTCTGGTGCTGCCAGCCCCTTGCTCTGCCTTCCCAGCCTAGCATTTCTGCCCTGTCTTCCCCGACACTCACTGTGGCCCTGCATAGCCGGGAGAGCAGAGACAGGCGCCAGTCACGTGGCTACAGCCTGCTCCGTTCTGGCAGTGGCAGTCCAGCTGGCATCCTTGGCCGTAGGTCCCTGTGGCACAGGGCTCTTGGCACTCCTGCCCACGGTAGCCAGGGGGACAAGCGCAGGCCCCAGTCAGGGGGTCACAGCTGCCTCCGTTCGAGCACGTGCAGAGGCTTTGGCAGTTGGGCCCCCAGGATCGGTCACTGCACTCTGGAAGCAGAAAGAGAGGCTGTGCAGTCCCACAGGTCTCCTGGGGCCTGGATCCAACCTGCTTCTAGGATCATCGGCTGTCCTCTTGAGAAGGCCGGATGGCTCTGGAGCCCCTCGCCCCAAGTCTAGTGCCCTGAATGAGCAGGTCTAGACAAGGGGGAGGCCTGGCCACTCTCTGCCCAAAGGCTGCTCTAATTCCTGATGCTCTTTGTGGAGCAGCCCCTCTGCCCTCTGACCCCCCCACGCCCCAGGTCTTTCTTTTTGAGCTCTGGGCCCTGAGGACTGGCTCAAGGGGGTGGCTCACCACTGGAGCAGTCTGTGCCCCTCCAGCCTTGCTCACACTGGCACTGGTCTGGAGCCACACACCGGCCGTGCACGCACTCTTGGGCACACCGAGCTGCAGCCAAGAGGGAAGAAAGAAGGCATCACCTGCCAGTCCCTGCCTGACTGTGTGACGACCTGCAGAATTGCTTCCCCCAGGTCTGCAGGGGCTAAGCAGAGAATTAAAGGCTCACACCCCTCCTCAGCTCAACACCAGGGTCAAGAAATCCAGGTCCTTTGCTCAACAGGAGTGCAGAAACAGCTTGCTGTTGGCTGCTTCCTGAATCTTTTGATATTTCCCAGTCTACTCTCCTGGTGGTCTCCGATCCCATCCCTTTCCAGGCCTGGTCCTGCTTTGCTTCCCTGCTTTGTGTACAGACCGTCTTTCCTTCTGCAGGGGTCCAACACAGGGGAATAACTGGGAGGGGGGAGAAGGGCTTACGGACACAGATGTCGTTGCTCTCGTAGAAGCCCTCGCAGCAGTGATGGCGTCTCCGGTAGTCTACTTTGACGCCTTGCCGGTAGGCTGTCTTGTACAGGACTCTGAAAGCGCCGAGAGAACAGGCCGCTGAGCACTGGGAGAGACTGGAGTTCTGCGCCACAGCCCAGCCAAGGGCTCCAGCCCTGCCAAGGGAGGGGGATTCAGGTGGGGGAGGTCCTGCTCACCTGTGCTGAGGACAGGTCTTTGCCCGTAGCCACGCCGGGCTCTTGCAGGGCTCCTTGGACTCCTGGATGAAGGGCTGCACGAAGGACTCCTTGGACACGGTGGTGAAACTGGGGGGAACAATAGCACCTTGGATGTGGGGGGCATTTGGCACTGCTCACCCACTGCTCAGGGGGCTGACATGTCCAATGAGGGGAGAAATGGGGAAAGGAGCTCTTTCCTCCCAATTTTTTGGGGGAGGAAATGGCCTCTTCCTAAAAAATAGGGGAGGGGGATATACTGAGTCACCCCCCTTTGCATTCCAAGGGGTCTCACCTTTCCCAGTAGCTGCAGACATTGGGGTCGTTGGAGCTGAGCAACAGGGCCCGATCCAGCTGCAGCCACAGTATCAGCAGGGAGTAACGGTAAGCCATCATCCTAAGGAGGGAACAAAAAGGGGCTTATGGTGACCGCAAAGACATTTCAAGTGCCTGAAGTGAAGATGTCCTCCCTCATGGCATCTTTCCAGCACGATGTCCACAAACACAGGAACTCCTGTGCGAAAACAGGAACCCTGCAGAGCAGGGCTTTCTAGCATCCAGGTTGGACAAACACGAGGACCCCAAAGGGTCCTGTCCTTGGAACTCTCTCCCCATGGAACATGACAGGCTGTCTCCAAGCAGCTTTGATGTTGGAACGGAGCTATCAAACAAGCATGGATGAGCAGAGAAGGATGGGAATGTGGTTCCCTGAAGGACTGGAGATGCTGAAGTGGAAGACCTGAGCTGTGGCAGGCAATGTCAATAGAAAATCAGATTTTCCTTCTCTTTTCCTCTGTTCCTTCAGTTCCAAGGACCCAATTCAGAGATAGCGGGAAGATTTCAATTTGAAACAAAAGCTGGAAGACCATCGTGGCTCTGGAAGGCAGCCACTGTGATTTTAAGTTTGAAGCCCCCCCCCCTTTCACAGATTTAATCTGCCACAAAGTTTCTGAAACACTGGAATCTTTTTCCTAAGCCCAGGCCTGACCGTTGACCCCAGTCACTTTCTCACGGCTTGCGGCAGCCGGCAGTTTTCCACATAGGAAAACTCTGCTCACTTGAATGGCGCCAGACAAGCTCCTGTTACCAAGCCTTGGTTCCTACTGCTGGCAGTGAAAGAGTTAAGCCTCCTCCACTCTCTCGACGTGCTCCCCCATCCATCCCCCCCCCCCCCCCCGCAACAGAGCAGAGCAGCATCCATCCAATTCCCTTCATCCCCTTTGCTGAGGCAGCAAAGTTTTGCAACCCCTTCCTGGCTGTTCCCAGGTCCCTCCTGCCGTGGGCTGGGTCTCCCAGGGGCTCCAATATTTGCACCAAATGTCTGAAGACGCATCCCTGCCCGTGAGCTGGGAGGTTTCACGAAAATGCAGCCAGACACAGGGCAGAACCAGAGGCGACCGTTGAGGGACCCCCTGGCACAGGAAGCCCAGCAAAAGTCAAATCCCGCCATCCGTGGAGACCACCACCAGACCCCAACAAGTCTCCTCCTTGGCCAAGGAAAGCCAAAGAGGGCTAGTTTGCTGGGCCTTCCCGCACGTCCAGTCCAGAGACCACCCGTGTCTCCGGGAACATGAAGAGGAGGAGAAGCAGAAGCCTCTCCCCCCATTCCTCGCAAAGCTGGAAACAAGAGTCCCTGGGGAGGGGCGGGCTGCTTGGATAGAAACCGAAGACAGGCGGGGCTGTTTGGAGGCTTCTCCGAGTCTCGGGAGCCTGGGGGGGGGCCATGCATGCAGCCCAGGCATGTCTTTGCAAGCGGGACTAGACTGGGGGGGCCTTCTCAAAAGGCAGTCTGGGGCTGCCCTCTCCCCAGATCCAGCCCATCTGAGGACCTTCCCCCAGGAAGGAATCCAGTTCTATCTCTTCTAGCAAGGGTGTCACTTTCACAATTGGAGCCACACAAAGCTCGGCAAAGGCCCTCTCCCACATTGCCAGGAGCCAGCCTCACCTCCAAAACAGCTGGCGCTCCCTTTGCCGCCCAGCCAGTCCCCCATTACAGATGCTCTGCCTGGATGGGGCTCATCTGGATGGCCTCAGCTCCAAAGGCCGCCCTCCTCCAATGCAACTCAATGAAGCACACACACTCTGCTGATCTGCCTGGCTGCAAACAGGAAGCGTCCCTGATGCTCTGCAGATGGAGAGTGTGGGAAATGGAGCTGATCTCTCCTTGGCAAGCCGGGACGTCCCTGCAGCGCCCCTCCATTTGTGGGGCAGGCAGAAAGGAGGACAGCCAACCCGCCTCACGTGGAGAAGGAGGCGGCCCCTGGGTGGTGTTGGCTGACTGCAACAGGCAAAGCAGGATGGGATGTGGCTTGCACCGGATGGGGGATCACCAGGTGATCTTTGGGCTGCAAGGTAGAGTAGGAGGCTGAAAAACAGTCTGCAAGAAGATACAGAGGAAAGCAAAGGCTTGCTATGACCCGGACTACAACAGGTTGAATATAATAAGCTTCTTCGTCTGTCACCTGTGTGTAATTGCACAGAGGTTCATGCGAATGTCCCAGAGCGCCTTCTGCTCTCACCACTGCTCTTTATCACCATTTCTGCAGGCAGGATAAACTACAGAAATGTAGTATGTGGCACCCCCAGTTTCACTTCAAGCAAGGAAGAAGTGGGTGGGCTGAACCGTTAATGGCTGGGATTTCAAAAGAGAGAGAGAGAAGGGGAACGGGGCTCCCCCCCCCACAAGATACACAGGACGGGAGCATCAACCCGCAGCTGGGAAGCTTGGCTGTGAGGCCTGTGCTGAGCTCCTGCCATGCCGGTGGGGGGCTGCGGGGGTGGGGGAGCGGCAGGAGCAAAGCTGGTTCGAATTAAAGCTGCAGCCCGGAGCATCCCTGCGTGGGAAGTGGGGAAGCCAGGACAGATTTGATTGCTGGAGAGATTTCTCGGAAGACGAGGGGATGTCTTGGGGGCTGCAAGGTCCAGTCTGGGCTCCCCTCCTCCCTGTCCCATCATGGCTGGGGGCTGTTTGTCCAGAGGGGGGGCCTGCAATCCCTGATCTCTCCAGAGTCTCAAGGCCTTTGGAAACAAGACACAAGTGGACCACAAAGAGCAGGAAAGACACAGCATGCCAGAGGAAGGGAGCCGACTCACAATTGGCACCTCTGCAAATTCAGCCCTGGCCGAGACGGGATTCAGCCACCTGGGAGCTGTTTACCGAAAGGAGGCAGGCGGGGGTCTTCTCTATCCCTCAGAAGAGGGCACTCTGATCCTGGGTTCAAGACCCAGAGAAGAGCGTGGAGGACAGCGTTTCCCGAGGCTTCGGAGGGAGACGCTTTAAAGCCCCGGGGCCTCCTCGTCCCCTCTGCAGCTGCCTCGTGGCCTGGGCCTGTCCCCATGACTTCATCGCAGGAAAACGCCGCGTCCAGCCAGAGCAGGATAGGAAACAGGCAAGAAATTGGCAGGAAAAGGGTGTTTGCCAAGCACACGAAGAGCAGGCGTGGCGGGAGAGGCAGGTGGGCATGACATCGGAGGTGCCTCAGTGCAGAGCCTGGCATGGGCACCCCAGAGGGTCACCAGACAAGTCCCCATCCTTAAAACAATGGCTGTGCCACCAATTCAAAAATTGCCCCTTCTCCCCAAACGCCACGGCGGTACCAGCCCCTGTTCTGAAGGCAGGAGAGGTGAGCTGCTGCCTCCTTGCCCATCCCTCCCAGCTTCCCCTCTGTCCTGCCCCACAGATGGGAAGCTCCTGTTTACACCCCCAAAGCCTCATCAGACTCCCGTCCTACTTCCTGTTTATCAGAAAGGAGCAAGGAGGGACGTCAGCCAAAGGTGGCTGGGCGAGGCTGGAAAGGCACGCTGGACTTCGGCTCTCCGAGGGTCACTCTGGGCTCCGCTGCCCACAGCATGCCTGCAGTGGGGAGGGGGAGGAGGCCCAACCCAGAAATGGGTCGGTAAGGGGAGCAGATTGAGAAGAGGGCCAGACCTTTTTTCTGGGACCCTCTTTCAGTCAGATTATTTTGCTACTTACCAGTCTAACCATGAACTCCTAACCCAGTTTAACTCTCTTTAACTTCTTGGCCAAAATAACCACAAACAACCCCCCCCACCTTCCCTCCTGCTCTTTGCAGCCCCACTGGTGGGTCAGAGCCTGTGGTTTCCTAAGAGTCCTGCTGCCCAGAGATAGCGTCTCTGGTGACGTTGCTGGGCATTTTTAGGTGGCACGTCAAACTAAGCCTTCGCCACAAATGTGAAGCTTCATCTAGGAAACAGCTGTATTTGCAACGTGAAGGAATTGAACCCAGGACTTCCTCGACCCCACCCAGCACAGTTCGGGACTAAAGCTATTTGCTAGGACTGGGGGCAGAAGGCAAAGTCTTAGAGGATTCGGAGGGGGGGCAGACCCAGAGGTGCCAGTGCATTTTTGAAGCTCACATCAGCCTCTTGTCAGCCTCTCTGTCCCTCCCTTTTCACACAGGGAGGCCCTTTCACATGTACAACATTGTCATCCACTCTGGCTTCAAACGAGCAGCTCTTTGACAGACTCCTGTCGCTCCAGGAGACCCCAAGTGGGCAGGGGTCCAAGGGAGGCTTTGGGCCGGCCACATCCCGACCGAAAGAATGCCAACGTCTTTGGGGAAAGGCACAACATCCCAGAAGAAAAGGGACGTTATTCTACCCCACTTGCCAGCAGTTCCAGCTCTGTCTGCCTTGGGGAGGACAGTCTCCTCGGGTTGGCCAAAGCAAGAGCAGTCCGGCCAGAGGCCCCCTCCCAAGCTCTGCTCCGATTGGCAGCTCTGTGCCTGGGCATCCTTGCAAGCCAAGTTTTAGGGTCTCCATGTTCACCCCCCAACTCTTACCTCCGTGAGCTTCTGGTGTGGGTCCACCAAGGGACTCTGGGGGTGCCGGTGGTGGGCTGCTCGTTCTCACGGCTCCTCAGCCAGGAGTCTCTCCTGTCCAGCCAGTGGCCAGACTTGGTCTCAGCTGGGGAGGATGGCCGAGAGGGGCATTCCGGGCCCTTCAGGGTCTGCCTCCCTCCTTCAGGATCTTCCCAGGCTGAGTCGGGTGGCCGAGCGCAAGAGAAGTGTGAACATGCTATGGGAGAGGAGGGGGGGGACACGGAGGCAGGAAGGGGCCGGGTTCATCTGGCGCCCTCAGGAAGCTTTGACGAGGAAGCTGAATGGAAACAGCAACAACAAAAAAAATAGTAATTTTTTTTTGGCAAGAAAGCCGATCGCTTGGAACATGCAAGCTACGTCCTGAGAACTTTGTCTGAAAGAGGAGCTTCCCACCCACCTCTGCCCAGCAGTCGGAGCACAAGATCCGGGGTGGCCCAAGGAACTCGGGGGGGGGGGGTACGGCACCCCTCCCCCATCCTGCAGCGCTAGGCATGGACGGTGGAGACGCTGGACATCAGGGACGCCCATCCAGTCTCAAAGGTAGGACTGGGCAGAAACTGGCTTTGACCCAACAAGACTGCCTTAAACATTGAGTTAAATGTTTAAAAGTTCAGCAAAACTTCCTTCCAGCTGCAGCCAGGAATTCTGGGAGTTGAAGTCCACGAGTCATAAAAGAGCCAAGGTTGCCTACCCCTGTGCTATCAGAACCACCCTGGGCTTCATCTGCCTCTCCCTTGCTGCAAAGCTACTCGCTTACCTGTCTCGTACCCTCCTTTCCGTTTTGGATTCTGCTGCTAAGATGGCCCTGGAAGTCCTTTCTGACTAACGCCACCCCCACCCCGGCCAGAAAGTAAAGCATTAGGCCCGTAGGAAAAGGCCTTGTCTGCACAGCTAACCTTCCTGCGGCCTGCCAAAGGAAAGCTATACGCAAACAGGGGTGCCCTTTAAGGATTGCTAGAACTCAGCACCCGGAACAGCTCCCAAAACGGTCCTCAATGTGCCAGTCAGCCGGAGGGGCCCCCTGAGAGGAGGGATGGTCTCTCAGAGGCTGTGGCTGTGAAGGGAGGGGCTGGGGTGGGTGGAGGGGGGGAGGGAGAGGTAGGGAGGCTTCAGGACCAGTTGTACGAGTAAAGGGGAATATTTGTAGCTTGGGTTGGAAGTGAGGGGTCCTCGGTGCTCTCTGAGCTTGGTGGTTTTCTTGCAGACATTTCATTACCCAACGAGGTAACACCATCAGTGCTAGTTTGAAAGCGAACAGCACTCCTTACTAGCCCTGATGATGTCACCTAGTTTGGGTAATGAAACCTCTGCAAGGAAATAACCTATCTCAGGGAGCATCTCCACCAGTTGTCTCGGCCTCCACTAGGGGGCAGCAGAGACCCTTGGCCAGCCTGGCCACGCCCACCTCTGTTGCCAGCTGGGCCGAACCCTGGAGGGGATGCCCGCAGCATCTCTCTCTCTCTCTCTCTCTCTCTCTCTCTCTCTCTCTCTCTCTCTCTCTCTCTCTCTCTCGGTCTCAAGGGTCCAGTTCCTTCCTTAGCTTGCCAGGGTCATTCTGGCTGGTCTCATCTACGACCCCAAACTATACTGGGCCCATGTCCACCCCATGACCATCCTTTGGGGCCAGATCTATTCCCACAAGACCTTTTGTACGGGGACTGAAGGAATGCTTCTGCAGGGTGGGGTGGGACGCCCCTCCGTGCAAATATTCCGATGCAAAGATGGCAGACGGGAAGTTCCACCAAGATCAGCTGGGGTGGGGGGGGGAAATGCAGCCAGAAGAGCTGGTGGACAGTCCGCCACATGTGTGGGACTCTTGCTAGAGCCAAAGGTGGTCTGGGGGAGTGTCCATTTCTGGAGGCCCCACTCCACTGAAGAGATGGAGGAAATGCATCAGAGGGTCTCCTTCTTCCTGGACCTTCAGCTCCCAGACCAGCCACTCCAGCCGCTCTCCTGCTTCCCCAGCGGCTGAGGGCAGATGTCAGGCCCCCCCCTCCAAACTGCTGCCCCCCTAACTAAGAATTCCGTGGCTGGTAACGATTTCCACATTCCAGAGGTGCTGCCTCTCTGCAAGGCCGTCTCCCATCGCCAGGGCAGCCATTAGTTACAATTAGCCCGGCAGAAGGGGAGGGGGCTTGATGGATGGGCTTCTGGAGGTTTCATGGCGGAGGGAGAAGAGGAAGAAGGCCATCAGAGGGACATCACACCCCTGGGAGCATTTCAGGATCTCAGCCAGCTGCTCCACACCTCACCCCTCCCCAGTTCTTCCTGGCTCCCCCCCCCCAGCAAAGAAGACTTTCCTTCTAAGGTCCTTAGTGATGACGGGGGGCATTAAGGAAGTGGAGAATCAGCCCCCAGGGGCAGAAAGGGGCAGCAGGACCCCTTGCAATTCTGGCTGCAAAATGCCTAGAGGCCACCCCTGCCAGGTGAGATTACCTGATAGCTGTTACCTGGGGCAACCTCTTTCCCCCCAAATCAGGTCTCTCCTCTGCTGGCTGGTCTTCTGGTGCTGCTGGCACATGAGATGGGGACATGGGGGGGGCTAGGAAGTGGGGCAGAGAGCCTCCCCAAAGGGCCTGCTGGCTGTTCCCTCCTGCTCCCCCTGCTCTCTTCTGCTGAAGGCAAGCGAAGCCCCTTCCTCAGCACTTCCAAGCCCCCCTGGGAACTCCTCTGAAACGGAAAACTGTCTGGAGCCTTCCCAGTTCCTCTCCTGCTACCCCTGCAGGACTTCCATCAGTGGATGGGGGGGGGCTCCCTCCTTTCCTCTCCCTGCCCCCTCCTGGGGAGACCTCCGTGTTTCCCTCTGTCCTGCCTGGTGCACCAAGCACATGAGAAGGCTGGCAGGTCTCAGGAGAGGTTGAGAAGAGCCCTCGGACAGTCATCCCGCCAAACAATTGGCAGGGGTGCAAAGCCCCCGTGCTGGTCCTTGGAATTTGTGCCTTGTGGGTCGTGCCCCACAGCTCTCCCTCCCCTCCACTGCTTGCCTCAGACCCCCTTTCCAAGGGCGCCAGCTGCAGCTGCTAAAGGGATGTGGGGAGAGTTAAAATGTCTCTGGAACAGCAGAGTTCCGGTCAATATTCAGAAGAGCCCCCCACTTCTTCATATTCCTCTCTTCCTGTTGATGGAGACCCCCTCCTGGCATATCTTAGGGGGTCTGAACTGTCTTTGCAGTGACTCTCAATCCCTGCAAGGCATCGTCCCCATTTCCTTTGGCCAAGGACAGCTGTCTCTGCCCAACTCACCCCGTTTCCTGGTTACCCAGAGCAAAATGAGAGCATCAAGACTGGCAAGGATGCCCCTTCTTTCTTTCCTGCAGCCCCTCCACCCCCTCCTGCCCCCCTCCATATCAGGGCTCAAGGGAAGCCCCCTCTTTAATTTCCCCTCCCCTTCCTCCCTCTCCCCTTCTCTTCCCTCCAGTCCCCTGTGTGGCTTTGTGTCATTTATCAATACCACAAACCCAGCCAGGAGATGCACTCTGAAATGTAACGCCATCCCTGCTCATCTCCGTGGGGCCTTTCCCCACCCCAGCCCAGGGGTGGCGAAGGAGGGGAGAAAGATCCATGCCGGCTGGCGTGGCTGCCAGGACAGTGACGGCGGAGAGCCTTCCCAGGGGCTGAATCGAGTTTCATCCACGTCTGCCTGGGCAGGGAGCAGGGACAGACAGAGAGAAGCCCTGGGGGCTCATCTGGAGCTTAGCCAGAGGCCCTGCTGGTACCCACTTTCAGGGGCTTTGGGGAAATGCCCACAGCTGCTTACGGGCCCCCCAATGTGCAGCTGGTCTCCTGGAATGCCAGGGGCTGGTGATCTTTGCTCCCTTCTGACCCACAACTGAGTAACGATAGTCCTAGAGCCCTTGTGGCCCCCAAACACCTGGCTTCTGCCCTGGGCGCCAATTGCCAGCTTGCCAAGTTTGGCCACTTCCACAATCTGAGGGAGCCGTTGCTTGCCATGCTGTGGAGGTTCCCCTTGGGGTTGGCAGAAATCTCCTTGTGGGTCCAGATTTTGGGCACCCCTTCTGCAGGGAGTCCCCGTTCTACCCCTGAGTGGAGCGGGAGGTCTGCTGGCCCCCTGAACCAAACACTGCTGCCCCCCCCCATCTCGCCTTTGGCGACAAGCAAAGCGCCCTGTCCATCACTCCGATGAAATCAATTCGGCCCCATTAGAGCCCCATCCAGGCCGCGCTGAGCCCAGCTGGGCATGAGTCGCAGCCCCCATTACCCCACAGATGTGATTACCGAGGATTCAATAAGGCCTTTGATTAGATGAAGGTGTGCATTTTGTTTCTGGGGGGGGGGAGGAGCAATCACTCTTCCTGTCGCCCCCAATCAGCTGAGAAAAGCAGAGATGTGGTGGGCAGCTGAATCCGAATAATCTACCCAGATCTGGTGGGCAGAAGGACCAGGGCTGCCCTCAGCATCTTTACACAGGGGGGTTGCTAAGGGGTAGGGAGGCAAGGGGGGAGCTCCGGAAGAGCCTTTGACGAAGACCCGGCACGCTCCAAGGAAAGCTACTTTTTTGGGGTGGGGCTGGGATGAATAATCAGAGAAAGAAGTGAAGATGACCTGCCTTGAGACCAGACAGATCCCCGAAAGAGATCACTCAGAAAGAGCCTCCAGGTCTGGCCTCTCATTCCAGAAATGGGAAAATAGATTTTGGCTACAGGAAGATTCGGATAACAGAATACTAGGAAAGACACCTTAAAAGGCGAAGTAGTTGGAGAGGGAGTACAACCCTGGAGGCCAGGATCTTTCCGGGGTCCCCTAATCGGGGGGGGGGTCCTGCACTGAGCAGAGGGTTCAAAGGCTTCTATGACTCTGGAATTCTATTGTTTTAGACACAAGCAGAATGAGTGCATTCCATTTGGAAGGGAAGAAACGGTTTCCATGCCCAAAGGGCTTTGTCTGGGGCCCCCAAATTTGGAGCAAGCGAAGGAGGGCCCGCCTGCATCCCACAAACCAGGGCAGATGAGGGTTTGGGGGGTTCCCTCCCCAGGCCTCCACAGGGGTGTCTGAACAGGGAAAAAAGGCAAACGCATCTCCTTCCAAAGATGTGAGTGAATCGACAGATTTTATTTCAGCATTCAGCCCAGATTCTTTCGAGCACATTCATACAGGCATCTAACACCGAGAGCTCAGCCTGGGTGTGACCTGACCCCCAAACCTCCTTGAGGTGGCCCTGGGGGCCCTGTTGGGTTGTGCAGGATGGATCCCCACCCATTGGGAAGACGGGTGGGGTCTGCCCAGTCTACGACCTGGCCAATATACTAAATGCTTAGAAATTGGGGGTGGTGTGGTGGAGAAGGCTGGAGGAGCCCCTGCAGCAGAGCTAATCCCTCTATCAGGGGTCCCTAATCCAATTAAATGTCATTCCTTAATCCCTTCTGCCTTGAAAATTGTGTTTCATCACCAGCTCCCCTTGAGAGCTGGGCACACGGAAGGGCCCGTGTTTGGGGGGGGGGCGGGTGTCTGAGGAAGTGACTGATTGTCCTGCACACTAATTTATCGAAAGACACTTTTCTGAAGAGTCTTTACTCTGAGCTGGGTCCAAACCCCATCTATCTTGTTGTTTGAGAAAGTGAGAAAAGCTTCACAAGGAGGTGAGAAAAGCCGCACAGCCACAAAGCAGGGCAGGGAAGCAAATGCAGGCTGGGTGGGCTTTCAGGCTCTGGCTGAGGCAGGAGGGCCCTTCGCCCAGCAGTCTGCCACTAATTGTGGCTTTAGCCCCCCTGAGGGGAAAAAAAAGCAAGCTATTTTGGAGGCAATATTCAAATCAGAAAAAGTGCTTCTGCTGGTCTTAATTGACCTGGATGTCCATCGCTTTGCCAGCCCTTCTCAATCTCAGGTTGCTTTTTGCATGAGGGGTTGTCTGAATCCTCCAGACCACAGCCCCCCTCCACTGCCAGGAAAAGTTATTTATTACAATAAAGATCTACATCTTAGGAGACTAAATAAGAATGTGTAAGCAGTGCTGTTTCTCCTCCTGCCCAGTCTGACACCACCTTTGTCTGCCTCCCACAACAGGCATCTGGAGAGAGTCACTTGGATCGTCTTCTGAGCACCGAAGATGGAAAAACAGGTTTACGTCACCCTGGACAAGGCCGAGTGGCTCTCCCGCCTGGCCTGGCCTGGCCTGGCCTGGCCTCCCTCCAGGGTCCTCCTGGCAGCTGCCCAGGACCAAAGAGGAACAGCTCCGGTGAACTGAGATCTGCAGGGTTGGGCTTCCACCAGCAGGTCAGGGTCTCTTCCCCTAAACAAGCCTTTATATACACAAGGTGGGGAAATGCCCAAAGCAGGGCGAAAAACCGGTTTGCCTTTCCGAGAGGGAACCGACGACGTTGTTTTCCCTGGCAGGCAGTTCAGGAAAGAGGTCTTGCGTGGGTTGAGTTTCTTGGTTGGACGGATGGATGGATGAAGAAGCTGGGGCCGCTGCCCCCTCTCCCCCTCCCCCTTAGCTGAGAATAGCCAGGTACACCGGAGGGGCCTTGACCAGCGTCTGCAAGCAGCTGTGGATGTGTTTAATGCTCTGCCGTTGCTGGGGCTCTCTCTGCCAGCAGCTCTGCATGATGTCGTAGACCTCCGAGGGGCAGGTCCGAGGCCTCTCCAGCTCCCGGCCCTGGGTGATGCACTCAATGGCCTGCAAAGCGAGAGAGGGACAAGGCACCGCTGGCTTGTGGGCTGCCCAGAAAGCCCCACAGGGCCAGCGCCACTCTGGCAGTGCGCTGCCCACACGGTTCTCACAGCAAGAGCGTTGCCTAGAAGCCGCCTGTGTTTCCGCTTCTGGGTGGGTTCTCATCCGGGGAAACTTAAAAGTGGTCGTCTGGGGTTGGCTAACCTGAGAGATGACCCCTACCCCGTTTGCTCACCCAGCCCTGCCCTTTCACTCCTGGGGTGTCCCACTCCCCAGAAGCTGGCCATGGGCTGCGGTCTGGACAGGCTTCTTCACCTCTGCCGACCCCAAGACCGTTGTCCGGGCAAAGCTGCCCAGAGGCGATGGGAGCAAGCAAGGGCCAGCGTCCCCCTCCCATCTTCTGGCACCGGCAGCCCCCCCCCCCTTACCTCCGTGTTGGAGAGCTGGTACCAGGGCTGCTTCCCGTAGGTGAAGATCTCCCACAGGACCACCCCAAAGCTCCAGATGTCACTCTCGGCGGTGAACTTGCGGTAGAGGATGCTCTCCGGGGGCATCCAGCGGATGGGGAGCATGGTACGGCCGCCCACCTGGAGAGGGGAAGGCACGGGGTGAGCGGGTGGTGGTCAGAGCCCGGGGGATTTGCAGCAAGATGCCACCTGTGCCACGGCAGGGGTTTGAGCCGGGCCTGTTTCTTGCACAGGCAGGGCACCAAAGAGATGCCAGTCAGGAGGGGCACTCGGCACCCTCAGCATTTGGGGGGCATGGCTGCCTTGGGCATGGGCATGACCTCTGCCCCAGGATGGCCTCCCTTCCACTCCAGGAAGTGGACTTAACCAAGGTGCTTTCTATGGAGTCCCTGAAAAGTCACTGCTGCCTCCTCTTCCTCCATGGGAACCCTCCTGTCTCTTTCCTCACAGACTTTCCCAGCCTCCATCTGCTTTCTTGCTCCGTGCCTTCTCCCCCCTTTTAATTAACCGTTAAATAGCAGCGCTCTGCCCCCCATCTTTCCACTGGCTAAGTGCTTATAGGTTTTTCCACCCCAGGCCCCATTAAATATGAATAGAGGCTGGGGGAGAAACTAAAAGGGAAAAAGAGAGGGAGGGAGGACAGGCCTGGCCAGGTGCCCCCTGCCTGGGAGGGAGAAGGGGAGCTGGAAGCCACTGCTTGACCCTCAGTCTTGTAGGGTCACTGGGAAAAGCAGAGAACCCCACGATGCTTCCCTGGCAAAATCCCTCCGGGCACAGTACGAACCCCAGAGGCACCGGCACTGTTGGCGAGGATCTCGGTGGCGTCTTGGGGGGAGGCTCGGAGGAGGAAGGCCCCGAGAAGCCAGGGAGAGAGTTTCCCATATAATGGGCAAAGAGGAGCACCGGTGCCAGCCGGGAGAGAGGGGCATCCAAGCGGGACAGTAGGCTCCAAATTGGCCACAGGGAGTCCGACCAAAGTCAGAGATAATCAGAGGGGGACGGTCCCAAGCTCCCCGGAAGGCTGCAGTCACCCCGTCCTTACCCGATAGTAGTCGGTGCTGTAAATATCTCGCGACATGCCAAAGTCCCCGATTTTCACCACCAGGCCGTGCCCCACCAGGCAGTTGCGGGTGGCCAGGTCCCGGTGGACGAAGTGCTGGGAGGCCAGATAGACCATGCCAGAGGCGATCTGCGTGGCGATCTGCAGCATTTCGCTCAGGGTCAGCTGGCCAAAGGACTGGCCATTCCCGTTGTCCAGCATCTTGGCATCAGGCCCGTGTGACCTGCAAGGCGGGGGGGGGAGGGGGTTGAGATCCTCCTCTGCTTTGATCCTGGAGCTCTCAATTTGCTCTTTCCTGGGATTTTCTGCCAGCCACGAGGCAGTCCTCTGCGGAAGTCCAGGCTTCTCTCTTTTTGCAAACTCACCCCTGAACTCTGGCAGCCTCAGGAAGGATGTGGGAATGGCAGGATTGCAGCTGAGGGCAGGAGGCCCCTCCCCCCCCAGGTGGGCGAGTCCGGGGCCATTTCCCAGAGCAGTTCTCCACTTTCTCCCCTGACCCAAAGCCCGGCTGGCAGAGCCGGTCGAGGCCCCGGCCACCACCCTCCATTAATGCCAAGTCTTATCACCGTAACCCTCCGAGCTGCGCCTCTCCCAGCCTGTCCGAGGGAGGCTGGCAGCTCTCGCCTACGGGCAATACCTGGGGGCCGATCGAAAGAGCCTCCGATTATTCCAGCTGATGGCAATCCCCTTCAATTTGAGCCTTTCAGACAACTAATCTAATCAATATTGCAAAGGGAAGATTGCATTAGCCGGGGAGGGAGAGAAAGGCCGGGAGGCTGCTCCAGTAATGGAGAAGGGGGGGGAGGCACAGGCCGGGGAGGGGGGAGCTGTGAGGAAGGAGGAACAAGTTGGGACAGTTGTGAGCCATAGGGACCCAGCCAACTGCTGGAAAAGGAAAGAGGGGGGGGGAGAGAGAGAGAGAGATATGCTCTGAGCATCACAGCCCCTCACCGGAGGACGCGGTTGAGGTCCC